ACCCACCCAAACCACCGGCTTAATCAGGAAAAGTCTCCTGGTGGGTGGGTGTGGGTGAGATACTTCATTCATCATGAACGAGGGAGCGACTATCAGGAGGGAGAAGTCAATCTCCCTCCGTCCAACCACTACTCGAGATATTACGTAGAATGTGAAGAAGAATCTCGGCACGTTCGAAACATACGACACGATTTAAACCGATTTTTCTCAGTATTAGTAAAAACAGGTATCGTTAACTTTGAAATAAACTACAACAAAAATTTTATGGCAAGTGTGTAATATGTAAAAGTTTGTGGGGGGAAAAGCAAAGGTGCAACAAGGTGCACATTTCTTGTACCGAGAAAGGAAGTGAGATAAGACTTCATCAAAGTCGGGAGTACTTTCAACCCTCACGCCACAACAATCTCCACATTATGGCTGAGCTTCCAACTCTACAAAATCCTTAAATTTCACTGATTTTCATCCAATCTGATAATCATAATATCCAAGTATTTCACCGTAACTAACAATGCCACTCACTATGTTGTGCATATTTAAATGGGCTGCGGAGCCGAACTTGACTTTCAACTTGTATGAGTCACCTCATCACCTTACACGACCGGGTTGCTGTTGGTCGAGTTAATGGACCTCGTTCCTTATTGAACTGGGAGAAATTGAAAGGCACGTGCCTTGAACCACTGCGTTTTGTGTGTGTGAGTCGCCCTGCTTTTAAATTTCTATCTCAACATCGGATCCGGATTCTTGATTATTTATTGCTTGCCTGTTTGGTCAGACCCCTGCAGTTTTACTATCTCTGAACATAAAATTAATGAGGGGTAACTTGCAGCTCTCATCCGCAGTGGAGATGCGAGAGAAAGTCGTCCGATTATCATATTTGGACGGCTACCTCGAGCAACAAGCGTCCAACCAAGTTCAATCAGGCAGCCTGATTTTATGTATTTGAGCGGCATTGTGTAATTTATAATACGACAATATGCAATACAATTGTTTGTCCTCCAGTGTATGGGCATACATTTAAACTACTGCGACCATATATAAGTATATGTTGCATGGATAAACACTTTCAAGTGGGGGAGGAATAGAATTGCGTCAGAATTTCAATCCATGTGTAGATAGGTTACACAGGCTGAGGCATTAAAAATTAAGGTCCAACTTAGCACGACATCATTAAGACAAATAGAGAAGGGGTACGAGGAACCCAGGCCAAGTATATTTTTTGTCCTCGTTGCTGTCAATCGCCCAAATGTTGGCCATTTTCTTTCTGGAAACAGAAACAGGTGGACACATTAATCAAGCTTATACAACATTACATACAACGGATAATCAAAGGTTATGCAATTCTTCGTAAATTAAACACTGGTCGTCGTCAGTGTTGACGTCATGAAAAACTCAATTTCTGATTCCATTAAGAGCAAGATGTAGATTTATCTCCAGTGTGAATAAAAATCGAGATTGCTAATGTGCTAAATGTGCTAATGTACTAGTGTGCATGTATTTTGACCGACCCCGACCCTTCCTCTGCATTCAACCTTTCAAAACAACTAAAATAGATTCAAAATCAATCCTATCATAACGGCTTGTGCCTTTATGTCATTGTATTTCGTGCACTCGTTTTACGGAACGAAACTGGTAAAAGAAACGTGACAAGAGAGAGATGCGCATCTGCCTCCAGTAAAACTCGAGCATGACAATAATGTGAAAATGATGAACCAGGATATTTTTATGAATTCCGACAATCCAACCCTTCCTCTTCCTCACAAGCGGACAAATGAGTGGGCCACGCATCAGATTAGTCACTATTTGTTGGGGTGAACTTAACCCTTTTATTATTGTGTACTTAAGAAAATAAAAGTGTCAATAACTGGAGTGTGTTGACCACCCTCCATTTATTTGTAAATTCCAAGGTCCTTCGTCAGAAGAAGCTTATTGTATTCTTGGTCATATTTATTGTATGCATTTCGGTCAATATGGTCCTCCAGCGAACGTTCACCCAAACGACAATAAAAGGTCGGCAGCCACGCTCCTTCACTAATATGCGTACCTTCTTTTTGTCGAGTGGCACAAACACACCCAAACCAAGACAGGTGAGTACTTATGCACTGCTGTGCATACATTTGAGAGTGAGCGCTGTTGACCTGCGGAACCTCAGGAATGAGGAAGAAGGAAGCAGCTCGACGGAAGAAGGGAAAAGATGAGCAGATGAAAGCGAAAGGATGCCGAAAATAAAGACCGATTTGAACTCAACCTTAACAAACAACAACTGGAGCAAAGCAAATATAAAAATATTCACCAAACATAAGGACAAATGACGGAAGGATGACTAAATGCTAAACACGGAAATAGGGCCGAAGAGAGGTGAAGGGCAAGAAAGGTCAGCCGAAATAGATTGAAGTTGAAAATAATAATTTTGTTGCTCGCAATGTTGCAATTAGTGTACAATGGACAGTTTTTTTTACTGTTCATTCGAGATTAGAAATTATTTTACACGAAGGTGGTTCTAAAAATATTTTTAAAAAAGTATTCAAATTGAAGAGTTGCAAGGGTTTTTTATACATATTTTTTGGAACGAACGGTGGATACTTAATCGGGGTCTAATTAATGGTTTTACACTTTAACAAAGAAATAAGTACTGGAGCGAACATTTCTTCTAAATACGATGTTAATATCAAGTCGACTGATGCTTAATTTGTCTCATTGCAGGGGTCAAAGCTCTCTCAAGTGTTTACAACAACCAGCAACATATTACACAGAAGTATTTACAAAAGTCTGTAGGAAGTTAGTTAGTACACTTCCATGTTTAAGGTGTACGTGGAGAAAAAGGCAGACAGGCAAGGTGTTCGCTTTCAATTTCTATTTCCGCATATGTGCATTTGCGTTTGTGCTTGGCAATTGAAAGGGAAATGCTCCTTATTTCCTTCCCTAATCCCTTCAAGCACAAAGGGCTCCGAGTTCACTTCCACTCTCTTGCCCACTAGCGAATTGTGCTAACAATACCACCATTTTTCATAAGTTGTTTCATCAAAATGTATTGATTAATGTAATACAAGGCCAGCTGAGAGCATTCCCAGTACAAAGAAAAAATTATGCGTTGATGAGGAAAAGGCTCGAGTATGTATTTCGGACTCTTCGTCATCATCGCTCTTACATAAAAACTTTTATACCGATTTCAAGTCTTTATGTGCCCTACTCGTCCAAACTCTGGAAATTAGGCATCCAAAAACAACAACTGAATGTGAACTCGTTAGAAATTATCACATGTTGCATTTCTCACAGAAAGACAATGGAAAATATGAAAAATACAAATCATCAGGATGGAACCTGTAGATCACATCAAAATGTAACTCATTTATTTATTTATATTTCATTAGTAATTTCCGAAACCACGTGGATAAAAATGTAAAGAAGAGCACCATCATGTCAGTGTCACCGTGAGTATGTCACTTCCGGTCAGTAAAAACGCGAGGTAGGAGTTTAATAAGGTTCCCACGATTTGCTGGTATACATAAATTCGTCCATATAGCACACTCACATGCAAGAATTCATGGAGGAAGACACACATGTCACTGAAACCAAAATAAAGTTCATTTTAGTTGAAAAGTGGTAACAAAGGTATTGATGCCCGGTAGTAAATAAGTAACTACAGACATATGTAAATGGTTTTATGCTCACTCAGCGAAGGGGTCACTCGGTGGGAATTCATCCGGCCGCAATATAACGTAATACATGGCATGTATGCATAGCCAGATGACATGATGATCATGAAAATATTAGTGTGACTTATTACAAACTCATGGTTCATTAATAAGGAAAAAGTTTGAGAGTCTATTACAGTTGAAGTTTTTTCTTGCTCTTCGTGGAGGATGATTGAAAATGCCACGTAACCCAAATTATTGTCAAAGTCAAAATGCCGTGGGGATACGTATGTATACGTTTCATAATAGGTTCAAGTACAGATGAGCGATTATTATAATGAACCCTATTCGAGTAATTCGTCGTAACTTGAATCTCAAAATTTGTCTGACCTTGGTTTAAGCATCCAACCGAATAAAAACCCTTCGTTGCAGAATAAAAGGCCGGTGTGACCTAGTTGGACCATTATTTAGTATTTACTAAAAATCCACTGGCATACAACGGAACCCAAGAAAATCCAGGTTAACCGAATCTGTTTCAAGGTACTTTTCATTCTAATCCAAGCAAAAGCTCTTCAACTTAAACTTCACCTTCGCTCAAAGTCGAGCATCGATAGACAAGCTTTTGAAGGGATGGAGTTTGAAGAAGAATCACTTCTTTCAGTTTGGTCCTGAAATCCAAAATGCATACCCAACAAATGATTGAACCTCTTGACCTAAATTCACTGGTCCTAACAGAAGAGTGATTATATGCAGGTATACGTGTACAAGTATTCTGTACACACTTCTGCTCCCAAATGGTGGGTCGTACTTATTACTCACAAAGATGGTGCGGTAAAACGATGAGAAAAAGGTACTGGATAAGTGTGTACCTAATGAGGATCTCCTAAGTGCATCCTATGTATAGATGTATGCCGATGTATATTGGTACCCAAAAATGAGATATTTATTATTTAGTGATTTTAGTTATGAAGAGAAATATACTTGGTGCTGCGGAGTGATTTTTTATTAATTAAAAAAATAATAATTTTTTACGAGTTATGACTTCGAACATAGTTTCCTATAAAATATATTTTTGCATGTTTGCATTGCATGATTACATAATAATACACCAGATAAAATTGAAAGTACGAACGCTGCTGAAACATGAGTCTTATGCATTTCATCCCAAGTAGTGGGAATACCAACCAATAAGCAAGTTGAAGGGCTGTTTGGAAACAACATCTCAGAAAGGGAACAACTTTGTTAATCTGATATTTTATTTTCCAGTCCCTTTCTTGGCAGTCAGTACCACTAATAATAAGCAAGCGATGCACTTTTATAAGGAACCTGGTGTGCTTTCATGTTATTGTGGTTCTAATAAAATCGGACCCTTCTCTTCGTAAAAAGAACGCTTTTTTCATCTCTTGCCCTATTTTAAGCATCTTTACGACCAAGGTTGGCTTCAGTTCGATCTCATCTCTGGACCTTTCACAATCTTTCAAACAAAATTCCAAGATGAAGCTTTTTGTGGTTATTTTTGTGTCAATTTTTCTTCCCCATGGTTTCTCTGATGATACTTCGAGTAAGGAATAATACTGAAATTTAATTACAAAAAATTACTGGTTCTATATTTTGTGTCTTAAATTACTTCAATTAAGTATGTGTACTATATTTTTAGACGCCGCTACGACTGGCACGCCTGTTTCGGTGGGTATAAAAACCGTTAAATATTAGTTAATAAAATCAAATATCGTAACGCATTTTATATAATTAATAATGATTAATAATACTTTTCAGATTGTTGGTAGATACGAGCTTTCGAGCAGCGACAAGTTCTATGAATACATGACTGCCCTTGGTATGCAATGGTCTCGTATATAAAAATGCCTCACAAATCAGAATACTCTAAAATATTACTCAATTTTACTCAATTATGCACCAGGAGTTGGATTCTTTACCAAGAACTTGGCGGCGGCAGCGACCCCAATTGCGACAATTTCAAAGGAAGGGGACTTGTGGACTATCAAGACGGAGACGACCTTTAAGACGACCACCATTACGTTCAAGCTGGGAGAAGAGTTTGATGAAACCACTGGAGATGATCGGACTTGCAAGGTGAGTAAATCTTACCCGAGTTTAATTATCTAATTTATTTAGCTAATTACCCTAATAAAAATACTTCATTGCGCATTTTGTTGATATGCACAATGCACAGACCACCATCACAATGGACGGAACCACCAAAATGCTAACCAACCAAGTATGCTCTGGGAAAGCCTACCGAATTGACAGAGAGTTTTCTCCAACCCAAATGACAATGAAATTATACGCTGACAGTGTTACAAGTACACGGATTTACCGAAGGGTAGGTCGCAATTAATATGTGCATAAAATAGCTGGCGAACATATGTAGTTGCCGTTCTTATCTGAGATCACTTTTGCCAACGGAAGTTATCTCAGAAACAACAAACAACATATTTTCAGTTGAGCTGCATAAGCAAATTAGAGATGTAAATTAATTTTGATACCGTTTGTTGCAGCTTTAATCAGAATCCCAGGATCTGATTATGGTTACTCCTCTTGGTTGACAAGCTGACATATACGGAATGGAAAACTTAATTATAATAAATTTCATCATATAAATTATCTACAAACAAAATTACTAATCTTGCCGTATTTCTAGAATTTTTTTTACTTTTAAATGTGAAATGTATTTAAATGTGTTTAAATTTATGAACTTTAATTTATGAACTTGAACTCTTGGACTTTATTTCCACTGATTTTGAAATAAAACTTGAAGAAATGCATTCTTTATTGTCGAGCTTAATCTTATTTTACATTGCGGTTCAAGGTGTCAAAAACTTGAATACGAGCTTGGCTAGGAGTCTGTCAGCATCCAACTCACCGACCCACGCGGGAACCATTCAGTAGGCGAGCATTGTTTCTAACACGCAGGTCAGCTCAGTCCACCCGCGGAGTCAGTCATCATCTGTCGTGCAAAGAAACCAGAACACAAATTGTGCTGCACAATCTTGCCAGATATTCTCAAACTTTTGATAAAAATCGAATCAAATCAAGAATTGTTTCGCAGGTAAGCATTTGTATTGTTAGCTAATTTAATTAATCTTGATGAACAAATAATTTACATTGTTGAAATATAATTTCGGAGAAGTCGCGAGTTTCGAGGGAACTTCGGACTAACTATGAAGGTCAGACGAACAACCAATCTCTTTACGAGAGATGTTGAAATTCAACGATACGACGGTTCCATCGTCAAAGCAATTGAACTTTTTGAAGGCCCTGACAACAATGCTGCTGCGCCGTACATCGTTTACCCGAAGTAAGTAAAGAAAATTGTTTATACCGCCGACAAATATATTCCAGAAAAGCCACAAATGGTAAAAACGGCTCCTCCCTTGGTTTGGCTGAGCAGTGATTTATATACAAACCCATTAGCCATTGCCCACGTAGATATTTAGTAACTATAATAATAATTAAAGTTAAATACGAATGTAATTCTACTTTTTAGCAACAACCAAACTGTGTCATCATCATCGTCGGCGGCTTCTTCAAAGTCTTCTGAGGCACAGGAATTCCTGTGCCAAAGCTGCACCAAGAAATTCTCCTCGGCGTCAATGCTCAAGCGTCATGAAATTATTCACCAGGGGACTTTTATTTGCCCAGAATCAGGTTGTGGATCACGATATCGGAATAAAACTACACTTACGAAACATCGAGTAGCTGAGCATGGATTAGTCCTTCATCGCAGTCAACGCCGACTACAACCACGTCGCCCTACAACACCCAAATTCGAACTTTCCGGCAATTCAGAAATCTTGGACGACTCGTCTGAAAAAATGGACGATCATTCAGAAATATTGGACAATTATTTACAAACATCTAAGGATTATTCAGGAAGCTTTAACGATTATTCAGGAAGATTGGACGATTGGTCAGGAAAAATGGAGGATCTTTCAGAAACATTGGACAATCATTCACAGACATTGGACGGTCATTCAGAAACAATGAACGATTATTTACAAACATTGGACGATTATTTACAAACATCTGAAGATTATTCGGGAAGTTTGAACGAGTATTCAGGAATTTTGGACGATTGTTCACAATCACCTGAGGATTATTCAGGAAGCTTGAACGAGCATTCAGGAATTTTGGACGATTGTTCAGAAACATTGGACGATAATTCGGGAACCTTGAACGAGCATTCAGGAATTTTGACTGAGTATTTACAAACTTCTGACGATTATTCGGGAGGCTTGAATTCTGGAAATTTGGACGAAGACATCACGAAAACCATGCTCAAGATAGACTCAAATTTGTACTCATCTTTCTCAGATAAATCTGAATAATGCCACTTGTTATTTGAAGCTCTTGTTATTTGAAGCGTTTATGAAATATTGCTCAAATTTGTGAACAAGTAAAGAATTAAAATTAAACGTGAAAGTAAAATTGGGTTGGTTTGATTTTTATTAATTTCTTATATAGAATAAGGGTGTGTTAGTAATATGTTTCCATTTCGACCCATCCACCTGGTTGACGCCGTATAAGCCATCGTCTTACTTCGTCGTAGAGCATAATGAGTACTGCGAAGGGAAGAGGAGGCAGCCACCATACAAATCTGTACACATATCAAGCAAATTTATGTAATCAGAAATCAACCCCACTAATTGCATAATATGCATTAAACAAATTTATAATGCACAAGTGGACAGATATGACATGTACTTTAAGGGTTGCATTCTTAGTGCGACGTCCATTCCGGGGGTGTAGCTAAGAAAGGCCGCAACGGCAGTTTCGAAAACAAGTCCAAAATTCAGAACCCAGTTACCTGTTTTTGTCCACATATTAGTAACAAACAATAATTGGATTACACGAAAAGTAAATTAAGCCTCTAAAGCAACTTAATAATTATATAAAATTATAAAATTTACCCATTCCTTGGTCCCAAAGCGACAAGCGCCTTGTTTTACAAATGATGACATCCGCCCACTGAACGATGACTATGGCCACAAAGAAAGCTGGAAGTATTAAAAAAATATTTAATGAAATCAAAGAAGAATGGGGGTCGAGTTAAATTTTTCATTGTTCTAGTTTCGGCGGTGTCTTTAAATATGATGCTCTTTTCAATAGGCCAACACGTATATTTAGAACTTGCCTGTATGACAAGTGTATTCTAATTTTTTTCTCGCAACGTATGTCCATTCCTGACCATATGAATCTTCTAAATCATTGACCGCTCGGCTTTCCCATCGGGGTCGAATTCCGTACAGATCCTGAGGGAGAAATCCATTTTCTGCCATGATGATAAAGTACACGAAAAAACCTGCCACTGCCTGTATCATCCCGACTGTTAGTAATTAATTTAATTAGTAATTCAGTTTATTATTATTCATAATCATACTTATTAGAAATTAATTATTTGTAAATTGCCTTGTCCGTACGCAACGGAAATGAGCCGTTCGTTAACCAGCCGATCTCGTTTCGGATCACGTGGCGATCGCAGCATTATGTCAGATTCGGATTTCTCATACGCGAGCGATATTGCAGGGACCATATCGGTGCCAAGGTCAATGCAAAGAATTGTGACGGAGCCGAGAGCTAAGGGAATGTCAAAAAGGATAAAGAAGAGGAACGGCGACACTTCTGGAATCTTCGACGTTAGCGTATAAGCTATAGATTTCTTTAAATTATCGAAGATCAAACGTCCTTCCTCGACACCCGCTACGATTGTTGAGAAATTGTCATCCAGCAGAATCATATCTGCGGCCTGAATGCATTCAATTTCACGATTTTTTAACTTAATGAATGATGAATAGTGTAAATTTTAGCAACCTGTTTAGAAACGTCAGAGCCCGTGATTCCCATCGCCACGCCGATATCAGCTTTCTTTAAGGCTGGCGAGTCATTAACGCCTGAAAAGTGCATAAAGTGTGTAATAACTCAAATAATGAATATAATTGCCTAATATAAATTATTTGAAATCACATGATTTTTACCATCTCCTGTCACAGCCACAATGGCGCCCTGCTTCTGCAAAGCCTCCACAATTTGCAATTTTTGTTGGGGAGAAGTCCGAGCAAAAACTATCTCGCTGTAATTTCTCAGCACATTGTCCAACTCCGTTTCACTCAATTCTTTCAGCTCTCCTCCATGAACGACGGCGGCGGACGCGGATTCTGGGGACACTTCGGACAATGGAACACCCAACCTGTTGGCAATGTCTTCAATTGTTTCGTTCTCCGGGGAAATTATTCCAACGGATTTTGCAATCGCTTTGGCTGTTATGGGGTGATCTCCAGTGACCATGATTACACGAACGCCGGCAGATCGGCACTTGGCCACAGCGTCGGGAACTGTGGGCCGAGGAGGGTCCAACATTGAAATTAACCCCACAAATCTCAGTTCAGTTAAAGGAAAGTTGGGCTCCTCTGAGTTGAAATTGTAGCCTATTGGGTAGTCACATGATGGCAAGGGTAGATCGCAGAAACCTATACACAAATACATGGAAGAATATACACATATTGACATTTATATTGAATTACACTATGTGATTTGCGTAGAGTTTTAAGAAACATGATGAAAATATGGCACTTATTGAATACTCACCTAATACCCTCTCTCCCAAAGATCCCAGTTCTAGATATGCATCGTGGAAAGCATCAAGGGCCTTGTCGTTCATGGCTACCTCTCCCTGGTTTGTCATTATTGTTGAACACCTTATTGTATTAATATTTCATGTTATGAAGTGCTTTATAAATTTCTTCATTAATTTTGAAAATATAATGCAATCGAGTCAAAAATTGTATATACATCCCAACCTTTCTAATATTCGCTCTGGTGCACCCTTCATAACGAGTAAGTGACACCCCTTATCCGTCATATTGTTCGCATGAATGGATAGCTGAAACTTGTCGCTTGAGTTGAAGGGGATCTCGCAAATTTTGGGAAATCTTTCCCGAATTTTGGCAGCACTTCCTTCTGCCAATTCCACAAATTTGAGTATTGCTGCCTCCGATGCATCTCCAGCGACATCCCTTTTCATCACGGGAACACTGCTGTCCTGACCCCCCTTGAATTCAGCCGTGCTGCAGAGTGCCGCAATCCTCACGAGTTTCTGGTATCCGTCGCGTTTATTGTATCCTGCAACGCCCACGCTGGTGCAGTCATCGTTAAGTTTTGCATCCACAATCCCACCTTCAACCCAGAGGTGTGACACGGTCATCCGGTTTTGAGTTAAGGTGCCCGTCTTATCGGAACAGATTGCGGAGGTGGAGCCCAAGGTTTCGACGGCTTCCAGGTTTTTCACCAGACAATTCTTTTTCGCCATCCGTTTCGCTGTGAGTGTCAGACAAACGGTGACCGTAGCCAAGAGACCTCAAGAATCAAAAAGGTATGCATGTAAGCATATTCAGTTGTGGATATAAATGCACGTATGAAGTTATTATTTTTGTGCATTTTGTGTACCTTCAGGCACCCAGGCCACGATGATCTGTTTTTAAAAAATAAAATTTTTAAAACATCTTTGACAAAGCATTTCTACATAGTCAAAATTGTATATAAATTTATTTGCATAAACATAATGAGGATACCCCGATAAAGAAAATGACCCCGTCCAGCCAGTGATAGCGAAGTGCAATGGCGGCTGCGAGCAAGGCGAGGGCGAGACCAAACGCAACGACGGTGATGATGTGGATAAAGTGGGCAATTTCTTTGGCTATTGGTGTTTCTCCAGAGTCGAGACCAGATACGAGGCCCGCAATCCTTCCCATCACTGTATTGTCACCAATTCGGATAACTATTCCCTTCGCAGTTCCTACATTTATGTTACAGTATAGAATCATAAGCATTTCATTATTTCATTATTTAGTTTTATTCTGAATTTTCTATAGTAAGATCTGAAATTTCACCTTCAACAGCATTCGTGGAAAAAAAAGCAAGATTCTTTGTCTCTAACGGATTCTCATTGGTGCAATCTGGTCCTCTGTAGAACAGTAACACCATGTTTTTATAACTGATCAGGGAGTTTGCATGGTGATTTATGTATGCAAATATGTACATATGTATTAATATGTACGAGTCCTTGCCTTGACTGAGCCTCACTTTCTCCAGTCAACGAGGAGTTGTCTACTTTGAAAGATTTTGCTTCGACAATTCGTATGTCGGCCGGGATTCTGTCACCCAGCTGCACTTCCACCAAGTCGCCAATTGTCACTTCTTCCGCCTTTAGCGTGAGGCGTTGTCCTTCTCTGATCACTCGGGCGTATTGAGGGACGAGATCTGAAGTTGATAAAGGTAGGATAACGCAATTAATAAATTTCGAGTAAGTTGAGGTACTTCCTCCCACATCTGTGTGAATTACCTTTGAAAGATTCCATAATGGCAGAACTCTTGGATTCTTGGTAGAATGAAAATATACCAGTGATGAGCACCACGATTGTAAGGACGAGACCGAGCCAAAGCTATAAAATCCAGCAAAAGTGGATGATGGAAAAATGAAATGTTATACTTTTCATCTGCTCGATTTGTAATGAGTTTTCTATTTCACTGTTTGTATAATTAATTACGTTATCCTTTGACGCTGTCTCTGAGCTCGACGCTTGAATTGCATAAGCAATGAAGCAGAGAATGGCACCAATCCAGAGCAGGATTCCAAAGTAGCTGAACACATTGCGGATGAAAATGACCCATTGAGGCGTTGTCTTTGGGGGAGTCAAGCGATTTGGCCCTTCCTTCTCAGACATAACTTTCGCCCAGGCATGGCTTAACCCTTTGAGTGGACACGTCCTCAACTGACGGCACAGGTCGTCCAGGGGAAGGGTGTGCTCTGTAATCTCGATATCTCCTTTCAAGGAGGCCACGTCCTTCTTCTTCCCCTGGAATTGTTCGCACATATTAAACAAAAGATTTGAGGTACTTTCAGGTAGTAAATAATAAGAAGTTTCAAAATGAGAATGGTCCTTTTTTGTTTTCTGTACGTACCATTTTTTAGAAGCTAAATAATTCCAGCGTACTTCTTTTAATCACTGCCGATGGAAAATGCAGGTGTATCGACCGTCATCTTCATCAATGACCAATGTTCTAGGCCTTTTATCGTTATTTGATGCCATTGTCATGAAAATCTACAAACCAGTTCAAACTCATGCAATTAGGAGGAGTTCTACTCTTCTAAGGATAAGTACTTACGTATGCATGTACGTATGCGTTAACGGAGTATTTCATACATAGCGACATACCTGCAGACGTATGTATGTACATATTTAAGGATATGGATGGCATAGGATTTACGTATCACGCATCGAGTCACTGTCTCCTGAGTGCCAGGATTCGACGTTTTTTGGATATACATATTCCATCGTCAACTATACAAATAATTGACTAATTAGAAAATGTTCATGTGCCAGACGGGCGATCACTCTTAAAAATTAAATCGGTCACATACTGGTTTAATTTGCTCTCATTGACCAGACTAAATTTCGCACGGCAGTTCTAAGCAATTGCTAAACGAATGCCGAAACCTGTTCAAATGTTAATTTAATTTTTACATAATTTCATATTTTGACGGTTAGAAAAGAATCAATCAATTCTTCAATTATTCTAGAATTCGCTATGCACATGTGTGTATAATGCATTAGTCGAATGGGTGCTAAATTATTTGCTAATTGATTCCAGATTTGCTTAGGTTCGCCAGTTCAAACGTGATTACAACTCTTATGAAAATATTAAACCAATCATCATCATCACTCGCTTTCCAGCTTTTGTTTTCATAAAATTTCTAGCTCAATCCGGTTACGGTGTACCCCTTTCATTAAAAGGTAATTAATACGGTTAGTCAAAGGAATTGGTTAAATAAACATTCCGTGCTTCCTTCTACATACATAATTAATTAAAAATTTCTAATCTGTATGAATCTTTTCAGAAATATGTAATAATTCATTTATTTCGTGTAGTAAAAACATTGGGATCAATATAAACGGTCAATTACTAAATCATACTGATGTAAAAAATAAGGCTCATGTTAAAAATTATAAAATAAAAAGTACATGGTTCATAGTAATTAATTCACACTCAAAACAAGTTAACGTACGTAAGTATTACGCATACATATTTATAAAGTTGGCGACTTAAATAATATGCAAAAAAAACACTGTTAAAAATTCTGATCTTGGAAATACATGAAGACTATGCAAATGCAAAATGAAAATGCATTTTAATTATTCGAATAATTAGTTGAGGACAATAATTATATGGATCCTCACCGTAAATTTTAATTGTCACTGTAATAATATTTCTGGGGATTTTGTGCAGTGGGTTTCGTGTACTGGTTGCGTATTCTGAGAAGCTCCTGATGTATTTCGGAGTATGAAATGGTTTTGTGGTTTCCGCGAATCCTCTCCGGCCAGTTCGCAGGGTCCTCGTCAAGGTCTGCGTCAATCTCCTCCTTATTCTCCACGTTCAATGCCATGTCATCCTCGTCCAAGGAAAGCGGTTGGTTCAGTTTTGGAAATGTTGGGCGCTTCCATAGTTGCGGCTCTTGTGAACGCGAAGACGACGCACCTTGTGGATCTCGTGACAAGGACGGAAATCTATTGATGCCAAGTGCGCTCCGAGGACAGTGAAATTTAGATGAGGACCAGGACGGTACGGCATTCGCAGATTTGGGGACATGAAATCTCGACGGCGATGTTGCTTGTCTTGAATAACAAGGAAATAGGATTTCTCTGTGATCCGTGATTTCGTCCACTTCGTCTTCGTCATTGTCAACGGATGCTTCGATAGGTGGCCAACCATCATTATCTGAATACTGTGACGAATACGTAAAATCAGACGAATCAACTTTGGATCTGTTTTCAGCTGCATGTTCAGTCAATTTGTTCTCTTCGGATAATTGTGACTTTCGTGAAAATGAAGGTCCAAAGCAAACTTTGGACTTTTGTGGTGGAGGTGTGGAAATGGATGTAATTTTATTGCTGTTTCGGATGTCTTCATTTCCAAAGTCTTGTGATGCTAGAAATTGTGGCCAGTCACTTGCAATGCTCTGTAGAAATCCATCCACGATTTCCTCGTCTGGATGGATGGACTTGGATGGTAAATTGTCTTTGGAAACCGTACTCATTGGTAGCGTTGGAAGTGAAGATAAAGCTTTTTCTGGTACCGTTAAACCTGGAGAAATTAGGCTGCAACTGGGTAGGCTTCCATCCTTTGCAGGTGGAGATAAATGAGGCTCCTTATGCTCCAGAATTACTGTAATCACGCTGCTTGTGCTTGAAGCAGAGCTTGATGACCTTGACGAGACTGGACTCAACGGACATGATAAGTCAGAAGGAAGTTCCAGTAATTTGACCTCATTTTTTTTGTTTTCCGGTACTTGATCCAGCACCATTCCCAGGTCCTTTGCCCTGTGAGTGAAATGAACCAAGTTAGCTTTTCCTTTGTACAGTTTTAAACGATAAAAGAACGTAGAGCTACGAATATTTAGATGGTCCTCATACTCATCAGGATGCATTTTGCGGATGTGATTTTTTTGGTCCTCCTGACCCTGCAGAAGTCCAGTGCAACTGGGGACGGGACACGCATAAATTCCTTGATGCGTCAAGTATTTGTACCACAGCAGTCCTACCGAGATCAACTCTGCTCCACAACGACCAGCCTCGTCCTCAGTTTTCGACCTTCCAGGACAAGTTTTGAACGTTGTTCCTTCATATTCGCAAATCATGTGTCCCTCAGCACATTGCATTAACGGGTACGCCGTGGTGCAGTGGCAGTAGACACAATTAAACACCTCGTAGATATCCTCAACTGGGGACGAACTAGTAATTTGAGATTTTGAAGACAATAAGAACGTCATAATTAATTAGCATACCAAAAATATTTCCAGCATTTCGTTTAGTAATGGAAACGAATAATAAACTGAAACAACTCACTGTTGGATTTTTTGTTGAGTCAATTCGCTGTTATTTGAAGGAACAGGGCTTTGTACTTTTTCTGAAAGTTGCGTCATGTCGAATCGTACTATTTGATTTTATTGATATTAAATCAATTACATTTAATATTATTTCTGGAGGAATTTATAAGTATATACTTGTGCAATGTTAGTGTCAAGACTGGTTTTTGATTTACTAAATATGAACATATTTATGTATGCATGAATAGATGTGAATGTCTAAACATCGACCAATATGCAAAAGGCAACAGTTATTTTGAACCCACGTTGCATGGCCAGTGTAGAAGACATGATATTAGAATGCTTCAATTGATATGCGTATTCTAAATATGTAAAATGTAGTAATTCGTGACTTATTCAAATTGCTCTTCCAATCTGAACCACATATTCCGAAAGCAGGACAAAACTTTACCCTAGAATATATCTTAAATACCATAGTACTTGCATAATACTGTTCAATTTAATTTCAATTTTTCTTAAACACAAATCCTAATAATGATCAATTTCATGGTATATTAGTCTCGTAGCGTTGGAAATGTTTGTGTGTATGCATGGAATATCTTTACTACTTTATTTTATTGTTGGATGCATAACATCGTTACATATACAAACATATAACAGAATATGAACTATGCATGTAGTATTCTTTTTTGAATTCTTCAAAACACGTCCAGCAGAGAAGTACGGATGAGAACACCGGGGTCCAAGTGGGATTAATCTAATGTTAATCTGAGGTTGTGTAGTTTAATAGAATTTAAAAAACCTGGATTAAACTTACACAACCTGTAGTAACATCAAATTATTCCCACAAGAGCAAAAACCTATGACCCTGATCGAAATAATCTAAACGATTTCCAATATCTAACAATTTATTGTTTCGCAAATTAGTGTTAATTATAATATAGTTAATGTGGCCAAAATATGACAATTTTCAGCATTGAAGTCAATTACAGGTGCAGTTTGCCAACTTTCCCTTCAATTTCAGAACATTCTTCATTGGAAGCCTGTTTGGGGGCCCCATTGACAAAAGTGACGGCCGAATTGAGTTTTTCATTCACCACGAGGCTGAACACATCCGGACGAGAATAGTGACCGACCGGGTCAAAGTCTATTTTCGACCTGATGATCTCATCCAAATCTATCTCTGCGGTGAGGACCACCTCTGATTCGTAATTCGGACCGGCCATCAATTCTCCGTACGGGTTGATGATACAGGAGCCCCCCGAACAAATTACAGAGTCTGGGTCATCACTCGCAAATGTTTGGTGATAGTCGACACCTTCCTTGTAGTCGCTTCGCTTCACGAATTGATTGCACGTGAGAACAAAGCATCGTCCCTCCACCGCAATGTGACGCATCGAATGCAGCCAAGCCTCCCGAGAATCGGCTGTCGGTGCCAGATAGATTTGGACACCTTTTGCATACATTGCCATTCTGAGCATGGGCATGTAGTTTTCCCAGCAAATTACACCCCCGATGCGACCAATGTCCGTTTCAAAGACGGGGATTGTAGAGCCTGATTGTTGATTTGAAAACATTAGCATAATTTTGGAGGGAATAAAGAGCTGGATATAAAATTAAATAAGGAGACGACAAAAATCATTCAGGACTCACCATCCCCAAATCCCCACACACATCGTTCCCCCGCCGTAGGCATTAGTTTACGATGTTTTCCAAGCAGTACTCCCGAGGGGTCAAAGTACAGGATCGTGCAGTAAAGAGTCCCGTTTCTCTCCTCTCTCTCAATAACTCCAATTACTAAATGAAGTTTATTGTCCCTGGCAATTTCCCCGAGGCGATGCGTAGCTGGCCCTGCAAATAGAATATGTAGCATAGGTAAGGTTTAACATAAACTACGTAAATGCGTGTACATGGATGGATACTATTTCAATTTTTAAGAAATTACCGGGTACAGTGACAGAACTCTCCCAATATTTCTGGAACATTTCTCTGCCTTCCTGAGTTCTCGAGCCAATCACAACCCCAAAATTATTTCCTTCACATACGCAATAAAACAAACCATTACAAGGACTTTTAGCACAAAAAATGTAATCTGCAAAATTACCTCTGGGGTACCACGAAATGAAGGCTTCAGGAAAGAGGAGTAACTCCAAGCCAGCCCCATTGCATCCATACTCGCTCGTGATTTTTGCCACCTTTTCCAGAGTAGCCTCTCGATCTAGAATAACTGGTGAAGCTTGAACCACTCCCACCTTGACCTTTGAGTCATTCTTCGGCGTCTTATCTGCTTCTGTTGTTTGAGCTGAGGATGGGAAACGTGTTATCTTGTTGGATGCCATGGTGGATGAGAGAGAGAACCAAGTCAAACGAATCAATGAGACTGCTGACTTCAATGAAGAACTAAACTAGTTTAATCACATTTGTTTCACTTAAGTGAGCTTACAGTCAATGTCATTTCGGTCAATTTACTTGGATTATCTATGTATACCGATAGACTGAGGATGAGTATGTGCATATATGATATATGTATGCACAGAGTAAGTAAATATACTTGGAATGTATGCATGTATGCATAAGAGTGCGTGGTAAAGAAAAACACAGACTGTACGAGCATCCAAATTTGCATCATTTATGTTTAACTGACCCACACCTCTTTTCTCACGTGTTTGGGCATCTCTATAGATTTATGAATTGCACATGATGAAAAGTTGTCATGGGTTAAAAATTTTAACCCATGACAACTTCAAATTCTTATGGCTGAGGTCTGGCCGAACTGGAGGTAGCCTTTAAAGATACGACTGAAATGTAAAGAGGCGTAGTTACTATTGCTAACTATTGCCCAAAAACAAGTTGTAGAATCATGTGAGCAATTGTCATGTGACGAAAACTTTTTTGACATTTGCATATTTAATGCAGCTTGAATATTTACCTGCTTGGTATGAACTTGTGATAGTTGTGATACCTGTTTTCCTTTAGTCGAATGATTAAAATTTGTTGTATGTGATGTACGTAGAGTTGATTGTGCATACATTTATTTTTATCATAAATTTAAAGTACTTATATGTATGAAGTAACAAAGAAAAATACTGAATTGCATGATTCAATTCTATTTATAATTTTCAATTCCGCTCCAAATTTCTTCGACAGTCGACGTGTTTGTCGTAATGATAAATTTGTCGCCAACTTTTGAGACAAATTTAGTACTGAGTGTCTTGGTGTCGACTACTTTGCTAGTGAACCCAAACCCATCATCGGATGAGTTGTTGGAAAATGACATGGTCGAATTATCGTTGCTTGCGATTGAATCATCAGAATGAAACAGTCGTCGTGAACTTGGATGAATATTGTTTGGCGAGGAGGAAGAAGCTAAAATGAAATAATTTTATTTGTAAAATTGCAAAATTTATACAATTTCAGCATCATAATTGCCATATTTCAATCGTTCATAAAAAATATTTACCATCATCTGAATTACGGACACCTTTGTCTGTCGTCACGTGGATTGGGTCCGAGTAGTCTCCAAGGACATATTCGTTCCGAACAGCGGCACGAATTACATATGTTGTATTTTCTTCTAAATTGACAAGCTCGACAGTTTCGGCTTTCCCGTCTTTACTGGTTCCATTCCAGACAACGTCCAAAATTTTTCGAAATTGAACATAAATCTTGGTGTAGTTATTCACTTTCATATTTTCGAAGGAGACACCGAGCGTGATTACTTTACTTCCGATGACCTTTGGATACAAGAATGGAATATCGTTAGGTTTTTCGGGCATTTTGAGGAGGAAAACAGTCTCAGACTTTCCCAATGTGTTCCAAGCTTCGCAAATGTATTCCCCATAGAACGTCGAGTCCCGAAGTAAAATCTATGTTAGGGGAAGGAAAGAAAGAGAAGTAAAAAAAAAATACGAAAAATTAAGAACACAATCAGATCACTGAAATTTGAGAGAATGCAACCAACCGTCAAGTTTGACACGTCCTCGTGATTTGTGGCGATTGTAAAACCGCTCTGGTTCTGAATAATTGTTCCATTGTTGTGCACCCACGTAAATTTAGGGTATGGCCTCGCTTGGGCGTTGCAGGAGAGAGTGCACTCAGCCCCCACGAGGGCGTGGACTTCTTTGGTGGTGGAATACGAATGTGCCTGTCTGGAGGGAGCAATATTCTCAGAAGGACGGCTGGGATCACTTAAAGATTTCCCTTCTACAAGAGATATTAATATTAATTAGTTGAAAGCGAAATTTTCATGAATTTACAGAAAGACTTGATGCAAATTGCCTCGATTGGTGTTGGCCATTGAAATAAAGGGTTGAAGAAGTATTTGCATAGACTCGACCATTGTTTTCCCTGGTATTAAGGCGTGGCACAAATATTCCCGATCAAAGTCTTCGTTTGAAACGTTACGAATGACGAGATTTGAGTCGGAAAGTATTTGAAATTTTGATCCTGTTCATACCATTGCAAAAATGGGGAAGAAAGTGGTGTGAAACAGTACACACATAATCATGTGGTAAAGTATAGATATTTTTAGTTTGACTGATTTTTACCGTCCGGAACCAGGCCATCAACTGTCCAGAATGTAGCAACTGGGAGCTTGACCTTACACTTCATTTTGTAATTTGAATGTGGTTTTGCAAATTGTTTTTTCAAGTCCAAGTTGAATAACTCATTTGAAACTTCCGCGACTGTAATTTAAAATAATTCCCCAAAGTATTACTTGTACCCTTAAGATCGTACGCGGAATACATATGTTTATACACCTGAATTGTTTATAGTTGCATTTGATCGACCAGCTATATGCAAGGATGAAGTGGTCTGAAAAGAAAATAACAACAAGACAACAAAAATCATGACCGCGGCTCGATAAACGTATTTTAAAAGACGGCGATTCGGTGGAAATTCTAATCGGGATAGTAGTGACACTTCCCTTGAAAATCCAAACTTGAACTTAATCTTTCTAGACAAGTGTCAAGTTGTGTAATAATAAGATTCAAGGATGCGTCGTGACGTACATATGACATTTACCTGAGAAAAGTAACAACATTTCATTTACTTTCTTGTGCAAATTTTATAGTGCAAATATTTGACATGCATATGTACTTCTTGATATTCAAAGGTACCTATTTATGTATACAAATTGTCACTTTACTCAAATTTTAAAAAAGCAAGAGTCGTGCGTTACTGACTGTCATGTTGAAATGGAATAAGTGGCCTTGACAATGACACAAAGACAAACTATAAGTTTCACGTTTAATAATTATTTATCAATAATTTGATAGAATTTGTGCACTTCAGTTTAATTAAATGTAGTTTGAAATATTGATGCACTGAAAGCTCGAGTGGAGGCTACCCCACTTTCTATGAGACCGGAGCAGTTTCTAGTTGGATACCACTCGGCGTATCCGATATCTGTAGATAAGGATCCAGCCACACATGCGGTGAGCAGGGCGGCAGCGTTGCCCCCAATAAACGAGGTGAACACGACCTTTGTCAGGTCATTCCTTCGCTCAGGGCACATTGCTGAGATTCCTCCAAGCGTGATCCCGATTGAGGAAAAGTTTGCGAAACAGCATAACGAATAAGTGCTAATAGTAACGCTTCGTGGCTTGGAAAAAGAGAAAAGTGTATGTATTGACACATTTATATTGCTTGCTCAACGCTATTATGTGTAGTTACCGATAAGCACAGCTGAGTTAGTTGGCCGTAGGCGACAAATTCGTTCACCACAGTTTTAACTCCAAGAAGAAGAGCCACATCTTCAATTTCTTCATTGTCAATCCCAATTACCCAAGCGAGTGGAGTGAATATTTTGGCCACGAGCCACTAAATGAATATTTGTAATGTCGTTACTTACCAAATAAATAAAATACTGAATAACAAAGATTCTGACAAACTCAGATTTACAAAGCTTTACTTGAAATGTCAATTCCTCAATCCCCACAAGAACTCCAAACCAATTAATAATGACATCGAGCATGGTGACAAACGATGTAATTGCTATAAGACTCGCAACAATATTTAAAACCAGGAAAACTCCTTGCGACGCTCCATGAGTCCCAGCGTCAAGGGCATTCCCCATTTTCCTACAAAAAAACGAATTGTAGGACTATGACTTCGAGGTGCGTACGTACACAAGACTTTTCAACTTGCATCCACTCACTTTGGACGAAGTGAATAGATTTCTGCAGAATTTGTCATTGATTTCTTTGTTTCAGGGTATAAAATTTTCGCATACGCCAAGGCGGCAGGCGCAGACATTACGGATGCTGAGAGCAAGTGAAATGGGTCCACCTGTCATGAGTCACGACTTGTATTATTTAACAACGTAATGGTGTAACTCCAATTTCGCAACTTAATGTTATGTTTAATTTGCATACTCCAAAGCTGATGTAAGCTCCAAGAACCGTGCCCGCAATAGTTGCGAACCCTCCCGTCATTATAGCGTTTAGTTCGGAATTGGTCATTTTTCCAATGTAGGGTTTTACCGTTAATGGAGCTTCAGACTGGTAACATGGTACATTGTATTTTACCCACAAGGAAGAATTTACAAAGTGCATTATTCGGTAGATAATTGCATACCTGCCCCAAGAAAATATTGGCAGCTGCATTCATAGATTCGGCTGCTGTGGTTCCAACTGTGACCTAATAGTTCACGCGTTCGTTATTTCAAAAATAGTCAATTGCAAGAAATTGTGGGCTTAAATATTTATTAGCAGGCCAAATAACCTCAAGAACCCAGCCCATCTTTGCCACAATCCAAGACATGGTTCCGAAGTGGTAAAGTATTCCAATAAAGAAACTTAGAAAATATATTGCTGAAAGGGACTGTATTTTTAAGACATTTAGTATTTCTTATAATACAGTGATTTTGTTGTATTTTGTCTCGATTTACCTGAAACACAAATACACCTGGTAGGACGACAAACTCATCTCCAGACATTAGCGTTGTATTGAATCCAGTAGCCAAATAACCGTAACTATTCAAATGAAATAAGTATTCATTTACAAACATTTTTAAAAGAATAATTGTTAAGGTTCATAATTACACGAAAGAGGAGCCAGAATTTGCAAAGTTCAGGAATGTGGTGACCTTAAATGATAAAGCATTTAAAGTAAATAATTCAGAAATTAGGCTATAATTTTTCTTGTATTTAATAATTTTGCTGCATAGATATTTATTTTCACGCTACAATTGTTGGATACCTTATCGCTAATACATTGCAAAATATCTCTTCCCGTTGACCATCTCAAGATTAAGAGACCAAACAGGAACTGAAGAGTCATCCCCCAAATTACATGACGCCAGCGTATTCTTCCAGGGTGTTTGGAAATGATGACCCCCAAAAGGACGAGCACTACCAGTCCAAGGCTAGAGATAAGGCGCTTCCGATTGTCTCTCGTGTCCAGAACGACGAATATGATGAGTGCCACAAGGACCAAGAGGCTAAGACCAAGTTGCACGAACCAGAGTGCAATTAAGGGCTGTATTATAGTATTCAAGGATATAACGACGCGCTTGACGTAGGGTTTGGCAAAGTTGTAATAAAATAAGCCAAAGTAAACCAGGCCTGTGCAAACAATGAGAAAACCGAGACCTTCACACCATTCAATGTTTGTGTCGTTCCTAATATGATATGCAACAGCGGTTATTATGTAAGCATTGTAGAGTAGGAATAATCCGACGATAACGACCACTTTCAGCCAAGGATTTTGTGCAGCAGAATTTCCAACGAGTGAATGTAGCAATTCCAAGAATTTTGTTACAGGATTTGTTGGCTCATTGTCCAGGTCTTCCATAGAAGATTCGAAATCGTCAAGAATTGAAGTGGCGTCATCGTCAGGGGAGTCATGGGACTTGGTGTTTTTAAGTCCTATACTTTTGCGACTATTCCGACGACTGTCCGATGTGTTGGGGATGGTTTGGGCAGCGTCTTGATTTGCTGGGATGAGCGAGTTAGCAGATCCCAACGTTCCACCGCCAGTGTTTTCAGATTCCATGCCGTTGGAATACGAAGTGTGATGGTAAAAAGTATTTACAAAGCGAGAATTGTTTCAAAGAGGAACCGTCCACCTAGGAATCAGAGTTCGAAATGTGAATTAAGTAGGCCAAGTTCATAGTAAAGCCGCGTGGGTCAGATTGTTATCAACTCTGTGTCAACATATAAATAAATGCCTGTTCACGTATAAAGTTTTGTGAAGAATTGCATGTTTGATTGATGATGCGTTGCAGCGATAATTAGGTGGCTTTTGCAACCAATCAAGCGTAAAGTCCAAATCTAGATTGACGGGGATTTGCGTGTAACCAAATTCGTAGAAATACTAACTAGGGAATCTCGATCATTCATGTTTTTTGGCAAGTATTTTGATTGGGCGATTTTTATCTTTGCATAATCTATAGATAAATATATTAAACTTCAACTGCAAATTCCATTATCAGGCAATGTGATATGTATTCAATACGACGAACATGAAATTCCTTATCGACTTTATTTAATTGTCCAAATTGAAATTTTTAATTTTTCCTGGTTTATAGATGCATCATGCAAGTGCGCTTAGTATTTTATGTACTTATGTATAGTGTAGTGTGCACTTATCCTTGGTATTTTATGCACATGGCGCAGGATGATACAATGATGATTGCACGTATGCAGCCTTACAATGTAAATATGTAAAACGTAAACATTTCGTTGAAAAATGAGAACAAACAATGAAGCATGTAAAATAGCAATCTCTAATCGAGTTAGAATAATTAAGCACTTTAAATTCCTCAGCGTAATTGATTTGTCCAGATATATTTGAATTGCCAATAATAAATGTATTTGTCACTTTTTTTTGTCTTACAAGTTTTGAATGTTTGGAAGATAACTAAGTAATTAATGAGGCAGCCAGGTATGTATCCATACCTGATTCCGAATTGCTGAAATACGTGTGAAGAGAACCCTAGATTTTAAATTGCTACCATGACACACATAATTTATGGTTTAATGCAGATCACTGAAGGACTGAGGTGTCAAAGTTGAATCGCTATTTGCATTTCATTATCAGGCTATGTATCTACTTGCAGAAGTAAATATAATTACGTGACAAGCTCAGAGAATTACAAACTCTTTGTCGGTGGCCTTTATGTTTAAAAGATTTAGCATATTTATTATGCATTTTCGGTTCCAAGCTCATAATTATTAGAATCATGCGACAAATGAACTGTTGAACTGAACTGGAGCATGAAAATAAAAATGATGAATTGTAAATCGTACAGAACGGCATATGCATTATCATGTATCATACAATTTAGAGGGAAAATTTGTGCAACAAAAACTTATGACTTCAATAAGTTAATTAAATACGCTACTCTTAAAAAATTATCTCGTTAGTAAACATCCATATTTATCACGATATTTTAATTTTAATCTTTCTATTAAGTGTATACGTATTTAAATAAATATTATCACCGCTAGATGACAAAATACACAATTAAGGGTACACTCCTACTAGAAATTAGTGATTCCTGATACAGTAAATTAATGCTGGGTTGAATATTTTTGAATACGGTGGGTCATTAAAAGTACTCTAATTTCGAGTTACAAAAAAATAAGAGCTGAAATTTTAGCCCATGAAATCATTACACTTTATTCAGCAAAATTCTGGATTTAAATTTATTGCTATAAATCTAATTATTGCAAAGAGCACGTTCATTACATTCGTATGCATTTATATAAAGGCAACGAGTCTTTATTTTCCGTATAGCTAAACAATTTCATTTCGCAAAAATGCAAACCCAAAATTGTATAAAGATTTCGTTATGGAGTCTAATTTTCAGAATAGCTTATTTTTTCGCGAACCCTGCATCCTGCGTAAACTGGGCATATTTCAAAATGTATGATGTTGATACCACGGTCACCAACAATGGCGAGACGACTGTTGTCATGGAGTTTTACCAGAGCGAGCCTCATCTATCAAACGACTTTCAACGAGTTATGGCCAACACTCACCAGATATGTACGAACGGATTGTAAGTTAAATCAATTCCATCACTAATTTGCCATAAAACCCACATAATGACTTTTTTTCTAGGTGGCGACTTTTCCCAGGAAGTTTGTATACTTTGACTGGCAGCTATGGTGCCGAATTTCCAACCGGTTTCGGATTTGGAAGCTCAACCGATTACGAAACTTGCATTACTTTAAGCCAATCCGAAGCAATAGCACTTTCGACTATGGGATCTTTGCGCCGAGTTGGTCCTAAAAATCTCGAAGATATTTCCCTTCGTACTTACACTGGTCCATATTACTCTGGAATAGAATCTGTCATCGATGGGCAGAATATGGAGGACCGTAACTTGCGAGGATATATGGACTCGTATGTGATAACGGGACCCAGGTATCAACATCCTGATAACTATTCCGCATTTATCCCCGTTTTCCAGTTTTTCGAATTTGATCGCTATACTGGAGAAAAGATGTGCATCGTAATGGGAAATGACCAACATGGAAATTCGATCCCAAGAAAAGGCGCAGCATTCACGGCCAGCGTGTATGAGGAGAAAGTGGTGGATGGCGAAATGGGAGCTCGGTTTGGATCCGTTAAACTGATTCCTTACTCCTATATGTATTATAATACAGAGAGCAGTTGTCCACAGAATAGCACAATCTATGTTCCCGAGGGGGAAGGTTATGGAGATGATGACTATGATAATACCTATTATTCACAAACTTCTAACGGGGGTGGTTATGGTTACAGTGGTGGCTACAATGCATACAAAAGTGATCCTTCGCCAAGAGCAAGTCACTATTCTCCAAGTTACGAATCGCCCAGTTATCATCCACCATATTCTCCACCAGCTTATCAACCAACCTATTCTTCTAGTTATCATCAACCGAGGTATTCTCCACCAGCATATGAACCGCCAGCTTATCAACCAAGCTATTCTCCATCATATGAACCAAGCTATTCTCCTCCAGATTACCAACCAACCTATTCTTCTCCAGCTTATCAACCGAGTTACCAGCCAAGCTATCAACCGAGTTATTAGCTCGGTTATCAACCGAGTTGCATCCCTACGTATCAACCATCTTATTCACCACCAAGTGCTTCAGTTGTCACAAAGAAAAGTTAAATACATTAAAAATCGAACCCTACTTATCCTTAAGTAAAAGTTACCAATTAGTATATGTACATAGTGATGATAATCGTAAGATCAATTGAATGCTGTAGTAAAATCAGAACGATATACATCGACAATCTCTTTCAAATCATATTAAAACTATAATCTTGAAATTTCTTAGGTATATATTATAGACAATTGCATTAAATAATTTAAGTCATCTGTCAAAAACTCTAAACCGTCAATAAAATTGTATAATAAACAAAGCTATTCAATTCTATAAAGTGTCCATCTCTGTCGAAGAAACTACCGCAGGAGCTTTTTTATTCTTCACGACAACGGTGGTGTCCCTCTTCTCCACTTTGCGGAGTGCCTTCTTCTTCATCCTCTTAAGTTTTGCAGTGTTCTTAATCTGTGGACCCATCAAAAAATTAACCACTACTGTACCAACAACTTAATTCGTGTATATGTAGCGGTATGTGACCTTACCACTTGAACGATTTCGGACTTTTTTGCATTTTCTTCCTTTTTCTTCTTGTTCTCCTCCTCGCGACGCCTTTTCTCCTGCGCTTCCGTCTTGCGCGCATCCTTGATGGCGGTCGAGAGTTGCTTCACGCGATCCTTCTCCGCCCGCAACGCTTCCAACTTCACCGCCCCCACCTTTTTCCGCGATTTCACCATCGTCGTCGTCCTATAATGAAACACAAACAAAAGTAATGTCAATAATAAATTACTCGTATTATACACTATTAAGTTGACTAGATGGTTAGTGACAATGACAATTTCAGAGATTGTACACATTTTCAGCAATGTTTGCTGAAAGTTCGCCCTAATGAAAGTGAATTGGTATTATCCATCCACATTAGCATGTGTAATTTACAAATCATGGCTTACTTTTCTTACCTTTCTTTCTGAGATTTCCAAAACCGACCTGATTTTGGGGGTCCTCGAACATTCGGGTCCTCTACTTTTTTGGTCGATGCTTCGGTCCCTTTTCCTTTCGATTTTACCATATTTTAGAAAAGTAGGGACACCTCGTTAAATGTTTGCTTAATTACAAGTTGTAATTTATAATGACCACAAGTTTGTAAACAGAAACAGAGAGAAACAGTATTTTGTTATTCGATGTAGCACGTGCATGATGGCAAGTTTGAGATTTGCGCTGGGATACACTTTGCTTTTCCCATAGTGAGGCTTTTCCTTTGTCGCTTTTTTACATCGTTTTTAGTATGAATTTTTTACTGTTGTGCATGGAATTTTATTGGCATCTTTGAATTGTTAATTCTACATTTCTTTTTTATAATTAATGCACTATATGAAATCCCAGAACATTTAAAATGTAACTTGAGCTTTAACCAGTTGATCGAGCCCAAAATGCGAATTTATTTAGTGGAAATCTAAAATGAATTTTTTCGAGGTTTATATTTAGTAAACAATGTTAGTGAATAAAACTGCCCTGCTTCTTGGTCATACACATAAATATTTTTATTCTCATATGAAAACTTTTATAAATTTCAAAATTCTGGATATATACTTATGTACTAGGATAAAATCACATAGAAAATTACATGAGAAGAGATGTGAGTCAACACAAATTAGTGAAAAACTATTCAAGCTGGCCTTCAATTAGACGTACGTATATCTAAATATAGTGAGATGATAACAATAAAAAGAGCAGTATTGTGCTTTAGGTCGTGGTTTTTCTGCCATTCTCTCCCCGCAGCCATTGTTTACTCCCAAGACGACGACGGCACTCTTTTAGGCGTCTAACCTTCACACACAAAGGGCTTCACGTGGTAGCACGCAACGTCATGCCATTTCAATCCATCACCTAATCAATAATATTTCAATTTCACTATTAATTACCTTATAAACTGTAGTGGGGCAATAATAGAACAACAACGGACATGTCGCTGCTCTATGTAAATACTTGGCTTCAAAAATTAGAATTACTCGAAAACTAACCGTAAAAGTTGTTTAATATAGAGAGGCAGGATTCCTCGTTTCCCTAAAGAACGCAAAAATGATAAATACCATCATCACCCTAATAGTTTTAGTATTTTAAATATATTTCTGTAAGGTAGTGCTATTTAATTACCCTGCGGAACCCGGCTAAACCTGGAGTATTTTCTCTGTTGTCGGGCTGAGGAATTCCAGCCCCACCGGTGTGGGACCAGTCACCATTGGCACGATTATTGGCGGATCCAATTCTAACTCCAGATCCTGACCAAAACCATCCGTTGAATAAGTTACATCCGTTACACTTCCTCCCACTCGTCCAAATGTATCGAACTCTTGCATTTGCAATACGTTGCTAGAGACACGTCCAAAAAACACCATGAATATTAATCTATTTGTATCGATAAATAAGTCCAATTTAAAAAATGTATACAAACCTTGATGAAATTATTTTCCCCTGGAGTTTCGATACTGACGAGATTCATGCAGTACTGTCGACAAGTGGCTTGAGCAGACCCCCACTCCAGCTCTTGACCTCGCGTGGCTGCATTTTCCCAGGAAAACAAATAGTTGTGGGTCACTCCTCTCGGGTCTCGCCATCGCACGGTGTTTCCCCCTGCAAATTTCCGGTCAAAAAGGTTAAGTACAAATATTTCAGTTTTGAAAACAAAATATAAAAGCGACCAATTTAGATATCGTATATACCTCGACACTGACTGAGCACAAGGGTGGAGATGTTTCCAAGTAGTAGACACAGAAGAAGCCCCTTCATGATTTGTCTTAAGATTTCTCACCGTCGTCGTCGCCGCCAGTGGTCGTGGTTGAGCAAGTGAGGTGCTACGATTGTTCTGACGCTGATGGTGGTGTGAAGGGATGATTGGGAGATGATGAAATGACGACGAGTCCCATAGTCCCAACGAGTTTTCTTTATTTAATGCAACGCGCAAGGACCACTCATTATTAGTATTATTATTGGGTGGCCTATCCTTGGCTTACTTGCAAAACTTAAATTGATGTCCCATTTTTCTCTTCACCTTGCTTGTGATATGAGCATTGGAATTCTTTGAAATTATTGCAACACATTTCTGGGATTTAGCAGAAAAGTGTTTACACTGCTGACTTGAAGACGGAAGCAGATGTACAATATATTACAGATAAGCCCAATACATATTGATGCGAGGTAAGCTAGCATAAGTGCATATCTCTCTATACATGGAGGCTTTTGTTGTAAATGGAAAAAGTCAATTTACTATGTTGCCCTTCTAACAAGTGCACTTGAGCATGTGCGTATTTACGTAGCAAATACATAATACTAATGCCTACTATTTAAAACAAGGACCACATGCATGCAGCACTCCATGAGGAAAGTAAACCTTTATTGACTTTGACTTCCGTTTTGTTTAACAATAGTGCTTTTTTGCAACCAAGATTTGGTATAAGTCTGGCTTTTGATAGTGCAGAACGTATTTATAAAAATAGCATGAACATATTCAGGTAGTCTGGAAATAACTGGTTGTATCTGCAAATTACTAGAAATAATTATGTAATTGGAATATTGATAATTGGCGACAATGACCATCCAACAAGCTATACAATACTTGGAGTACAAGATACGCAAGATATAAAAGATGTAGATTTTGACATCAACTGTAATAACTATATTTTTGGGTTACTGAACTGTCAACTTTGGAAAGGCCTAGCTACGCTACAAGTAAGTAAATACATTAAATGGTTGCGTTGATGCACATGCCAAGTGTAAAGTGTGTCTTTGCACTAAATTTGCTTTTTTATCGTACAAATAAACAAAAATTACGCCAATTTATAGGAATAGCGACAGCCCATATGCATTTTGTGGAAATTTATCTCTTTTGCATATTATGCAACGAGAACGATGCAGACAATCTCTTTCGAAATAATGTAGTCATATGTCGTGAAATGTTACATCGATAATGAAAAGTCCCTAGGAAAGTACTCAAATTGGAGCTTCTCAGTCCTCACATTAAGTAAGACCTCAACATGTTTAATTCATTTTGTCGCAATAATAACTTGAGATATAAATATGCAATTTCTCGGATTCCATCGTAAGCCTAACCTAAAACGTATGCATGTATGTATAAACCAGCTATGTAAATAAATATGTACAGACGACATGTATGCTTTATCCTGAATTTCTCTACGCTTTACTTACATACTTATTAGAAAGATGCATCATGCACATGCACAGAATATTTTTTCTGTTGAGTTGATATTTTCCAGGAAAAACTAAGTGAATGGAATTAAGGAATTAAAATTTGAAAAATTTTCACGCCAACGAAACAATGGATGGCTGAGATCATAAAGTCACATATGTAAATGCCATGCACCTATGTACATATTTATAATAATTCAATCCTTTAATTTATTTGCATGCAATCCTGGCCTTATGATCCCCTGTTCAGGATATCATTTAGATGGACAATATGCATAATTAATTGAAGAGGGATATGAAAACTGAAACTCACATGACAGTGAAAAATAAAATAAATTGCGTTCTGTTTATAATTTTAACTGCATTAATTTAATAAATATATAACATTTTATCCTGAAATGTAAAATGTGTTTTATACTGTAATAACCGTATAGACTTGTATAATGAAACATGTATATAGATACATACATACGTAATTGAGGAACACAAACAAAATATCCGATCTGGAACAACAAATTGTGGTTATGGTCATTGCACATCCTTGAAACTGTTATGACCAACGAAGCAATTGATGCATTATTAGAAGTATTATGAAATATTATAACAAATTTTTTAAATATACTTAGTTTTTATACTTTAATAATTTTTATTGTGTGTCGATCTTGGTAATTATGGTATGGCATTGCATTGTGAAAATTGTAAATAAATTCTTAGTAATGAACTATGCAATTTACGTGCATTTTTTAACCTATGTAGCAAAATCACAGAATTAACTTAATATCGTTATTTCACTAAACATATTTGTGCTTATATTTGTGTTCATTGTGTTAAAAGAGATCATCCGTAAAATCCACCTCCGTTCGAAGATGAAGCCGCGGCCGCAGCGGCTGCCGCACTTGAACCACCTGTTTCATGAAACAGATTGTAAGCTTTTTGATAGGAAAATGAAATGCATAATTACAAGTAAGCATTAAAATTTAAATGCAAATTACCTCCACCGCTTGCTGCAGACGCCGCGGCTGATGCGGATGAAGAACCGCCTGGAATTAGAAATAAAAATTAATACTCGTCAAACGCATGACTGGAGATATTGATCTATATGTTAGAGAGGGAACTTAAGTGTTAGCAAGGAGTTGACAGATTCGAGAGTTCAAAAATCGCCTTGAGGGGCATAAAAATACCTAAGCTAAACGAGCCAGCGGCAGAAATGCCATTAGCTAGGGCAGATAATAACCCACCTCCGCCTTGATACCCACCCCCTGGATAACCACCATATCCGCCGCCTGGGTATCCGCCGTACCCTCCTCCTCCGGGGTAATAGCCGTTTCCGCCGTACCCACCGTACCCACCGCCCCCACCGTACCTCCCCCCGTGGTGCCTTCGCCCGTGCCCTCGACCGCCCCCGTATCCTCCACCCCCGTAGTATTGTGGGTATGATTCCGCAAGAACGATGACGACGAGGAGGCAAAGAGTCACCAGGAACAGTTTACGACTCATTTTGTATGGAGTAGGTCTAACAGAGTGAGTATTTCAAAAGGAACTTGTGTCGCCCAAGAAGAGGGTTTTGTAAGGTATTGATTTGGTAGAGCGTTGTCCGATGGAGAATCGGTTGTGACTGGAACAAATGGGCGACAAAAGTCTTTATAGTCCAGGAGGAAAGCAGGATAAAAAAAGTGGTTGGTTTAGGTGGAATTTCCTTCGCAGTTTGGAGGTGGTTAAACTAAATTCAAGGGAAACTAGTTACTTTAACGTAGTTATGTATGAATATTTTGCATATGGTTTGGACTGCAAATCTCGAGTTTGAGTCAAGTTCAAGTTCAACATTATAAAAATGTGCATAACTTGATGGCTGCGTATTTTTGGGGCTGTGACGCCATTTATGTGATTACATACACCTGAGAAGAACAACAGGTTGACGATGGTGACGTGTTGCATGATTGTATAATCTTCTTGCGTTGTATTTCCTGCGTACCCAAGAAACCTGCCGTGTTTACCACTCTTTTTAAGTGACCAAATTAATGAGCTTTGTGAATAGAAGTGTGCGATTCTGTGAATTCTTTTGATACAAATGTACATAAGTACATACGTTTATGCTCTCTTCTCTCCTGCTATCGTGTGAAATCTCACTTTGCCTAATAGTTCTTGGCATCTCAATTTTCTGTTTGTTCTGGAGAAGATTTCCACCTGTCTGAGCATCCATGCGCCGTCCATTGAGGTCAGGCCGGATAATTATAATATATATGTATATATTACATAAGTATGTATACACTCCAGTTGAAGGTCCACTTGTGCTTATAGTTAGTACCTGTGAATATGTACATACTGTCCACTTTGCTACTACTTCCTGAAATTGTGTCAAATCGTGTCAAACTCATTAGGTAGATAAATTATCCGGCAGTATGCGTGTCATTATATGTACTTACGTATGTATGTCATGTAAGGAAATGATGACGGAAGAAGAGTAATACTTTCGGGTGTTTTTATTAAAAATTTTAACCTAAAATATGTATATGCATATTACTATCAACCAGGTAATTAATGTTTCTCGAAAATCCTTGTAAAAATTTACCCCTGCAAAATAGACTTGATGATAATGATGTCATTAATAATTACATATAAAGACGAAGCATGTGTACTTTTTTTCGCAGAACGAACTCATTAAAGACTGGGTATAAATCACTGGGCGTTCCCTTTGTCTTTAGAGTGTTTAATACCCACAAGCCAAACGTCATGCAAGGAAAAGATGACGTGGTAAAAAAATGGACATGCAACTTCCAGCGAACTTTGTATTTTTACTCTGAAGCGTTAGAGCGACCATAATAGATTGACGACTACAATTTGTGTTGATGAGCTAACTTTTTGCTCATATTTTCTTAAAAAAAGCCAACTCATTTCAAGTATTTTAACAACCCACGAGATCTGATTCGTGTGTATTAAAAATTTGTAATTTTGATCACAAACAACTGCATAGTCCTTCGTTATAGGTAATTATCATAACCAGAACCGGTTTTATGCGATATTCTGTTATCCTTCCAGTCAGTCGTGACCGAAAGCTTGCACAACACTTTTTCATACAGTTAAAATTTACCCCGAAGACTGTAAATCATTCCAGGAATAAATTTAGTTGTTTCAAGTTCTGAGAGTAGCCGTGATATTTTTGCCATTATTAATTTGCGGGTTAAATCCGGAACAGGGTCGTTAATTCTTGGAATCTATACCAATTTGGAAAATATCGAGCAGAACGTAATTTTATGACAGTATTGCAATCATAACATACTGTTACAATTAATTTTAGGCATCAAACTTAACCTAGCTTTATACCTCATCGGTTATAAAGGTTATCTTACATGATAAGTACATATTCACTCACACAGTGTTCGATAGTTTGATGAAGAAGAAGGCATCTCCGGTGCCACAAGTTGTTGCCTACAACAATTTAAAATATCTGCACACAGATCTGTAATGCAAATGCAAGGGGAAATATCTCAAAGAGCAGTAAACTTTTTAACATTTCAAATATGAGTATGAAAACTTGAAAGAAGTTCTAGTAAGATTTACAGGGCCTAAATAATCGTAAAATGACCTTTTTTTGAACTAGGAGGATGTGGTGAAATGCATTATCAATTATTCCAAAATATAAATGTGTATTAAAAAAACATCATGAGTCAAGCTGAAAGTTTAAAATATTTTTTTCATAACGTAGTAGTCGAGGTCACGGGGACACAAAATATTTTGCCAATGGTGAACTATGTATCAGCATTGTTTGACAAGTTGTATTTGTATGTCGTTTTTATTCATTAGAGTAGACATTGGTACGTACACATAACATATCTATTTATGTCAAATCCGCAGGTTGTTAGGCTACTAGCACTAGCATTATACATAAATGTGTATAATAAAGTACTTGAATTTTCAATCTTTTTAACTGCTTAAAAGGTAGGTGCGGCCTCTGGCAATCAAATTTTTGAACCACTCTGTGGAACCGTGTTCACGTCTTTGTGGAACCGTGAACTCATGCCAGAGACCATTTATTTAGTTATGTTTTACATACGGATTTGCTATTACAATGACATACACACTTATTTGTATTATTATGCATATGCAGTATCCCTTCTTCATGAATAACAAACATTTACAACGAAACCAAAAGGTGATTCAAATTAACTAATACCAATATGTGCTAATTACGCAAATCAGGCGAATCAAATCACAATAATACACGAGGTATGCATAATGCGTACTTAAAGTCAGTAGATGTGAATGAACTCGAATGCATTGTAAATTGCGTCAACTTGAGAGAGCAAATTGTCGAATAAGCAAGGTATTATTTTTCATTTTCCCAGAGCTGACAATGCAATTGTATGTATTAAGACAGCAGATTTCGCTAATCTTGTGTGTGTGGTGATTTATTTAAGGTTTAAATCATTTTAAAAAATTCGCTGATTTTTTTTTCAATACATACATGTCATAATATTTTTGAAATCAACTTGTACATATTTATTTTTTTGCCAAGAAAGTAAGTTTGCTCCAAGTTTTTGGCGTAAACTCACCCCCTTGTGGAGAGTAACGCATTTTACCCCTCCCCCTCCCTCCTAAATATGCAATGCGTTACATAGTCTCATGAGCATATATAGTTTTCAATTTACATGAATGTAACTAATAATTGAATTGTGATGTAATCGGCCAAGTCTCAAAAATTGTCATTAAATGCATTACAATTTTATTCTGTCAACGACGCTTTTGCTAAGCTCGCTTCACTTATCATGTAACCCAACGCTGCATTAAGTGATCATAATAAGGATACAAAATAACTATTTGGTCTGAGAGGTCACTTGTGTAGTTGGACTCTTGGATTATGTGGGGAGCCTGCGTGACTGGTGACCTTCAGAGCGTGGGTGGGCAGAGTTGGGGAAGGGTGGCAGGGCAAATGGTGGCCCCACACGAGGTCGCCAGGCAGCCCAGGGCAACGCAGGCGGGTGTGAGAGGGAAGGCGGCTCCGGTGCAGAGGGGGGCAGGACCATTGGAGGGCACACAGCGACGATTGACGCACGTGTCGGGAGCAGTGCACACGCCTGGACAGCAGGCGTTCGTGGGACAGACGCGGGCCCCCACTGGGACTGGCGGTTGTGGGACGACGGGAATATTTGGGAGGGCGATCCACGTCCCCTCAATTTCAAAATACACAAGCAAAGATTATTTACACAAATTCAGAATGACTTTTCCCACTAAATATGCATGTAAGAGTTCAAGATGAAAATTAATTACCGGTTTTACAATGCACCCTGCCACACTTAGAATTAGTAAACCAATTGAGAGGAGAAATAAACACCTTTGCAATGATGCCTTCATGTTGTATATTTATTTAGAGCTTTGTTCAAGTTTTATTATGCGAAACAAGTTTGCTTCAGATTGGCGATTGCTCTTTGACGATCAGTTTCAAGACCAATGTCAAAAACACTAATATTCCGAAGGATTAATCTCATCAAGGATTTTTATACCCTAAAAATATGGAGTCGAGAGTCCAGGTAATTGTGAATTATACAAGAATGAAATTCCTGAATACACTAGAGTTGTTTCGCACTAGAGTAACAAGTGACAAATGCATAATGCTGCCGATGGATGTTTCAAGTGGAAAATCGTTTTGCTTTATTCGAAAGCAAAATTCGAGTGTTTATGTAAAATCGTGATGGACCTTGCTCTAATAATATGATCGATATTATAGAACGATACTAATAATGAATGTCGAGTGCATTAATGACACTCATATTTCAATTGCAAAGATTTTCTGCATAACATTTCACTTACAATGATGCTTGAATTTTTCTATACTAACTTTCAAAGTTAGTAGTCACATATTTATATGTATGATCTGATGTTGATAATTTTATTAATAGTGAATATCGTTACATCCGAAATTAGCAAATGTCTGAGATTCCGATTTTCTCACAATGTTGGAAGACAAACACGATTTAGGTTTGCGCCGCAAGCGGTCGGGCCACAGGATGCAGCATTGCACCCGAGTGCAATACAAGCAGGAGTTACTGCTATTGTTGCTTCGGTGCACAAAACTGCTGCAGTCCCTGTGAGGATACATCGACGATTAACGCACGTGTCCAGTCCTCCACATTGGGCTGGACAACAGGCGTTTGTGGGACAAATTAGTGGAACTGGAGGAGGAACTGGAACGGGTGGTGGGGCTGGCTGGAGCTGATTATTAGCTTGTTGACCATTCGGTAACGATATCCACTTACCCTTGCAAACAACAAATTATTCAGACTCTTGCGGACAGTGTTAAAAAAATAAGGCATGTGGATTTTACTTACCGGTTTTACAATACAGGTAGAAACTTGTAATATAAATATTGGAAACCAAAACCAGAAGACCTTCCATGAGAGCTTCATATTAAAATTTCTGCTCCCTTTATTTAATGCAGTATACGTTGCAAGATAATTAATCTGTATAATTGCGAAACAGCCAAGTATTTGTGATGTACATACCATTACATTTATGAACTGTTTGGCCGGAACGTAATAATTGTAACTGCACATCATTGAAGTTATGAGCGTGACTTTATATTGGAAACAACCGGATCTAGAACTGTCAAGTATAAAGGCCAAAAATATTGAATTCGAGAAAAGATGACGCATTCAATATATGAGCTGTGCAAGTCCATACGTATTCTAAAATTGCGTGGCGTTGGCAGTTGGATAAATACTTTGCAATGTTAACAACGGGGATTTCTTATGGAGCCAACTGCCAACGCCACGCGACTTTAAATACATTATGAATCATAACTTTACCCAGTTTCGCACCTTATTTGTGAGAGCATAAGGAAAGGGCATTGTACATGTGATCCAATTTTATTTTGTTGGAAATCCCCCAAAAAACGTACTCTTTATTCGTGACTAACTTTAATTGTTACATTAAATAAATAGAGCATCAACTTTAAAAGTTTTACAAAAAAAGGTTTTGCATAAACATATTCATAAAATGAGCATGTACCATGGTAAACATAGTCAGTCGTGACAGTCGTCAATTTGATTAGATCGATGCAACTATCCTAACAATAGCAATATTATCTATTTGTCACATTATCTGTCATAAATATATCATGTTAGGAGTTCTTCGTCCTCGTCTTCTTCTCTATACTCCTGATGACCAATTATAAGTTCAACATCTTCCGGGTCAAAGCTACTGCAATCATCATCATCGTCTGGGTCGTCGGTCTCAGGAAGGATTATGGATTGAACTCTGGCATATTTTGACACATCAAATGGCATCAGTTCTATCCAGAGTTGTTCCAAGTCAAAAAATAGGTCAACCGAATAGTCTGCAAATCAATAAATTTTACCAAAATCTAATTACGTATCATATAAAATGATCAGTCAAACATGGCAACAAACCTTTTATTGGAGCTTCTAAATCATCATCATCATACTCTTCTTCAATCTTGTCCCATTTTGAAAAAAAGTTGAATCGTTGTCCAGGTTTTATATCACGAAATTTGAACACATCAACAATTTGCAGTTCTTTAAGAGCCTAGAAATTGACAAGGCAACAAATTTACATAAACGTAAATTATAAACATACAATTTTCAACTCTACAAACATTGGGTTTTTGTTTTCAGTGATTTAAATAAAAAAATAGGCTTACAAAAATGCATATAAGAACTTCAACTGGAGAAAGAAGTGGTGTCATTGATTGAGTAAGTTGCTGGATAAAAAGTTGAGAATGCCGATGCAAGTGACCAAGCAATCCAACCATGACGCGGTCCACAAGTTTCCAGTTAATTTCCCCACATGAATCAATCCAAGTGCGGCTTACAATTCTGAAAGTAGAGTGGTGGGTTTGATTAGCAGGCAATGTATTTCAGTTACATATTTTTATATTAATTGTGTCAAATAAATAAAATAAGATTTATAGGCAACCTCTTGGGATACGAAACGACATCTGCAGTGTCATCTCCATCAATAAGTAACGACCACTTTTCCATATGACGAGACGTCACAAATCTGTGAAATAATAATTGCACATACATCATAGTCAGCAAGTTCTTAGCAACAATATAACTAAATATATTTATTGTTGTATATGTGTACTTTCTGTTCCGAACTCCAACGCAGTATATGTATTGATTCTCCATCAAATAATCGAGTCCGAGTCTGAGCTCCGTCCGTTTGAAATGTTTCTGTTGATTCACAATTAATATTATAGTCAAATTATGTACACAGGCGAAGGTATAGAAACTATAGTAACTAAACTAGCACATAGATATGAATGCATTTGATCAACGTGCCGTCAAGTGTCGAGTCTTACAAGGAGAAAAACGACGGAAATGCCAACATCTTCGGTAATGTCAATAAGCTTATACAATCCCTCATAACTTCCAAGTACTATCGGATCCTGGGCACCAATCACACCACGTTGAGCATCGTATGGAATCGTGCTATAAAAATTAGGACAAGTAAATACAAAATCACACACAAAACATCTAAACAAGGCCAGAAATTAAAAATATCAAAATAACTTCTACGCACTGAAGTAGGATACGTTCCAAAACAAGCTTTTCCGTTCCGAGAGCTCCTTCTCCATAAACAAGTGCATCGAAAGACACTTGGGGTTTCGAATTGACCTCAATATGTGGAAGGTTGATATCAAAGAAATCTTTTTCCACTAATCTGGACTTTGAAGTATCTGCATTGAGACGGAACCGTAGGAGGCGCAGAGCAATTTCTTCGCTTCCTTCAGCAGCCGCAACTTGTTGGGAAGAAAGAATTGATTCATAATCCTCACGCCATTCTTCCCTCACTGTGATTATGCTACTTGGCATGATGTAATTAATGTTGACCTAGAACAACGATAATAATAAAGTTGAATTACTGACTAATAATGCGAATTATTTGTTACAAATGAATAAATTATGTATATTATAAGAAGAAATGTATGTACCAAGGGCCCAATTTCTGCAAGGAGATAAGCAGTCCCAATATTTCTAACATGAGCCGTTGAGCAGGAAGTATGTGAATTCTGATGTAGAGATGTCATCAATAAGTTCGCAGTGCGAAATGCATTCGGATGCAAGTAGTTTGTCAACTTTCTCTTCATACTACTAGTCAATATCAATTTACGGCTTCTTTTAACCTAACAAATTATTTTTTCTCCATTTATCATTTAGATTTAACTATTTTTATCATATTTTTAAAATGTAAATATTTAATTGGGTACCATTGTGAAAACGCCTCGGGCACGTAGAGAATTAGCTAAGCGACCCAAGGAAGTGTCCGATATAGGGGACATGAAACCTCGAAGAGATTCTGGGCTACCACCACCTCCCAGCAACACAGACATGAATATTGTACGACATGTCCAGGCAAACACTTCGGTTGATGAGGAGGGATTCCTATCTCCACTACAAAGGTCAGATACATAACCACCTTGTCCTTTCTTCTTTAGGCTGTGAATTGTCAGAAACCATGTTTTTTGTTAGTGTATGTACATATATAATCCCAATAGGAAACAAGCATACTACATTGAATTAAAATTACGAAGACATTTTTTGTACATATATAGAGACGATTATCGACACTAACTTTATTACTCCATTGTTCTTTGCGGGAAAAGACTGAGCTGCATCGTCTGCTTCATCATCGTCAGAACTAGATGACGGAGCTTCTTCATTTATTACTTTATCCGCCGTAGAAACAAGAGTATTAGCCACGTCAAAGGCAAACTCGAGCTGGTCTTCGGTGTAGGTGCAAGGCTCGTCTGGTTCGTCTGAATCTGTTGGTGATGATGGAACGTAGGGAAGAAGCCAAGATGGTCCTTGTTCTTCAATAACCAGACCTTCAGTCTGTAGCTGCATTACTTCGAATGGTTGCACTAGAGTTGTAAAACAAAAGACGACCCTTAATATTTTCTTAAAAATACTCAGTCTATAAAAGATTTGTTGGCTACGTGCAGATTTAAAATGACTTACTTGGGACAATTGGTGTCAACGTTTTTTTACTTTTATAGAATAAGTGAAAAACATTTGACCACACGTCAATCCAAATCATTTCCATTCTTCGAAGTTCACGTGAATCCAAAAGTGTCTCTAAATCTGTTTGTATGTCTACGTCGGGTATCTACACACAAGAAAATATGCAGGATACAAGTCTCGATAAGCCCAACATTTTAATAATCAATTGTAAGCATGTGGGCTTATTTAAACGAGATATATCTCACATACTTTACTTGATTCGTATTCCTCTGATTTTTTGGGGTCAAACATGTTTGTAATATAATCGATCACAGACTCTAAAGCAGAATTACAAACTTTATGGAAAATTGTAATGCTCGGGGGAGGCAGATGTGGTTCGATTAAGGTTGCATAAAGCTTCTCGTCTCGTAGAGCTTTGTCCAACATGGTTCTGTATTTTGAGAATAACATGACCGATTTAAACATGGTATGAATTCTACGGCGGACAATGGAAGACGTTTTGGCCTTGGTTTCCTTTATAAATAATACAAAACATTACTTTGTGACAAATTATACAACCTTCTTAATTCAATTTGCAACAAACTTACAGGCAGTCGTCGATGTAAAATATCTCTGATCTGTATAGCATTGTAAACAGACACCTTCTCCAAATTATATCTTGGAATAAATAGAACGCTGGCAATGAACACAAAGAGAAGTGCACGATCCTCTTCTGGACTCCAATCAGCTCGTCTAAGAAAAAATATAGAATGCTAACAACACGGAATACAAATATAATTATGAAAACCTATCATGTTTATAAATATAAACGTCAACATACAGTCGATCTCGGTAGTTGGAGGCCTGAACGTCCACGAAATCTACACAGTTATCCCGTACACGCTTTGTTCTAATTATTGGAGGTGGAAGATCAATATCTGCGGCAGTTCGTTTATTCTTCCTCTGTTTTGAATCTTTTTTCGTCGAAGTGCCCAAGGGATCAATCGTAGACAGGCTGCTTGCACAATAAACATAATCATAAGCAAATTTAATATTAGTAGTCAGTTTAGTTACATATTATAGGATAATATTAATATTATTTGTTCAATATGAAACTTACCCTTCTTGATCATTTCGTTTGGGCGACAGCATTGGTTGAGGTAAAGTCTTCCTAGACTTCCATACAAACGGATTCTTGTTAATTGCAGCAGGGTCAGCAGATACGTCGTGCCCAACCGACTGAACCGACGACGTTTGCATTTGAGTAGATTCCACATCAGGCAAAATTAGTTCCTCTTTTAATCCTAATACGGCATCAGACATATTATCGTCCTCTATGTCTATACTGCTCTCAACTTGCTTTTTTTCTTGTTTAACTACGCCGCACTTGAAGTACGTCAAACTAAAAAAAAAACAAAAAAGGAAAATAAAATAAAACAAATTAAATTGTACCCAAGGAATGACAAACTTTGTCTGAATCTGAATCTATAGTCCTTTTACCAGTTTGCTTTTGTTTTCCCAATGTCTTCCAAGTGTGAATTTGCTATTTTCCATCTGAGGATGTAACGAAAGGCAGATCGGGCGTCCAAGGATGTCATGGACATTTCCTCTGATAATTCTTGCTGCTTAATTCCTAATTGCCCTCGTTGAATTAGGAGACGAACAATTTGCAATAGTTCTGACTCATGAGCTAGGTCATGCTCTGAAGCGAAAGATTAAAATATATAGCATTAAACTGGTTTTGCCTTTTTATATTACCTTCTCTCAAGTTTTACACATATATATGGAATACCTGGAGCGTAACAAAAGGACCAATCAAAGGTAGGATCCTCGCTCTCACCAACACCTTGCTGTTCTCCTGATCCTATCCCATCTGGACCGTCCTCATCTTGTGCTTCATGCTTGCGCAATTGTTTCTGAATCAAGTCTCGTAACCCAAAGTCTGGATTTCGCAGAGTTATGATACGAATTTTTCGCTTAGCTAGCTTGTCTTTCTTTGAAAGTTTCTTTTCATTCTCCAAATCTTCTGGATACAGTACACTAAAGAGTACTTCCTACAAACAAGACAGTAAAATAAGATGTTAAAAAAATTAAGTAGTATGCAAAAAAGCAAAAGTTGGCATAACACGACTAACATCCACTTTTATAAAGTCTTTATATTCATCCACCAAAGTACGCATCAAATATTTTCCAAAGATTCCTTGCAACTTGAAATAGTCCACATAATTGTTGGGTGCATTACAAACATATGCAAATATTTTTCTGATTTTCACAGCTTCAGGATGTTCTTGTCGACAGAAAAAATGAGGCAGGTGAAACACGGATATGAGGGTTGCAGTTTTAGAATTCCCAAATCGCATTATAAGAGGCTATATATATATAAATATAATGTAAAAAAATATATCAAATATTAATATAAACAGATGATGCATGATTAATACTAAACCTTACTTGCTTAGAAATGATTCCATCAGCTAGCAATACCGTTCTCATGTAAAACAAAGTTTTTGCATCCACACCTAGCACAGTAAGACTCGTTTTTCCTCTAGCCTGTTCCCCAAAATATCTTGCTCTACCTACTCGTTCCACAACGCAGTACTGCAGGCCATTAATGTCAATTTGGTTCGAAGTTTGGAAAAGTAACGATTCTCGCAAAAATTGACTAGCGACAATTACCAAACGATTGCCCATCCTAAAAAAATCGCACAAAAACCATCAAGTTCCATCAATTAAATTGTGCGTTAGTTTGTAATTATGACATACATATTTAACGCATTCACATATGAAACTTGTTTTTGTCTCAAAATGTCTGTAATGTCCTTCCTAGTATCAAATTCGGGACAAGAACCCCTGGTGGCAATTGTACTAACGCTTCCAGTACAACCACCACGACCTCGTGTGTCATTGGGACGACTAGATTTAATTTTTAGTTTCTCATCCTTTGTTTTCTCAGATGTGCATACTGGCGATGATAAATTTGAGAATCGTATGCCTTCCAGCTTAACTTCCGCATTGTGTTGTCGCCCAATGGAAATTCGATCCACTTCATCCTTACTGAGATTTTGATTCCTCCAAATTTTTGACTGCTGCTGCGCTCTACGTTTAGCTATCCTTGCGTTCGAATCCTTCACTTCTATGCATTTATATGTGTAAATTTCTTCAGGTGCATCAGCCTAAATGTTTGACCATAACCAAAAACAATCGTTTACAATTAATTATGTAATTTTCAAATCAATAACTCGACGAAGGTCAATCTCGAAATACCGGTTCTTCCACATTTCCCTTTGGATCAAGATGTTGGTTCCGATCCCAGATTTGTAGGATTGGTCTTCTATGTGCAAGTAGATAAAACCGAAGCCGGACGTCAGATAGAAGACAGCTCCAAAGAGTTTCTAGCACTTGATTAGCTTCAGCTTTGCACAGCGGATTGTGCACTCTGACTGATAATCGCTCACACAAACCTATCAAACCAAATAATACAATATATAATATAATAAATTAAAATCTTTTACATAACAGATAAGAATTTCAATTCTTTATTAATTACTTACCTTGAAAAGTAATGCCATCCAAACCTTCCAGAGCTATTTCTTCTACTGCAGCTTCATACAACATGCAGCAATCCTCCGTCGGTTCAAATTCGACTTCCATATTTATATTAAAATAGCTTCAAATTAATTCTGTATAATTTATTTGTTACACTACGGGCAATACTAACCAGCGACTGATAAAGACGACAGCTATGCTAACTATGACAAAACTTATGTAAGCATTTCAAAATCAAAATGTTTAATAAATTACAAATTATAGTACAAATTGACGTAAACTTAATCCGCCGTTCTGTTTGTTTGTTTGCGTAAATTTCGTGGTTCACATTGAGAGTAAAATTCGAAAACTTGGCGGTGTGCATGAGGGCAAAATGAAACTCTTGCTTTAATTCTCACATGGTTGTTGGATTCAGGGGTCGTCCATAAATATGACTCGTAAAATGACTTTAATTTGATTGAAGCAACCTAAATATTACACTTTATAAGGTATTGTCAAGTGTAATTTTACATAACTTTTGCTTATTTTGAAATAAATTCTGAAAATGATTCGAAACTCTTCTCATCTTAAATTTAAGTTTAATTATTTATTCATTCACTTGCAGTGAACCAATAATTATATGATATGGTAATACGTATGAGCTATTTTTCAAGCATTTGTCAATTTTTTCCAAAAATGATGCACATACCCGACGGCATGGAATATGAAATAAACTAGGGGAAGAGGAACGACTCATGCAATGTATTTGAGTGAAGCTTATGGAAGAGCTCAGCAGCCAACCAGCGGAGCTTAATATTATTTTGTTCTTCCTGCAAATGGGCGGCTTTAACAGATCGGCCAAATAACTGTGTGCAGTTTCAGCATGAGAAAAAGCTGATGCAATTCAATCACCACCACATGGTTTCCTTTGCGTGGCAAAGAAAAATACAGTTCCAGTCCGATCGATTTTTAGCCAGCTTAAATTTCTTCAATTAATTATTTAAAAAAGTTACTTGCAATTAAACAGTGTACCCCTCGGCAGTACATGGTAAGTACACATATCTATTTGCACATTAAATTATATAATGCACACGTACTGTAAACATTACTTGAGCAATTTTTTTTTGAATTAAGACATTAAATACATTGGGTTAATATTTTCCAGCCTCCACGTGTCCCTGCCTTCAAATGAAGTGACCCAGCCGTGGGGGTCACCACCACCAAGGACACTGAAAATAACCAGTTGTAAATATCCAAGGTGTGCTAAAACAAAACATAAAAATCCGGAAGCTCAGTTTTATCAATTTCCATCCCAGCCAGACAGGTCAGGCGTGTTAATAAATTAAATGGAAAATAATTTTGGCATTCTAATAAAGAATATTAAGTTGCAATATTTTCTATCGCTTAGATTCAAGAAGTGGTGTGAGTATTTGGATCTCGATTGTCAAAATGTTCCCCCCGTCTCCATGATTTGCGACCTACATTTTAAGGATGATCAGTTTGACAATTCTAAGAAGACTAAAACCATCCGCCCTTCCATCAAGATTTTTTGTGTCGCAGGAGCAATTATTAACAGTTTCTACACCCAGTGAAATTATCCGACCTAGTCCCAGTATTAAATTCATCCCTATTTTACCAAAAGAAGTAACATCAATTGCCGTGTCACCGCCGTCGTTGGACGTGTCGCAGCCGGAAATTAGTGGAAGCTTCGAGTCGCCTTGCTCCCCATCGTCATCCGTATCTAGTCCTCGACCTCAATCCAACATTTCGTCACCTGAAACCAGTCCAAGTTCAACCACGGACAACAAAAAAAGGATTCGCCAACTGCAACAGAAACTTCGTCGACCGAGGGTAAAAGTTCAGCCAGAAAGGATTATGGAAAGTCTGAATGAAGTTATGAATGATGCATACAGGACCAGTAGTATTAACGGGCAAAGACGCTTCACAGGATTGATTTGGAAGTAGCCCAAAACTATTTTTATTGAATTTAACTGCAAATCCAGACATTCCTTTATTGCTCGGTTTGTGAATGTCATGTCCATATATATTTTACTATTTCTGAAATAAACGTACGAAATGAGTGAAAATCTTTTTCTTTTTACAATCTCCAGATATGTATAAAATTAATTATATTTAAAGTATCTGCGACTAAATGTCCCACTAATCTCGAGTCCTTTCGGTTAAACTGCTGGCAGCAAGCGGGTCGCTTTTGCACAATCAAATTGATGTTTCTCAGAGCTACATATTGCACCTAAAAATAATTCGAGAAGAATAATTAATATGTTGATATGTCTTTGTTTGTAACACAACTCAATTCTTTCATAAATGGCCCAAATGATTACCTCTGGTTCTGAAGACAACAATATACCAAACAACATTAATTCTTTAAGAAACTTTTCCAACCATGCACGTTGTGGCGACGGTGATGACGACGATAAGCCACGTTCCGGCGGCTGTGGCACGTCTTGCGACGGCGGAGACACGCCGGGTGTGACCAAACGGGTAGGTTTGACCTCTTGCATTCAGACGTCTTTATGTGTCTCAGTATTTCCAATTAATTAATTCCACAGGAACGAAATTCCAATAGCATTTTATGCATTTGTCATGTTGATACTAATTACAAAAACCACTAGGGTAATTATTTTTACAAATTTAATTGTAGTGAGAAATGTAAACACAAATTTTATGCAAGAGAGCAAGCCTATGGTGAACTGATTTGGAGCGGAGTAGTACATAAAGCATGGTGGTGGCTGGCTGCCAAAAAACTGAAGCAAAGTGGTGACGGTGGTGGAAAAAGAGGCTGGACAAAATAAAATTAGACGAATATTACCGGCTCTCGTGTCTCTCAATGCGGCTTCACCGCCCAAGTTACTACAGTTCTTCCTTTAGAATCTCATTTTCCCTGACCCGACGGAAAGGGGTTAATATTCGGTCGACCCCTACGCAAGAAAGTGGGAGCCCTTTTACAACCAGGGCCGTCCATTAAATTTAACAAGAATCGATAATTAATAATCATTAAAGTTTATTGAAGCCATTTAATTTTTAAAAAATGGGGAATATATTTTCCTGTGTGGAGTGAGAGGACGTGGTGATGGGTGTGCTTTTGGAAGAAATAACAACATCATGGCGCTGCTCTCTGAATGAAACAAGGACAACCTACTCCGTCATCCCTACTACAAATGTTTCCACTGCCCTCCTCCTCACTCTCTTCGCAGATTTCTGAAATTTTAATTTTCGCCCAGTATATTTACTCAAAAATTAGTAAAGCAATCAAAGGAATTACTAAAATTGTATTTCCACTTCTATAACAACCTTTGGAAATCATTCGTATTGTATTGGCGAAAAGAAAGATTAACGAATAATTTGACCTAGGATACGTACTAAAATAGCAAATTGTGAATTGTGTGTTGCAACAACAAATATAAGAAACTCTTATCTGCGAATTAAAAATATTTAATAATTGGCCGTATATAGTTAAAGTGATTCTAAACTTGACCATTGACCGTTGTGTTACAAAAGAGTTTGTTGGTTATAATAAATCTTTGAGTGTGGAGTGGCAATATTTTGGTTGCTTTTTACAGCAATTGTGTGCTTAGATGTTGAGGCTGACGTAAAATGGGACGGGTGAAAAGGAGAGTGATTTCGGGGTCCTTATCCCCACCGTGACAGATATTGTGTCGGAGTAAAAGTGAAAAGTATCAAAACGTACGCTGTTTCTGCATATTTCTGCAATGTGAAATGAACTACTTCTATCCACGGCTGCCCGATTACGAATAATCAATTTTTGAAAGAAAATTTCCTGGTTTAATGTACAACTGTAAACGTGTTGCTGTGATCAAGAATTAAGATGTTTATCAGATTTAAAATGGAGAGTCACCTAATAAGTTGGAGTGTTGCCGTATTCCTGATGGTTTCCGTATTTTGTAAGTTGTCCTACAAAAGCTGTTTGTTCCGTATTTAATATATACAACATGTACCTAAACCTGAAATTATGTTACGTAGACGGAGCTTGTCTTGGGTTGGAGTGCGAATATTTCAATATCACAGAATGTCCCACTCCGGACAAACCTTGCGAAATGAGAAGGAACGTGACGTGCACATCCGAAGACCCCTCGTCTCATACGACAAGTTGTTTTGCTCTCTGGCAACGTGGCCCTGCACCGGATTCTGTAGAAGTGCTCCGGTTCAAGGGTTGCTTTATCAACAACAAAGATTGCATTGGAATGGACTCTTGTGTGGATAGGAACCACAAGCAATTAAAGAACTCGAGCCTCCACACCCACTACTGTTGCTGTGAGTCGGATTTCTGCAACAGAGATTACGTGTGGCTGCCAAAGCCGACATCGCCACCAGTGAACCGTAAGATATATAATAATTATTACTAATTAGTAATTTTTATATTTATTAAGCGAAAATATTTGTATGTGCACAATACTAATGAAACTATTTCTTTGATTTTCAGAGAAAATAGTGGAAGTTGAGAGAAATGGAATAAGAGGATGGGCATGGATATCGGTCCTGGTTGCATCATTCTGCATCTTATGTGTCATTGTGGCTTTTCTGGTCCACCGAAGAGTCCAACAGAAACCACTACCTACGTCGACGTCCAATCTCACAGATGAAGAGAATATCTTGTTGGACAAGTCAGAAAGCAGTCATGGTATGTCATGAATGGCATGATCTACATACTTGCGATATTTCAGATGCCAGACAAATTTAAAAATATGGAATTTCAAAGGTAGTAAAAATATTTATTTATGCATTGCTTAGTGTTGACCCACGTGGATTTGGTTGAGCCAAAGGCAACTGGAAGATTTGGATCGGTAAGTATTGTAGCAATGATAATACTAACATTGATGCAGTATGGTGTACAACGACTAGTGTATGCCATAAACACTAAAATATATAATTGTATATAATACAGACTCATGTTGTCTCACTGCACTGTATTATTATTTCTCGATAGGTGTGGAAAGCAACCATGGTCGGACAACCGGACTGGGTGGCCGTCAAAATTCTTCCATTGAGAGAGAAGACATCTTGGCGTTTAGAACAGGAAGTTTATTCTCTCCCCTTGATGTGTGACTCCCAGCTAATCCTTGGATATTTTGGAGCGCGAACTGATCCAGATAGCATGCAGCTCTGGCTTATATCAGGTATGTATCATTACATATATTAATTAGGTATGCAATACTTTTATAAGTTAAAAATTGTACATTTTTATATCAGAATATATCACGAACGGCTCTCTGTACGATTACATGAAGGTTTGCGAATTACATATTATTATATTATATTTAGTGACCTGTTTTATATGACTTTTAAGTAACATGCACATGGGCTTATACTCTGTAGGGCCACGAGCTGAGCTGGAGTGAGGTTTTGAAGGTTGCACTCACAATGTGTCAAGGTCTCTCATTTTTGCATGATGAGATCTCATCGGTGAAAGGAGTCAAACCCGCCGTTGCACATCGGGATTTTAAGTCAAAGAATGTCCTGTTGAGGCCAGACCTCACAGGTAAGTGTCGAGGCAAAAATGTCTAATTTTATTACACTTAATTTTGAAACTTGAATATCATCTGTACTACTTCCTGGTATAATAACACTAGTAAAATCGGTAATCTTTTTTCTATTCAGCTTGCATCGCAGACTTTGGGTTGGCATTCATTTTTTACCCATCAAAACTAGTTGGAACGAATCATGGACAAACAGGCACAAGGTAAGTAGAACAGGCAGTACAATTCAGTTGTTAACAAATTTTTCCTCGAATATTATCTAACAAACAATTTTTGTAATTCTCGACACAAGACGCTACATGGCTCCCGAGGTATTAGATGGAGCAGTTAGTTTCACGAGAGACAACTTTCAACGGATCGACATGTATGGTAAGTTGTGGTAAATGAAGTCGAGTCACACATAACATAGAATCATCATCAGAAGAGCTTGTATGGTTTTCCTTTCTCTGGTCTAATCTAATATATCAAACTGTGTGTTATATCAATAGCTTGCGGCCTCGTATTGTGGGAGTTGGCCTCGAGATGTTCCAATCAACAGGTATAACAACACTCACAACACAATCCGATTATTCAGGTTTGCTTGAAACTTATCTAAAGAGTTACATTGTTATGTTTTTAAAACCAGGGTCCCGTGGGAGAATACCGATTACCCTTCGAAGAGCATGTGGGTCAACAACCATCTCTTGAGGAAATGATAGAGTGCGTAGTCACACAACGAAAACGACCCACTCTTCGCAACGATTGGCAATCCCACCCTGGACTAGCCGTACTTTCTGAAGCCATCAAAGAGTCATGGGATCAGGATGCGGAGGCACGGTATGTGTTTGGTTGTGATGATCGAATAGTGCAAAAGCACCCACGGTCATCGTAAATTCTGATAAATGCGTGGGTGCGATTTCCGGTTTCATCCCGGCAAACGGGGCGACAAAATCCCGGAAATTTTAACATGGGCCTTATGGGAAAAGGTCCCTAAAAAAAAAAAAGGTCCTGCCCCCCGTCTGTCCCGGCGAACGCGTTTGCGCGTTTGCAGGGTTTTTCGCACCCACGGATAAATGTATATTATGAGTTGGATCCCTGCAATTTAATTTTGCGTATTTCACTTTATATAGAATCTCTGCTTCCTGTATTGTGGAGAGGCTTCACTCCGTTTCAAATAAAATCATCTAATCATCACAAGTCTTCTCAATCAACATCTTGTTAATTAAAATTGCACGTACGTTTGTTCCAGTCTACATATATTATACAGTACCTAAAAAAAACTTTACACGCTCATTTGTTATTGTTATTATCATTCTTATTGCTGTTATTTATTATTATTATTATTACTGCTATTATCTGCTACCCTGTAGTAGTGGGGAGTACCATATTATATTGGTTCAATTTAAATTCAACATTGTCTTTAGAATCATCACTCATCGAATTTCAAATTCAACGAAGTACTATTATTACGAGCAACAAATATACGTTAAAGTATCTCAGGGTGTTAATTCGCAGTCTGGTTTATTACGCTAAATTTTGTATATATACCTGGAATGGGTGACTTTGTTTGACTTATGAGTGACATTTATTCAACCCTTCTCACGTATTCTGGTTATTATTATTGGTTATTATATGTTACATAAATCGTATGGGTGTCAATACGGGTCGTATGAAAATATTACAAGTTCGAGGAACGGGCTTGGAAAGGAGGAAGAAATAAATATGCAGTGTGAACCTGCTCCAACAAATATGAAGATATACATTAACTGCTGCACTGTATATTGTATTACGCAGACGGGTTATAACCCCAGTTTATTATCAATTCAGGGATATTATCTGCAATTTTGCAGTTTAAATAATTATAAAACACAAACAGTGTACATATGTTGTATTTTTGCGTAACATGTCAACGCAAGAAAGGTATGCTTTATTTTTGTTTGTTATATGTTGGTTAGTTGCTAGTGCCATATTTGTGAAACATGTGTCGAAAAATCTCAAACAAAATCAAAACTCAAATATCTGTCTGTTGTAGATTAAAGATTACCAAATATGTAAAGTATTAGAATTTAACATTTTGTCTACCCAAGAGGCAACCAAAAATGAGAATGACCTATTCACTTTTCAACAAGTACATAATTGCATGTTTATGCTAATTGTTGTATGTAAAAATATCTTGTGTTGTTGGAACGAAAATCGTTTTATTAGCAATTGGTATTTTTAGTGGTGTGAATGAGAGGTTTGAATATATGTATGTATGAAATATATTATATGATAGTTGTCGATGTTGTGGACGCAGCTTACAACATGTATTGCTCCAGATTTATCCCTAATTTGACGATGTGTGTCGGTAAAAAAAATGAAACTGTGTACCTTGAAATCTATTAGTATAATTGCGTAGTGTAGTAGCATGTAGAGTGATACGCTATAAATGTATGTACATAACTATTTTATTTCTAATAACACTATACTGTACCCTATAAAATTACATTCTAAAAATTAGCGGATAACGGGCAACATCTTTTTGCACAAATGGCCCAGCCCATGGTTTAGTCAAGGAACAATCAGCTAACAAAACAATGTACAAATTAATCTAAAAATTATCTAATTATCAACAGGCCAAGTAATGTGCGTTGCCATCGCAACGCACAATGAAGCATCGCCAACAGCCAACAAATTATTACGGTTATTTACACATTAAGGCAAAACTTATACATTAAAATGCTGCTACTGTATGTATGTATGCAAGTCTATCTATTACTGACAAAAATTTAGAAAATTAACACGTAAAATTGACCTAGGAAATCTTATTTGAAATTGTAAGGTAGTAGTGTATAATTGTTGTGTTTTGTTGTTACTTTTACTCTGTCGAAGAATGCATTTTGCGACTCTATAACAAAAACAAAGAAAGGGTCGGTGTCATGTACAAATTAGTGTGTAGGCAAAATATTATATTCTATATGGGTACAAGCATATTAATTATTCAACAAAATATATGAAACTAAGTAACGTTATTATCATCTTGGATAAGAGGAAAACACATTCTTATCATCTTGTTATTACTCTGAAAAAGAAAATGTTCGGTTCAGCTGTTAAATTTAATCATTAATTGACTTTGATTGGAAACATTAGCTACTGAATTGAAATATAGTCATGTATAGTGTACGTATATGTAGTAACAAAATGCTCGCAAGGAAGAGGACAAGGAAATTATGTTTGTTTTTGGAGGTGTTTTTTATAACTAAGTAAACAAAACACAAACCCAATTATTTTGATTCAGGTATAATAATCAATCACTCATTATCATTCTTACGTGTTGATGTTATGTAATGTGCAACATTTTTTGAAGCAAAAAATAATAAAATTCAAAGATTGAACCATCAGCATTTGTTTGTACATATGTATTTATATCATGCCCAGCTACTTATGATCTACATATCGGTAGTACTACTTGTTTCATTTTTTGTTTTGAATGTTAAGTCCTCACACCATGTTCTTTGGTATTTATTGATGTAGAATTTACATTGATTCTGATTCAGTAAATTCCTCCTGATGAGTGACTGAAAGTGAAACACAATTTTCAGTCCAACCATGCACATGCAGATAGCTTGCACTTTTACTTAGGAGCTAAAGAACAAGTATTGTAAGGTACATGGATAAATACAAATGTACATAAGTAGTTATTTAATTACTATCTCCCAAATCAGAGATCTTAACATCCTAACCCAGTCACCTCGTCATGTAAATGCATATCTGAGATTTCAGTTGATGAACCAGTTTTACTGTCACATCAAATTTGGTTACCATCTTATTGTATCTCTTTAGCCACTCTTTCATTGTTTCAAAATGTATTGTCCGTGTTGAATTGAACGTAAAAAAGCTATCGAATAGACAAAAACTGTTGAAGGCTGAATGAGATGACAGCGAAAACCTGGTGGGCACCATATTGTCTCCATAATATGTTTTGTTCAGCGTCTCATCCTGTTTAGAAACATTGACAACAATAAAATTGGACAGATTGTGTCATTTACTCTAAAACAACGTATTGTGATTTCCTTCCATTCACTGACGAATAATTTCTTCATCGCCATGCAGTGTTTTTCACTAGTACACACTTATCTTCAATACATATACTTATCTTCAATACACACTTACATACACCTAGACCTACATGCATACTTATTTACCTTACTTGTGTACATATGTATTTTTAAGAGCATGCAGCTTTGGTGTATCTTGCCTCATTTAGGCTGTTAAGCAAAAAGGATGGGAAAATGTTTAAGCTTGAAATTTGTAGATTCTATTATTGTATTTTTCTGCAAAAAAGCTTACTTTGAGCTCATATTGTCATCTCCTTAATTATTGCACATAAATTACGGTTGTATATATGATATTGCATTATTACAAGTTGTAATTTACAACCAACGGCCCAACCAACGTCAACATTGGAGTGTCACCACTACGTGACTTGACAAGATCCGCAGGGTTCTAATTTAACCGGACTTATTAGATTTCAAAAACGATTTCCTCATTATTGGCACAAGGGTTTGGACTTGTTTTTTTGACAGATTAGCAATCTACACCAGGCTATTTTAACCACCCGAAATGGCGAAGGTTTCGAAAATAATTTCGAATCATAGATATTCATATATATAAGATGAGCCTTGGGAAGTTGTCATTGTTCTCATCGGAAGGCCAGTCGAAATAGTACAAAATAATTGGTTAATTATGGATGAACATTGGGTAGAAAAATTGGCTTTGAGCTTATTTTATGACGTTTGTTTCAGAGTGAAAAGCAAACAATGAGAAAGTCACGCATTCTATATTCACTTGTCACAATTGCTTTTCTGCAGTACATATTACAGACATTATTATTATTGTACATATGCACAGTATGTATGTATATTTGTACGTGAGGATTGATTTCAAATCGAATTGGTCTTCAATTATGTCGTCAACTTGCTTGTGAGTGTGCAATTTAATCTGGCTAAATGCTATTGCAATGGAACAATTGATCAATTTAATGACACCTGCTGTATAGATCAATTACTACTTTTCCTTATCTTAAAGGATTAAAGAAACCTGAAACATTCCACAATCGCCCACTCCCAAATCTCGACAATTCTTCCTACCTGTTAGAAACGTGTCGTCGGATTTTCTTTTCCGTCGTCTTAGTTGCAACGACAAATAATAGAAATTTCACTCATTCGCATATACAGTGATGGGGACTTGAAATGTCGGATATAAAAGCGGTGTCGAGGTTTCGTTACGTCACAACAGTTTCAACATCCCAACCTTAATTATCAATCTGCTTTATAGCAAGAAAGCTAAACGTACAAAATGAACATTTACAACTTCTTGATCCTCCTCGTTTCCATGATTTGCATGGTTCTCGGATCAGAAACCAGTAATGGAGGTGGATCTAAAGGTGCGGCTACCCGAGTGAAGCGTGGTCATGGAGGTGGTGGTGGTCATGGTTAGTCATATTTTCTGTGATTTATTTATTTACTATTTGGGAGTAAATTCATTCGGTGTGTGTTTGTCTCTGTCTTGCAGGACATGGTCCAGGCCGAGGTTTGTAAAACAAGTTTAAATATTACAAAACTGGGGTTTATACGAAAAATATGTTTTTTAGGGGGAGGAGCTGCAGGTCCAGTCTACTTTTGCGGTTATGTCGGGAAGACGGAAGGCTATGGCGGATACGGCAAATAGGCGCGGTCATCAACGGACGCAGAACCCAAATGGATGATAAAGAATAAGTTGGCAGTGGGTCTAAAAAACATCAATTAATGTTTTTTGCTTACTCAACACTTCACAAATTATACATATTAACCTATCATTTCTGAGAATTTGTCAATGCTGTGTTCAACTTGTTGTTATTTTAAAGATAAATCGTTTAATTGTAAATTCTACGCTCTGGGAATAAATACCTCATTATATGTGCAATGTTTCGTTCATGATACTTATATAGTTTTTCTTCTTGACAAAATAGTTGTATGTACACATACCGGTGTCAATTCAAGATTCAAGAGAGGAGAGGAATTTGTTGAGCATTTGTACGGACTATTTATTTAATACACATATTTATGACCATGCATATGTATGTATGCATCAGATTTCAGTAATACGACCTCAAAGATCTGAATCTGATACACAATCTTTTCTGTCCATTTTAATCACTTTCTTAATAGCATTTTGTTTCTCTAACGCTCGGGAATAAAAATGAGAATGCTTATTACATAGGATTCGTGAAAGGAATTTTTGAGAAATTATATACATATTCAGACTACTTGATTTACAGATTCTTCAGTGGTTGTGGGCTATAAAAGATGCAACACTTTTATTGCAACTCGTAGAAATATAATTGAATTATTACCTAATAATAAATGGCAAATAAATAATTCCATGTATGCATGTATCTCCAATAAAAAGACCATATTTGTATCAAATCCTTCGTTTGTCTTGTCCGACTAATTGTAAGTGAATAAACTTTCAGTTCCAGGTTACTATTGCATAATCCAAATATATGCACAATGTCATAATACTGTATGATTTTTTGTAGGTAGTGCGATGCTCATATGCTATTAAAACTCTTGTGATAAAGTAAAAAATAAATATACATGAACGCAAAATTTATGTGGAGCGTTGCATTTTGTTGGATCAAACTTTAATAATGAATGATCTATTACAAAATTTCATGTTAATCAACATTATAATTACCGTAAAATAACCAAGTGCACTTTAGGTACTGCACACAACATTATTATCTCTTGATGGGGTGAAATCGAACAAAAGAATAAGAAAGTGTATGTAACATTGTTCATGTCAATTGTATTGACATTGTATTGCTGCATCTTTTGCAGGTGGGTACATCGCATCTTCCGTATACTTAATTGGCTAGAGATTGGTGTTCATGAATACTCATCCATTTCCATTATTTACCTGTTGCCTGCATGAGAAGTGAATCACGTCCAAACGACTAAATCTCTTGTTTGACTTAGATTTTGTCATTTTTACTCAATTGCAGAAACTTGAGAGGTGGTAGCAATTCATGATAATCAACAATGTTCAACATCTTCATTGATTAACTTATCAGCAGCAGCACAGCAACGAAAGAAATCGTAGCACTCGCCCACTCTCCTACGATCCATCCAATAATCCAACCACTCACGTTTTGTATAGTCGGATTTCCTTCCTTTTCGATTTATACACCCCCGAACATTTTCAAAGAAATATCTCAACTTCGTGATTGCATAACACTTCCACAAAAATAATGAACTATAAAAGCGAATTTTGGTTCCTGGTACGTCACACCAGTTTCAACCGTTTCGTAAACTGTTCATACTGCTCGAAGTCGTAATTAAAAAAAACTTTGGTAAAAATGAACATTTACAACGCCGTATTGCTTTTAATCTCCATGTTCTACGTTGTGTTTGGTTCCGAGATCGGAAAGAACGAAAGTGGGGCTATCCGAGTGAAACGTGGTCATGGAGGTGGTGGTGGTCATGGTTAGTTACTTTTTTCTTTTAACTACCATTTATTTTAGTAAACTAATTCGGTGTGTGTTTGTCTCTGTCTTGCAGGACACGGTCCAGGCCGAGGTTTGTAAAACACGTTTAAGTATAGCAAAACTGGAGTTTATACGAAAAGTGTGTTTTTTTAGGGGGAGGAGCTGCAGGTCCAGTCTACTTTTGCGGTTATGTCGGAGGAAAAGAAGGCAGTCGCTACGGAGGAGGTTACGGAAAATAAGAAACTTATACAAACTTAACATCATCTACTCACGCCAAATCAATAATTTAGCTGGATATCACAAAATTTAGTATTAAAACGTCGATTGTTTGAATTATATTGAATTGTTCAGATGACAATTTTAAAGTGAATAAATGAAGAAGAAATGAATAAAATCGGACAAAACTAGTATGCATTTATGAGATCCTTGTAAATGTGTACATATGGGTGTCTCAATTTCTCGGTTTCATTCATTCCAGACATATTGGTCGTTGGTGGCCAATGCCAGTCTGAAAATGAGTCGCTGTCTGGGCGACTCATTTTTCCGATTCGTACATGACCTCTGCCTTTTCGCTGACAAAAAACTGCTGATTTCGGAATGGACCTAAAAAACTAACGAATTTATCAAATTTGGTGCTATATTGATTTTAATCAGAGAGTTTTACACGAAAATCTAGCTCTAAACGACCAGACTGTAAATTCTTGTCGATAGATTGTGCAGTCTCAAATTATGGTTTCTCATTTTACTTTATTACTCATTGTCTGTCTTGGAACGATTAGACAATAATGCTCAAATTACACGACATAGGCACATAAGCTATTTGCATATACTCGTATATATTACGGTTGGTGTGGTAAAGATTTTTGTTTTGGAATTCTTTAATGTTTACTACTTATGTTATTATTATTATTTGGATTTGAGACCGTTGATTTTTAGCTTGCTAAATTACCAGGAATCAGTTAATGTTTAATAAATAATTAGGTACGTTATAATATTCTACTCGCTACGCATCACCAAATTTCGTTGCGTAGTACGTTTGTAATATTAGGCAAGAAGGGACAATAATCGTTTCGAGTGGAAAATTTTGACGTCTAAGATTCATGCCAATATAATTAATTTACAAATCTAAATTTTAGTATGGTGCGCAGTGTTTGTGCTCATGTTGAGCGATTTAAACAACAAGGCGGAATTCGGGACTATGAAAAGATTTTGCTAAATTTGTGTATCGCATGTCCCCAACATTTAAAGATGAAGAGAGAGCAGCAAGGAATCAAGGTATCTATCGTAAATAATGGTCAATTTTCAATTAATAAAAATAGTCTTCTAATTTCTTCCTTTTCTTTCTACAGATTATGAATCGAAGCAAGTGCCAAGTGAAAACGTGTGGAAATGACGTTGGGGACTGGAACATGTATTTTTGTTTACATTGCGTATTTGTCGGATGTAAGGATCATTCATATGAGCACATGGGAAGCGTGGACCCACCTCACTGCATTGGTAATTCATTATAATTATATCATAGTAGTCCTAAATTTAAGGATAGAAGACTTTATTTTATGAATATGGTACCTAATGTTAGATATAGTTGACGATTGTCCTTCTTTATAGGATGCCTAATTATTGATGGATCAGTTTTCTGCTTTGCTTGTAAGGACTTTGTCTTTGATGGAGCTTTGGAAAGAATGCGGGAGACGGTCCAATACGGTCGTTGTTCTGTCGGAGGAAATGTGATCCCATTCACACAAATTGCGCTTGCTATCAAGCCAACGGTCATGTGCATAGACTCCCGATCTACCGTTGGACTACGGGGATTAGTCAATTTGAAAAATACATGCTACATGAACTGCATTATTCAGGTGAGAAATTGTTTTCATAAATAGAAGAAACTCAACAAATTTGGTATGGTTGGTTACTGTATATTAATTACAGTTGATTAATTGTTCGTGATTGTAACTACTTAACGGTGAAATTAGGTCTTGGCGCACACTCCCATCCTTGCTGACTTTTTTCTAAGCGAATGTTTTGAACTGGACTGCAATGAGCTACATAGTGGTAAACCATGTTTAATGTCATGTATGACTGACGTTTTTCGCCAGGTAAGTTTGACATAACTCTATAGTTTAACATTGGACACTACTTTCATATGCAACCTAACCTTGCGCTACCTTTTCAGTTTTATAATGGCAGCAAGTCTCCAATCGTGTTAACCGAGTTGTTGGAAAAAATGTGGAGAAGTGCTCCCCATCTAGCTTCCTGTGATCAACAGGATGCGCATGAATTTCTTACCGCAATCCTGGAAGGAATGGGGCGTCATTTTGTAGGAAACCAGGATGTACCATGTGCCATCGAAGGAATTTTTTATGGAACCTTAAAGTCAACGGTCAAGTGCCTTAAATGCCTGCAAGATATTCATACTTTAATATTTGTGCATGAAGTTTTATGCATAATGGAAATAAATTATTATTATTTTCTCTGTGAAATTAGATCGGAATCCATCACCATGGAGAAATATATGGAAATTTCGCTTGAAGTGTTTGGCGATAAGAGCATCACTCTTGACGAGTGTCTCTTGCGTTACACACAAGTTGAAACACTTTCCCACATGATTTATTGTGAATCATGTGGCATGAACCAAACGAGTTCTAAGCAATTGGAATTATTGAAAGTTCCGTTAATTCTCTGTATGCATTTCAAGGTAAAAATGTGTGGGTGTGTGTGTATTAAGTAGAATCAATTGAGTACATGAACATCAACCAAAAGTATGAAAAACCAAATAATAATCATTGCTACCTTTCTCCTATGCAATCTAGAGATTCCAAAACGTCAATCATAATAAATGGAACAACCACATTTCTTTCTCTAAGTACATTGACCTATTGATTTACTCATCATCTCGAGAGGAAATTGCAAGAAAAAAGACTGAAATGGATGCATGTGACATGTCAGCTCAATCCAAAAATAAAAGGATGAAAATAGACTTTAAAAACGAGATTTGTTTAAGATCCTATTGTTTTCAAGTCCAGAGTCTTGTCAATGAAGACTTTGAGTGCGTAACAGAATTATTTTTTATAGTCACTGATTATTATATTTCATCATGGATAACAAAGTATTGATATCTGAATTTATTGAATTGAAATATCGATACTATTTAATAGATATTCGCTGTATGCAGTCGTAAGTCATCTTGGATCTTCGGAAGGTGGTCATTACATTACGTATTTCCGAAACACGCATAACACATGGTTTCTCTGCGATGATCACACAGTGTCGAAAGTGTCTTCAGATGAAGTGCTCAACTGCCAAGCGTATATGCTGTTTTATCATAGGACACAACTTCCACAGCGACCAAAATCGTATTCCTCCGAATAAGATTTTACATTAAATTTGAATAGTTTTAAATAGAATGAAGCCATGCAAGATGTTGTTATTATTTTCCCATGAAATAAAAAATTAACTCAAAGGTTATGACATTTTAACTTTGAACTACATTTCGTAGTACCCATGTTGCGGCTTTTCCATTATAATGATTAGTCATGACCACGGTATTCCGGAAAGTAGTTGGACGTACATGTGACAGGATTATAAATTTCATATGTAATCCTAATTCATGGAAATGCAGTTAATACGACAGCATGTTATGCATTTTATTCGAGATTAATGCTCTAGCCAGACATCACCAGCAGAATATTTACATACCTATATGTATACCACGACAAGACGGTCTTTATATTCCGCGAATGTCGTATGTCTCTGTCTTATCTATGCATGCATGCAGTACCCAAAATGAAATAAATCAAAACTAAATGCGTCGTTTCTAGAGTTTATTACTCGTTTATGTAGTCAAAAATAATTAAACATCTCGTCTTACTTGGTAAAAGATGATCTTCTTACGTGACCAAGACTGACTATCTAATCCTAAGTATAGACTAGACTGCAATCGAATTTTATGGAAATCAGTGAATGAATCAATCATGTGTATGTATGAAACAACCTTGCATCCAATACTATACACATTTTGCACTCGAGGAAAGCAATTTTATGCAGTAATTTGAGTTTGGAATTTATCATTCTGATCTGAGTGCCATAGCCAAGAATATTTTACTTTAATACGAATTTGAAATTTTCTGCTTATCCTTGTTTTCTTGTATTATTGACATGAAATACTTGACTTTGAAGGTTTCCATACTGGTTGTAACTTTGGTATGTAATGGAGGAAAAGGTTTTCCAAATCCAAAAACCGTGACAGATTCGACAGAAGCAGAAGTTATAGAATGTAAGTAAGCGTATACGTATATGTAACAATAAAGTTGTGCATACATATCTGAGCTGCATTTTGTGATGTATGCGATTTCATCATTTATTTTAATATTTATCTAACATTCTTTAATAGCGGATTCCAACGAGATTACATCGATCGGTGTTGGTGAATATTATGAATCTGTGGAGAGCGAGAAGAACAATGACGAGGACAGCCTTGAAGCATTGGAATCTTGGGAAGGTTCAAACCCTGAGGATGCTCAGACTGGCCCTCAAATAACGAGTCTTAATAAGATTGATGACGTATTAGATCCACTAACTTCTCCATCCACAATATCCACATCGACGGAAAATGTCAAGATCGATGAGAGTCAATTGTATGAGGAGGAAATCTCATCTGAAAATGGGCTTAGTGAAAGCCAAGAAACTGATCTTGAGTATGAACATGAAAGCCATATAATGAATCTTACTGAAGGCAGTACTAATATATCGAATGACATCCATCCCGAGGATAATCCCACAAATGAAGAGCTCCTGACTATTACTTCTCAGAATTCAATACCCACCATAGCAAATGAGGAGGAAGTCGAAAACCAATCTAGAGAACACTTGACTTTGATATCATCAAACGGCAGTAGTTTATTTGATGACTTAGAAGATTCGACAATCACTGTCATGCCATTATTATATGAAACTACAAGCTTATCGAGCTTCCATGTTGATGAGCCAGACCCTGTAATTCCAACTAACTCAACGCTACTCAATACTAGTCTATTTGTTCTTCATAGCTCAACCCCAGATACTGAAATAATAACGACCACGACCACATTTAATGACTCTGATTATTCTATGACAACGGAAGTGACGGTAGAAGAATTACCACCCGTAGGTGAGGATTTGATTGACTCAGATGAGTTATCTGAATCTTCAGAGGAATCCCAGCTTATGGAATCATCTGACGAAGCCTTTCCAGACTCAGACTATGCACCTGAAGTCATTTCCAAGGATGATAAGCATGCAAACTCTGACACGACGTTATCTACACACTCTGCTGAAGAAACCATGACAGCCTCGACTCCTGTTTCCCAAGTGACTGAGCAGAATAAACTAGAAGGATCTGACGAGTACATAAAGCAAGCGCCCCCCGACACCTTCTCAATGACTACGATTTCACTATTATTGTTAACTGAAGCCTCGTCGACAATTAGAACTCCGAGCTATCAGCCCTCAGAACCCCCCAAAGACCAATCCTCGACCCAACCCAACTTCCTCAACAATTTCACAACAATATCACCTCCCCCCAACACGGGAGGAGTGCAAAGATCAGACTCTTCCAGTATTTATTTGTTCTTTTCTCTGGTATTCTTGTTGAGTGTTAAATACGTTGAATAAATAATAAAAATGCTCTTTATAAATTCAATCATGATAAATTTAATTTGGACTTGAATTATGAAATTCAGAAAACCAACCACAAAATGCTCATTTGATTAACAGGGTAATGTCGAGGGCCGTGTAGTAAAAAAAAATAGGAGTATGCACTGCTAAATAATAAGATGTCAAAGTAGTTCACGTATTCGGCTTAATCTCGTAAATACTAATTAATAAATGCTAATTTTTGCTACATCATAAATAATTCTGCATACGCTAAACGCTGATGCATAAAATTGAATACCCATGACAGGAAAAGTGGTACATGTGAGACAGAGAGTGACAGGGAGATTTCTGCGCAAGGTTTGATTTGTGAGTTTTTTGTTTGTTGGTTGCACGCACGTCGCATTATTTTTTAAAATAGCGATGTCATTGATGCAACTTTTATTAATTATTCGTGTGTAAACATTGATTGGTTTGAAAGAGATTATATCCCAGAAAGAGATTAGGCACTAGTAACATCGATTATAATTATTTCCCATTTCTAATTAATCAGCGCCACTGTATCTTAATATTTCACTATTCTTCTATTCCATTTATCACCTTGCGTTTTGAAATATCTGAATACGGGTAGGTTGATTTATAACATTATTGCGAACGACAATTTTTCATCTTTCATGTTGACTATGACATGAAATTATGAAATACTCTAACCCTCAGGTCATTATAATTTTGGTTTGTTGGCTTATTATCAGAAAATGTACACCTCGCAGCCAGTAAAGGCGGAGCCAGAAGAGGAGGACGAGAAGACTGGGACTGATCCCCTCATGGTACTGCGACATTTCACTGTGCATCGAAAAGAGATTGTCGAGACAGAGGAGTACCTTATCTTTGATAAGATTGCCTACCTCAAGAATGCCAAGACTAATTTTCCTATGAAGTAAGTCACACATTATCAAAGTTTACTTAATATTATTGTGATTTAGTGCCACCTTAATAGTAATTATTAATATCGTGTCATCCCTTTTGTAGGTCGTGGAAGATAAACTCTGCAAAAAAGGATGACAATGACCCTTCCGAATTGGACAATAAGGGAGTAAATGACGAATTAGATAGAAACAAGAATGATTACTACAACGTTGGGTCGCTCAAATATTTTTTGGATAATGTGGATCTACTGCATCCCACATACGTTAGGCAAGCAGCGGTATGTTCATAAGAATATAGACAATCTCATCATACTAGAAACGCAAACTAATATACGTAAACTACTGTCTAGCATGATATGAGCGAGATGCCTTATCTTCAAGTAGTGACCAGGTAAATTAATAACAAGCACATATAAACTATAAATGAAATCAACAAATTAGAATATGTATAATTACGTAACAAACAAAAATTTTAAATGACTAATAGGGTGGATCGGTTTCCACTGCTCGAATACCTTCAAGGCCGTCGAACAAAATGCGAAGGTGCTGACACAGTTGGTCCAATACAACTCCCAATACCAGCACCCAAACTCGAGAGACGTGATTCTTGGAACGAATGTAATTCGCCACCTACCAATAATCCCAAGTAGGAATGCTCTTCAAAATATTTTTGTTAGTTATCTGTGAAAGTATTTAGAAGTTCTACTGTAGAACTGAAGACATATAAATAAGTGATTTTTTAAATAGAAATTTTAAAGTTTGCGATTATTTTTTTTGGACTGCAGCGACCAAGCTACAAATCCATGCGTCGTCAAAAAGGAGCACAATGATGACTCCCTTCTTACCTGTCCGTCAAATCGTGACAGTGTATTATATGGGCACCAACTCCCTAATCCTGTAGAGTTGTTTTCAGCAGACGCTTCGAAAAATGTTACCAAGTCTCTGTCAGAACTGGAGATAGTGCAAAATAAGGTGCTTCCGATACAGAAACCCGGCATGGAAGATGAGAAAAGAGTAGACTTGAAGAATTCGTGAGTTTGCTTATATTTCATTTACACTAAAATCATGCTATTATCCAGATTTATTTAGTTAAAATGAATTGTAGCATTGTGGATGCAATTGGATCTGATAAAATCTTGGAACTAAAAGCCAAGCGTCGTGCAGTAAAAGTGCAAAAAGTGAAGGGCGTATCGGACATGGAATTAGACGATGTCGGCACCAATAAACCATCGTTTGGGGGAACGCAGGAATCTAATAATTTTTCTCATGAGCGAGTTTATTTGGATCGATCTTCCATACTTCGTTCCAACAAGATCAATTTCCTTTCCAATGTCACCAGCATTCTGGAGAGCATTAAAGCTAGGGAAGAAAGAGTGTACGTGTTTTTTTTTGCATTTTTCTACCATTACTACCGAAGTTTAGCACTGACTTGACTATAATACAGGAAAAAGTTTGGCCCTGCAGCCCTGATGGCGACTCCAAAAAATATTTCGCACACTACAGCTCCAACTTTCTCCGAACAACCGGTAGTGGAGACAGTCCCGTACAGCAGATATGACCAAGTGGCTAAACTTCCGTTGGGTGAGTTGATTAAAGAAATGGTAATTATTTGCTGATTTGAAGCCTCCCTAATTTCAAATTTGAGTTCAGAAACTGCTGAATTTGGAATTAACCCACTGGAAACATTCAGCAAAGGCCTAGGATTGGTTGCAGGAGTAAAGAAAACAATGGCGATGGTGGACAACAAAAAGGTTTGCAATAAGAACAACAGTATTGTAAAATATTTTCTTGGAACTGCCAATCAGACTGAATTAATTAAAACTCAAATTAAGGCCACAAAATATGTTAAAAGATCATGATAGATGTACATATTACTCTTAAATTTTTATTGTTTCATCTTAGAAGACGACGGCTCCACTGCCCCTTGCTACTCCTCCAGCCAAAAAAATGCGGCATGACCATGCGACACCGATTATAATTGTTCCGGATTGTACTCCATCCATATTAACAATCCTCAATGCTAAGGACATGCTTGAAGATGGCATTTTCATTCCCCATGAGGAAAAGAAGTCTTTGGGGGCCAAGAAAATGAATGAGGCAAGTTCGTCATTATTATTAAAGGGTGAACCCCTTTTATGGAAATTCCTTGTCTTTCTGTCTGCCCGTCCATATCCACTATAATTTCGAACGGATGCGAATTTCGGCATGCGATCTTCAACATGTTTCTAACTTTTTGGAAGGAGTCAAGTTCAAAGATGGGTGTTGTAAGGCATACCCCTCTACGTGGGGTATAGTTATGATTTTTTTCCTTTTGAATATCTTTCCGTTATTCGTAATGTTCTACAATTTAGTAATAATACAATTTTGACATAAGGGGGTGTGCCCACGACCCCTCCCGCTCGCAATGTGGATGTGAGATTTTGTGCAAATTGTAGACAATGATAGAAAGAGATAAAGAAAATCACAGAGGCCACCACCTTGGGGGAAATGAGATTTTGTAGAAAGTGGTCGGCAACGACGAATTGGTTTCACCCTTTCCCTATTTCGTTTGCGACAGCTTATTGTAAAATAATTTGACGATTTTTATTTAGTCCCCATCTATTTGTTGCTATAGGTTCTCATTCATCGCTTGAAGCCAAATAGCAATGGAAAAAGCATTCGCTACAAAATTATCTCATTTCCAGATAAATTGACTTTGCAAGATTGGGATCGCGTAAGTATTGCATTGCAAGCTACAATTTTGTAGCGTCAATGTTTTTAAGCGTTCTAGTAAAAGAGCAACATATTATTGAAATTATCATACTATTATTTGGGTAAAATCCATTTTTGCATTGCTAAGATGTCTCATGTTGTAAAATAAATTCTTGTGGAGTTTCTATTGTTTATATGAAAGATGATCTCCCAGTGTTGTCAGTAACGGTGGGAGTGGATGCTATTCAGTCTCGTTTTGTAACTTATGATGCTTACAAATATTTACTTTTCAATACGCTTTCAAAGCGTCGCTTTGACCACTTTCTTTGATTTTCTCTAGTTATTCATTCAACAATGAATAATATGAAACTCTGCCAAAATAGAAATCATTAGATTGTGAGACTCGTATACATATGTCGGCATTACTTATTTAATGTAATTAACTGATATATAATTTAATAGGTTGTTGCTGTTTTTATAACCGGAAAGGCTTGGCAATTTAAAGGATGGCCTTTCAATGCTAATCCAGTTGAGATTTGTACACAACGTTAGTTACAACCTACAACAATAGATATTTATCAGAGATCCACGCATGCCTTACTTTCACCTTGAAAAATAAAGTTCAATTTTTTAGTTGAAAAATTTATAATAATAGTTTGTATAACATAAAACATAACATGTTGAAGTGCGCAATATTATTGCCTGCTTAGTTATTGACTTGAAAATACGTTGAAAACTTTGAACAGTTTAGTGTAGTCTTTCTAGTGTAATGCCAGTGGTGTGGATCTCTGATGTGCCTAATAATGTTTGGTTTTTAGCGTATTTTGATTTTTATTGAATGTAGTCAACGCGTTCCACCTGAAATATGACGATACAGAAGCAGAGACGAACATCAAGCAGTGGCCAGTTAAGGTTATGAACATCAACCGTCGTCGTCGTCATTTGGATAAAGCTTGTACCGTTTTATTTTGGTCATCTGTTGAGGAGTATGTGGAATGGACATAATTTTACGAGTTAACTGATTATATATTGCATACATGTTTTTGAGATATTCTTCTCCATTTATTACAGATTCATTGCCAAGAACAAGCCTTTCCTGGATTACTAAATATCAAACTTTTAAAAGAGTGACCAGATAGATATTGCGTACATGCATTTATCTATGAATACAGTTGTTAGAGTAACCTATTGATCTAAGAAAATTAATTTTACTTTAATCGAATCTTATGTTAATTCATTAATAGTACTTAGCGTTTACAAATCACTTCGATGAGGCTCCCGGGGGAGGGGGGGAGGAAATCCACTTGGTTTGCAAATAGTTCCCCTTAATTACTGACATTTGTTGTAATAATTGACGATTTCAGCTAATGAACTGAATTATGACAAATTAGGATAGTTTCTTCTTTTCATTTCGCAGATATTTTAATTTAAAGTTATATCTGACGTTAAAGAATCTTTCAGTTTAGTGGGATTTTCCATCTGTTTAAGGTAAATTCATAATTTAGGTAACGTGGTACGCCCACCCCACAATGCTATCCTTTACATTACCAGACATTTATGAACGTGTGTTAAATAGCCACGTATGTTAGAAATGATTTGTGCAAATTAATAAAATGTTTAAAATTATTTAAATGATTAATGCTACGACGTTATCCTATCCTATCGATTACAAAATGCACATTAACTCTTATTTGACTACTCTTACAAAGTTATATTCTTCCGGTAAAAAGACTGAATAAAATGTTTTATTACGTAATCATTGTTTTTTATTACCTCTTTGTTAACGATCTAACGTTCTAAAGGTTCTAAAAGTCTAAAGTTTAATGTAAGACCGATTTATGCGTCGGCTCTGTCAGTCCGAACGTCACCTCGTGCTCCAACTTTCGAGATTAAGTTTTTTAAGTTGACGACAAGGGGTCAGAACTGAGGTCAAGTTCGTTGGGTGACCTTCTTAATGACAAATAGGTCATGTGGGGTATCATCAAATTGATAGTATTTTTCAAGGTCTATTCAAAGTGATGCATCATTTTGATCTACGACTCTGCTACTATGTAGATGAGGTCAAAGGTCAAAACTTTAGATTTGACTATTTTAGACATTATTAAGGGAAACACAGCAAGTCGCCAGTAATTGCATATGTAGCGTACTCTGACTCTATTACAACGATTCAAGCCTGTAAACTATGTAAATGATTGATTGTGCAGATTGACGGGTTTTTATTGTATTTAAGTACCTGAAATTAAAAATGTTTGATTCATTGTGCTTCTTCACAATAAATAACAATAAATTTCGATAATGAAATTCATGATCTGTTGCATTAAAAGGTACATCGACACCTCTAATCAAATCTAAAATGACGATATACTTAACAAAGTTCATAGGAAATGAGTAATTAATGGAGGTTTATAATCTAACTTTTGTCGGGAACAGGTATGGTAATTGACCAAGTTTTATGAAATGCCGAACAATGGTTTACTACAAACATCCAAACATGAACGTGTGTACTGTAATATTGCGTAACTGTAACATACAATAAAGAAAAAAATTCCAAATGACAAGTAAGATTGCATATGTACAGTTAAATATACGATCATACAGTATGATTCATTCATACTACATTAATTCATAGAGATGCTCCACTGAAATCCATCACTGCCAGTAAAAATCAATGTTGATAACAACCAATAAATAAAGCTCTCAAGCGTTTAAGTGTCCAGACAAAGTACATGAGCGAAATGAAAATGGGAATTGGTAGTTTCTCATCAGTCGTTCAGGGTATATAAACAAATAAAAATACGTCCACTGGTGAGTTTAAAACCTGTTGAGCTATAGTCCCAAGCCGTACAGTTGAGGATGCCTTGTCGCCGATCATGTGGGAATAGCTGGAGCTATTCTTGGTCAACCCAGCAACCTGTTGTGCAGTACTATTATCCTGCACAAGCAGAAGCCCCACAGGTTCAGCAAGCCTCTTCTGCTGGGCAAAAAACTGAGCGCAGTAGCAAGTCGTCAGGAAAGTCGTTACCCATCGCACCGGCAGACTTTGAAGGAGGTTGGTACACATGAGAACCCCAAAGTATGTCGATTATGACGAAATTATAGTTACATAATTTTTTGCATTCGAGTACAGATTACCATGAGTACGGTATGTACTTGCATAACTGGTATCGACGACGACATGGATCTCCACCAGTTACCATGTTGGACAGGGTATAAACAAGTGCTCTGAATTGTTTCTGTCCCCCTCCAGACAAAATAAATATTGAATAAATGACACTTATTATTCCTTACAATATATGTAGCTGAACAAAGCAGGCGACGCTTACTGCGCCAAACGTGCTGCCATGCGAACGCTTATGCACTCATCTGGTTTGGACTACAATGAAAATCTCTTCATGAGTTTTGACACTTCAATTTCGAAAAAGGAGGCAGTCCGTCAAGCCTGCAAATGCTGGTATGACGAGATTAAGCTTTATTCTTTTTCCTCGCCTGGGTTTTCAATGTCAACGGGACATTTTAAGGCCATGGTTTGGAAAGGAGTTACCAAATTTGGCGTGGGGTGTTGGGAGGGGAACGGATGCATCGTTGTTGCAGGCTGTTACAAACCACATGCCAATATGCAAGGCCAGTTTTCTTCTAACGTCCTACCATACAGGTGGGAAATGTTATTAATTAGAAAGTCGTAGTTATCCCGGTTGAGCAATTTAAGGAATTTAAGGAATTTGAGGAATAACGCCAGGTTAAACATTTTATTGAACAGAGAGGTGGATGACACTGACGAGGAGGAAGAGGACGAGGAATCGGACAAAGAAAAGTCGAAACAACTGGAGAATGTAGCATCTCCAAACTCAATAAAATCAAAAGAGTCATCATCAGAGACCTCAAAAGGTGATATTCCCCCCGCTGCAAAGGAAGATTTCGCCAAATTGGCAGATTCGGACGGAACAATTGGCTGGGAAAAGCTGAACAACTGACTCAACAACTGTATTAAAGTGGCTTTCAAGTTTGATGGCTTTGATAAGCTCATTGCTACCTTGCTGATAAGCGTAGCCACAATTCCGAGTGGTGAGAAGCAGCGTATCAATTTGGCTGAGTTTGGGGTCATTTTGGAATGCGTGGAGGGTTTGCTCAACGCGTATGGCACTTTTGACCGCGATGGGTCGGGGAAACTGGATCCATTCGAGTTGAAGGATAGCCTGGCCGAGGCTGGATTCAATATCAGCTACAAAATGTTTCTCACGTTGAATTCTACGTTGGGAGACGGGGACAAGATGCTGATGAGTTTCAGGTCATTTATTTTAACGTTCCTGTTACTATCCAACCTACAGGTCAGTTGTTGCTACCACAAAATTTATTTCCAAAATAATCATCGGATAATCCATTCATTTATTTTGTGATCCAGGCTATTCAACTTGTTCGAGAAAAGAGCAAGTCACAAGGAGGACTCATGGAGGACTTTTCTCTTAAAGAGTGGATCCAATTGCAGATTGAGATTTGAGAAAACCTTAATTAAATACATGTATCATCAATTCATCGTCACCAATAATAAGAGCCATTAAAAGCTTGAAATTTTAATCCACACACTATGATTGAGTGATTTCTCTGCATTTATTATACAATTATAATAATAATTATTATTATACTAATCCTTAAATTAGTACGCACATAGTTGTTTGCATGCAACTATGTACATATCTACAACATTTCGATTTGAACCTGGGAAACTTAATTCCAGGTTTTTATGAATTTATAAATATGTCTCACGTCATGAATGACGTGAATGAAGTTCAATATATTTAGTGTCTCCTCAGAATAATGTGTTGAGGGGCTCAGGCAACCTTGCCTAACTAATTCCAGGGGATTATTGCAGATTATAATTTATTTCATGATCTATTTACAGAATGGTGTGTTAAAGTAAACAGTTGGAAATTTTTGTAATGCACGTCGTTTTCTACATACCTATGTATGTTTGCCAGTATACTTAATTATAACTTGGTAATCTCATGAGGAGAGTATAAACTCTGATAAGCAATGTTGGAAAAGTTATCTCAACTGTAAATGATAAAATACCCCTTGGATTAGCATAAAAATCCATGACACTTCACAAATGTTATGTCCAAAGACCCCCGATAAGTAGTTTATATTTGCGTACACAGTAGCATTACACATACCACACGGTGTAGGCGTGGACAATTAGTGGAACAGTTCCTTGGATATAGGTTATTTTCACCAATAAGGAATTGAAAAATACCTATTTTCCCCATTCCCACGGGGGTGTAGAAAAGGATGGAATACTCGAGGGACCTTATTTGGTCCTACTGCAGCAACCCTGGGGCCGGTAATTGCAAGGACGAGATTCTTGCGATTGTGGAATCTCGAGCCATGTCACTTTTCCAAAGATCAAAGTTTCAAAACTTGCTGAAACAAATGGAAACAATCATGGACAAATGCATAGATTGTCGAATACTGGCCCAAATCCTCCTTCTGTTGCAAGAACTACTACCCAAAGCCAAGCCGGAAATTGCCCTTGTATGGAATGCAAACCCCGAACGGAATTTAAACTACAAGAATTTTGCCCATGAGAAAAAAGGTCAAAAGATACGGAGTTGTACGATGTGTCATTTAGTACAATCCAGCTCAGACTACTTGGAAAGAGAACTGGGCAATAAAGGTCCAACCTCAATTTTCACGGGTGAATCTACGAATTCTAAAGAGAAACGGGACAACAAAAAAGTCGAGGCAGATGAAGACCAGCCCCGTGATCTCTTCCTAAACTGCGTTCTCTGTAGATCTACAGACATCAAGAGAATCGTCCTGTCCTGTGGTCACCCCATTTGCAGAGCATGTGGATTGAAGGCTATTGACAAAATCAAATCTTCTCCAGAATCAAACCACTTCATTTGTCCTGTGGATCGCAACTTATGTGGACTAGCATCGTTAGAGACAAAATTAGGCAAAGTGGTTGAAAAGCCAGAAGAGAAATCACATCAGCGACGTAGCCGTTCGACCATGAGCAGCAGTATGAGTAGCAGTAGTTCGAAAGATGATTTAGAAACTACTTATCAGCAAACCAAGGATGAGGCATGTTTCATTTTTACACATTTACTTAATATTCAAACCATGCAGGTTGAATTGAATTAGTACATTCTTGTATTTTAAATAAATGGCAGGTGGTCTGTCCTCGATGCAAAGCAATAGTTTATCTAAATTCAAGTCACGAGAGGCTGGCAGAATGTCTTTCGTGCAAACTTTGTTTCTGTTCCAAATGCTTTCAACCTTTTCATGGAAATATGACCGACTGTTCCACGACACGTGGGACCAAGGGCGTGGGCGTCGAGAAAACAAAAAAAATATCAACTTCAAGTTCCAGCAGCAGTAGCGCTAATAACACAATGGATCACCACCATTCGGAGTCAGGAGCTAGTGCCAAGCAGTACGAAATAGGTGAAATGTTGTTGGTCATTGATTTTGCATTTTCTTATAAATACTTACAAAACCTTTCTCATCGCTTCACTATAAAGATTTCTACAAAGACTCGAGCCATGATTTATTCCGACCAAATGAAATTCAGGCTGCATTTCAACCAGTCAGCGATTGTCAATTGGTAGCAGCTCGTGTTTCTGAATGGCCGTGGGAAGTTGGCTCCGTAGGACTGACCCCCTCCCTCCAGTACCCGTCTCCATATGAAAGCCTTCGGGTTGGCCATTGGGTGGAGGATGAGATTTTGGAACGAGTCATGCAAATCATGATTCACCAAAACCAGCTTCAAGAGGTAGTCGTCGTTCTGGAAAGTTTCGTAATGACTTGGGGCCTTCGTAAAAGTCAGGGAGCAGATGAACTTGCAAAGTACACAAACACATTCATATGTACTTACATAGATAGTACAAATTACAATGCATATATGTATACATATATGCATGAACTGGTTCGTGGGTTTACAATAGTTTAAATAAAACTTTAAATAATAATTTTTACAGGATATTGCAAGAAAAACAGATATTTGAAAAAGATTTGGCGTTTGTCCTAATCAATTCTGATGCCAAAGGTCACGGGGGCCACTGGATTTTAGGCGTAATAATTATCCCCAAACAGAAAATTTTACTCTTGGACTCGGCTCTCGTTCTGTCAACTACGCACTATCAAAAGTTTTTCTTTGGACTCTTAAATATCCTACACATTGCACATAAAGTTCAAGAATGCAACAACAAGGACGTATTTGATCCATCCCAATGGAAGCTTTTTGTTAGTTTGGACGCTATTCAGCAGAACAATGCGTACGATTGTGGACCTTGTGTCGTCTGTAATGCGTTTTCCTTAGCCACCTGTGGAACTCAGTTGGACAGAAGACCAAAGAGTTTTTTGGTTCGAGAATGGCTTTACCACACTTTGGTAAATTTTAATGCGAAGCAAGATGATAAAAGAGTTGGTACAAGATCAACTGGTGGTCTCACTTTTCTTGACACAGAGCTACCTCGCAAAAACAGTACATTTGCTCCATCCGGGCTTATCATTCGATTCAAGTTTTTTCAAAATTCTAAATTAGCCTAAATGCTTTAAATAAAAATTACGTATCAATTATTTGAAATTATTTTTTCCGCACTGAATTTATTAAAATTACATAATATAAATGAACAGCAATTACATCATTTCATGAGAATCCGTGTATGCAAATTGAAATTACAAGTAGACAAAGTTGAATCTGGAAAGAAATTGTATTGATCCATATCAGATGGGTTGTCAATTTAATTGATTGCTATTTTTGACGTAATAAACAGCCAGAGAGTTAACTCACCTGCAAAGGGCCTGTGGCAAAGATGAGATAATGGGTCCGTAACCTTGGGAGTTATCATACAGTTCGAATAGGGGGGCAGCCACCAGCTTGTAATTCTTGGGAACCGCAAACAGTGCTACAATCCCGATAAGCATACACTCATTTAGTACCGAGGTCAAATTCACATATAATTCGACTAGAATATTAAAGTGCTACACACAAATATTTAAACTATAAAATTATGTGGTTGTGATATTTGGTAAATATTTAGACAAATAAGGTTATCTTAAGCGCCATCGTAAATTTTTTCAGGACATTTTTTCCCACTAGGTTTTTATATAATAAAAGTACACTTTGCACAGTACATATATGTACAACTGAGAAATGAGTATTATTATAATTAAATATCGAGATGATTAAATGGCAATAATTTTTACTACACACGTACTAAATATGTACGTATTTACGTATATGATTCGGATACAAAGACTGGAAATCATATATTCATATATGATGTATACATATACATATATATGGATCTGTACCATCAAATGCCAGTATAAATTTGTATACTACTATTTACTACTAATCGCCTCATAAATTTATCATTAAACAAAAATAACTTAAAAATATAAAAGTGTCGCAAATTATAAGTTATCTATACGACTTAAAAATTGAAAATCGCTTAATAAAATGAAAATCCAATACCAACATTATGCATAGGTACCACCTATTAGTCTAACAATCTGGATGACACTGGGTCATCAAGATTATTAAATACTTTGCTGTTGATTGGGTAATTTTTCCCATATTTATAAGTATTACTACTATAACGTTGACGTGGAATATGAGCTAATTGAAATCCAAGAAAACATGTATTTACTTAGATCTATTTTAGAAATCTGCATTGTTCTTCATTCATTTATGTATATACGTGTAAAGATATATATCTATCCATAGATTACAATTATACCGCAAAAAATGGTGGAGACCAACAAATAATAAATGCCCTTAGTCAACCTTTTCGGCTTGAACGCTCAATATACTTTCGAGTATTATCCCTAATAAAAATAGTTATATCAAAAAATCACAGAATTACAGTTAGTTTGAGAATAATCATATCACATTATCGTTACATCGTATCACACAAGTTTCAATGTCGAGTTTGTTATCATTGACTGCCACGTGCACAATCCGTTCACATTATAATTGTACAAAGCTATTTTACACGACAATGACGATACATAACGTCACCATGTGACGGTCACATAGACTACAGGTCTTTATAAAACGGCTAAACAGAAAATGCCGCATTGCAGAAACGTCTACGTATATACGTACGTCATGACTAGATTATTAAACAAGAATGTCATTCATAGCAGTAAAAAAATTTGGTACAACTCTTGGACTAGATCAGAATGGAAACAGTTTGAAAGCTGATAAATTAAGGATCAGACACAATGATGACCCTCCAATATCTTTGTCACCATAAGTTTCAAGAGGAAAAAACTTAATTGACAAAGCACTTTAGTAGAGTAAATGTTTGCACATTATAATTGATTACAGTCTTCATCAGCGTGATACATAAATAATCCCTACGAAACTGCAATCGATTGATCGATAGCCACCAATTACGGTCCTTGCTTTCTTTTCTTTAGGCATGGCAGCAAAGTAGAGCAGAATGAAACTGGGTCCACTCTGTCCAAAACACAACCAGTCCATGTCATTCTCATCAAATATTGCACACGTAAAAATTATCAAAAGTAAAACCTGGGATAACTTCATTCATATATACATTTACACAAAAAAATATAATTTATTTAAATGATAATTAATTTGACAATCGTAATATGTTTCGTTGTTATCCCAAATTGTACATGCAAAATATCCGAGCCTATATAGCCTGAAATAATGCTCTCTCTTGACCTCCATGTCCTGGTTGCTACCTACTTGCTTACCAAAATGGTCATCACATCCTTCCTACTAAATTCATGCCTATGTGTTACCTACTAATGTCAGTAACTAAGAAAAATTGACCGGGACACACTATCAACAGTACAAGACGATTTGCTACTTGAGGGATATTGAGGGTTTTATAGAAACTAACTAAAAACGGTCAGCTATTATGTCAACAAGAAGTGAGTGATAGAAATTTGGAAACTCATTTTGTATTGCCTATTGGCTACGACCTACCTTTTTCCTGGAGTTGTACCAAGAAGAGTTTCTTGTGTTCCTTGGGTTTCGTAATATGAGGAGGTACGTATGGATACTGGGGTGGTTCAAAATTAGGACGCCACCAGTTGCCAATTGTATCCTCAATCACCCATTCCTGTGCAACACCATCTTGTCGCCCCAACGTCTGTGGAATAAGGCACTTTTATTGACAGAAAAATTGAATGCAGGAAAACATGTTCATAATAAATGCATATTACTATACCTCAGTCATAAGCCTTTTTAATCCTTCAATTTCATCTTCTCCTGGGTTTAGCTCACCTCCAGGTCTAAGCAATAATGTACCACATTACGTTTAGGTAGAATAGGAAATAACAATTGAAGTCCACTTACAGTTTAAAGAACGTGGTTCCGAGTTGGAGGAGAAGAACATGAGGTAGTCCGTGTTCATGAACAATAAGCACTCCCTCAACAGAACGTCGCATCCCAATTTTATCAAATTCGTCCCGCATTCGCTGGAATCGTGCCGGTACTGAAGGATCTTTCTCATAAAGGGGATCTTTGGTTCCGAACGTATAGTTAGTCAAGGGATACCTGCATAGCAGAGTTAATCGGTACATATATAATATTCATTAACACACAATAATCCAGTCTTCGCAATCATATGCGTAGACTTTAAAATTAGACCCACTAACTAGTCACATTATAGCGAATAAACTCACAAATGAATGGTCCGATTAATTGTAAGGGGAGCAATGTTGGCAACAGTCCCATTCTTGGCCACGACCACACCCGTCGTCCCTGCCTCGACCTTCGTGTTCACTGGCCATCCTGTTCGCCGTGTAATGGCAGACATTTTATTTCTGTACATCCAATTCAATATTATGACAATGATTATTAATGCATAGAAATCATCATTCATTAGGTCCCAACAAACCACAATTTGATTTCGCAAGGACAACATAACTTTATATTTAAGAGAAACAATACAATCATATCATACCTCAACTGTTGTTTGATTGAATAATTACTTTGTGAAAGATAAGATGCAAGTCAAATCTAGTAAGGCATACAAACAGTTAATGGCATCCAGTAACTGGATTCCAGTTTCGTAAATTACGAATCGTAATATTTTACAACTTTACACTGACTGACCGAAAATGCGTATAAATAAATTTGAGTTTATTTTTCCCTTCAATTAGCAGTAGGATGGCTTGTCGGGTTGGTTTCAGTTCTAAAATCGAAGCTATTGTTAATTAGTGGATGAGTGGAGAAAGCAAGATATTTATGATTAAAGTGATGCTAATTAATTAAGTCCTTTTTGTTTGTTAGTCCATGGAGTAAGATGGGAATATGACGCCACCGGAGCAGGGTTGAACTTGCCTCGCCAAACAATGCTCGCTCAGCCCCACGAGCATTGCATAGTACGTAAGCAACTAAACATTCGGCATTGCTGCAGTAATTAAATGCTAGCGACCGACATGTTCTCGAATTTGATCAGGATATTTAAGAAAAGTAAGGAAACATGTAAATGCACTTCATCTTTAATAATTGGCAGGATAAAACATAAGTAACCTCCCACAGAAATAAAAGTACATCTTTCTTCGTTTTATTTATTAATCTATCTATGTATCGACGGTATAAATCACATGATTGTTTCATATTTCAAATGAATACGACTATGAATGATTTACATGCGACAGACAGGTCTAATTTATTTTAGGTGACATAAGAGCTTCATTCAGTCCTGAATGAAGTATTCCATCCTGAACGAAAACTTAATACTCAACAAAAAACCAGCAGGCCCTAGAACAGGGATCAATAATACTGGAATTAATATCAATATAATAAACATAAAACATAAAAATTATTTAACAAGTAGTGCCCAGTTATTTGGATTGTTATATGCCAGGAGGATGGGAAGATGGAGGAGGAGTGAGTAGGAATGGGGGAAGATCGACGTGGAAATGCTTGACCATTGTTGAAGATACTCCATCATGTCTTCATGCGATGTGTTTGACGCATTTAAACCACGCAGAAAGCAGGCCTATATATAAATGCAAAAAGGGAGAAATTAGCTTTACTCGAATACATTGTGCCATTGATATATGATTGAATGAGTAATATCAAACAATGGAAAAATAAATAATAAAGTAGAATAATTTTTACAGATTTTAAGTCTTCAATCTTCAAATTAAAAATGCCATCCCGAATCATGACGCCATCCATGACATGGAGCATTTCCGCCTTGTCATATAATCTTCTTCTGCTTAGGTAGAGAGTGTGAATTCCGTGCATTCGACAGAGTCCTTTCACGTGTGGACCGTATATGGCTTGCAGGCTGAATGGATCAGATTCAAATAAGGGCTTGATCTCCATAATTTCGCGAGGCGACGGGTGACTCCCAGAGCCCAACTTGTCTAAAACTTGCCGACACTTTTCCTTCATAGATTTATCTCTTATCAGCTCGATGTTGGCTTGAAGAGAGCGAAAGACTGGACGATAATTAAATAGTTTACTTTGATGGAGATCGATGGCGAACTGAGATTTTTGTTGAAGAGACCAAAAATGTGATGATAGCAGTCTTTTCGGAAAATAATAACTATATTAGAGAGATAAGACACATGTTTTAATTAAAATAATACAATGTTCAACATACAAACTTACAACTCAAGAACTACTTACGCAATAGGAAACATGATATAATTCATGAAGGGCAAAGCAGAGATTATAAGGGTTGGAGCAACTCTCGTCACTTCTTTTGGCATTCTGTAGTAAATATCTAATTCGGTGCTATTGAGATTGCGAATCCCATTTGATGACATGATTACCTTGCCAGATATTCGAACATAATCGGCAAGTTCTTTAGCAAATTCCTATGTAATAAATAATAGTTCATGACTTCATACTATAAAATATATTTGCGTGAATTAGTAATAACTCTAATAATGTGTACCTTGACTCCAATCGTAAAAACCCTGTATACATTCATGGCACCTGGAAATTTTTTCTCGGGAAATTTTTTGACAAATTCAAAGAACTTGAAAAGGAAGAATTTGGTAACTTTTTTTGGTTTGATTGGTCGCGGTGGGGTATGAGGGGCTGTTGGCGTCGATTTTTGTGATTGAGATGAACTAATATCCGACAGATGAGTTACAGGTGATTCTCTATTTTGGCTGGACCCTGGTGGGGTCGTTGAAGGTATCGATGGTAAAATATCACTGGATGTCACAGCTACCCGTTGAATTTGGATAGTAGTCGATCTTTTTTCTGTGTAGCACAAAAACAATAATAATTCATTTAGTATACTTAATTGTGAATAGTAAAACCTAACGTACCCTTATTAATGTTAGAGACCGTCTCGAACTTATCACGGACTCGATTGTCTGCTAGGTGACTAGACGTGTGAAAATTACTACAGGAAATTACTAGACTAGTATTATTATGACGAGATATGCAATTTTTAGAAAACATGATTTGATCCATCCGGGTCAGAATTTGGACTTGGGTTCCTCCAACGCTAAACCACGAGGATGACGAGGACAACCTACATAAACACGTCAGACATTTAAAAAACCAGGAAATTTATATAAAACATTAAACTCTAATGTGAGATGAGACCACTTACCATCTTTTATTTTGAAGTAAAGTTGTAAAAAGTAAAACTTGTTGTTGCCTTTGTCGTGAGGCGGTTACCCCATGTCGGACAAGATTAGACATGACCGTCGTGTGTTAGACTCACGTTTTGCGATATTTCAATTAAGTACTAGATGATCATCCTAGTACTTCAAAAGGTCAAACCATAATTCTACTCCTAATAGAACTTCAGAGATTAGATTAGAGGTTAATCAAACTAATCCAAACTTTGAAATGTTAGCTCCTTTGCCGAAAAGTGTTTGTTTGGCAGACAGTGGGGAAATGCGATATTCGTCTCCGTTCGACTCACACGCAGTATGTTACTCACAAGTATTGTAATCAAGGCTGAAAGAGTGAAGAGAGTTGAGAATCTCAACTTGAGATCAATAAATATATTAATGTATTTTATTTTTAATCAATCTACGCAATATTTCATCATTTTAAGCAGCGCACTATTAATTCCATTTATGTCAACTAAAAATTTAAAAAAAAACAACTACGAATACTATATCGAGTTCGAGTATTAGACGCCTAAACCTAGATAGAATAATAAGAATATAGAAATTTTAGAAATAATCGAGAAGAGCATTGAGCTTGAACATAATATACGAAACGAATATACGATAACGGCAAGTTTCAAAATATTCCAACTGGATTTACTCAAAATTTGAAGATATTTTTTAACATGAGCAATATAAAGAATGGTAATGGATTTTGCACTCTGTTAGACAAAATTTGTCTGACAAATCACAAATATATAATGCCAAGTTTTCAAATTGTTACTTATGGTTACAGGTTTATCATCACCAACGTCTTCGAAATGTCCAGCCTCAGCTCTTTCACTTCGTCCAATTACCAGCAAAGGATACTATTATCCTCCGTCGTTTGCACAGGGGTCGACAATTAAGCACTTTAGAAGGCCACAATCACAATTGCCGTCCTTGTCCTCTATTACTAGCATAAGACCGTCGTTGAAGATGCAATCCCGACAAAATTCGATATTTCCGAAGATTTATACACCACTTTCGACAACAACCTCCTCCAAGAAATGGGTTCGTACAGCCGCACCATTGCCAATTAGAGCAGGAACGCCTATCATTGACTCCAAAGTTTGCTCCTCTACAAATGTCGACCCCGTCATTAGAATCCCAGACATGTCGCATTTTGGAATGGAGGGGTCCACTTCTGGTCCTTTAAAACCGATTGTCCGTCTCAACAGCAATCAGGCTCATCGCATGGAAGTTAAGTTCAAAAAAGCTACAAATTCTCCTTGGTTCAGGTCAAAGTCGTCTGCAGTTGCCCGTTTCCATAAAAATGGTAGCATGACAAGGAAACGTCCGTCAAAACAGAATTTTAGTGTGAGAAAGTACTCGCTGAGAAGGATACGAAAGTCATCAATCTCATCAAATTCACCAAGATCTAGACGATTATCTGCTGCAATTCCATTATTAATTGGAGGTGAGAAACCCACGCAAATAAATAATCCATGCTTTATGAGACATGGACTGAATTTTATTTTACCAAAAGTTAAGAATATATATTTGTATTTGTTACAATTAAATATTTTAGGAGGGGAGGGTTCATATTTCAAGTCTAAAGAATTTATAAAAGATAAAAAGAAATGTAGCAGCACGCCCAGTCGAAATACGAGTTTCTCGATTCAGAGTGGCAGCCCCAGGAAGCTATCTCAAAGTGTTCGTCGTGCCACGTAATATTTCAAAATTAGTTTCTAAAAATATTTTCTTGAGTTTGATCGAGAGTCCATTTTCATTTCAGGAGGGTGATTCAAAGGTCGAAAAAGCTACTCAATAAATCTAAAAGGAAAAAGAATACGTTTTGCATATTTTTCAACAAGTTTGGAACATGCAGAAGAGGAACGGAATGTTCCTTCATTCACGATCTCCGACAAGTTCTAATTTGTTCAAGGTTTGTACCACACAGCGACCGAAATACAAAGTACATAGTGTCTTGTAGTTAAGCTGAATCGATTGTAATTTTACCAGGTTCCTGGGTACAGGATCTTGTACAAAAGTCGGATGTTCATTATCTCACAATGTGATGGTTGGAAAAATCCCCACTTGTCAGTTTTTCAATGATGGAGTTTGTGTGAAGGAAAATTGTTCATTTCGACACATTCAATCTAGTGGCAAACGTGTTTCCCCGATAAAAAAGAAGCGTATTTCCCCCACCGTAAAATATATTTAAATTAAGATATTAATTTATTTCGAGATAGTACTTCATGTGAGATTGAATTTTTTTAAAAATCAGATTCCAATGAAAAATATGTCGACGGTTCCAGCAGAGTTGTCAAATTTGAGGTGCAAACCCTACCATAAACGAGAGGAGAAGAAAGCCATCATCGAGGATGCAATCGACCCTGCTATTTCGTCACGATATTTTGATAACTCTCCGGCTTCGCAACCAATCATCTCCATTATTCCCAGGAGACCCAGAAAGGAATTAAACGACAAGGATGCGTTGTACTTTCTTGCTTCTTCTTCGGACTCGGATGCTGAGAATATGGATGATGATAAAATGCAATGTGATACGGCAAAAGGAATTATGTCTAATGGCAGTGATAGCGAATTTAGAAAGTGTAAACTTAGTAAGATTGGTGAACATGTCAATGATAAATTATTTGCCAGTGCTGTACAAGGAAATGGTAACATTTCAACACGTATAGGTGCCTATAATGTTAATACTGGTGTTGCAGGTTGTACCACTAGTAGTGGTGATAATCGGAGACAAAAACTTCTGGAGAGAATCACCAAGTTCAAAGAGAAGCCAACTACTAGTCACAGTGCTGATACGGGCAATATACCCTCGGCTAAACCTAATATTATGATGCCGACATTTTTTAAATTTAGCTAAATCATATTTATTTATTTATTATGTAAAGATGCAATTTTTTAATAAAGCCGAGCGGCACCCAATTTTATCCTTAAAGAAACCCATCAAAAACTCTTAAATTAATTATCAAGTTCCCAAGATAATCACTTTTAAAGGCGTTGTCCTGCATATGTCTTAACGGACGGAATAGTCCAAATAGCGTCCTTTAGAGTTCGCATAACTGGGTATTGGTCGATGACACCGTCTCCACCGTCGAATTCCTCCTCCACACTGCCCAGAAGTTGGGCAAGCATCACATCCGGAAAGGTTAGTTTCTCTCCAAGCAGATAAGGACCTCCATATTTCAAGTGGCACCTCGAAAGTTTCTCAAAATAGTTTGGAAAATGTGTGGTCACTAAAGCTTCCTTCTGGACAGCTTTCTTTTGGTCGTCACTGGACTCAAACTCGTATTTATACCACTCTGAAATATGCATGCAAAGTGCATTTCTATGTACGTAGAACAAGACGCTTATACACATACATATATATTATTCAAAACTAACCATCCAATAACTCCCCAACGACGTAACCCACCTCGTCAATATGTGCAGCTTGATAGTGGTCATTGCTGTAAAATCCAAATTTCTTGGCCAAAAATCGGATGATTGCCATAGTCTGCGTAATCTTGATGTTAGATGGATCCGAATGATTCCCGTCTTCTTCTTCCATGATAACTTCCAACATGGGAAGTTGACCCCACGAAGTGCCTATTAATATTTATTCGTACATTATGCTATGCATATGTATGTCTACGACTTAAATATATGTAAATATGATTATTTTTATTATGGCTCATGAGTTGAGTGAGATATCAATTTTACAAAATTATATAGTCGTTTCTTCAACAATCTTTGTTGTAGTTCAATAGAATTTCTCACTTGATTTAAAACTTGGCCACTCAGTCGCGTCTATTCGCAGGTCTTGAAATGGGACCTGAGCTACAGCAAACATGAGGCGAATTTGCTCTGCTCTTCCCCGGATATTGAAATATGTCAGTTTGTACTTTTCAGAAATAATCCTTATTTGCTCCATATTTTGCTATCCGCTCGTTAAAGGCTATTCCTTAATAAAGCACTGTATATGTAGAACGTATTTATATAAAGTAACACTCAACAATTCCTTTTGCATATGCTATTGCATGCCACTGTAGGCACCACGATGTTCACGATGCGGATGATTTTCTCAAGTATGTACATGCGACAGGAAACCAATAACCACGAAATTTATCCTGTGAAATACAACTTGCGTTGTAATATGTATCATGTTATGGAAAAATCAACGTGAGCCTTTAATAAGAATTGCGTTCTTGGAATAAAACTTTTATTCGCAAGACTGGACTCGGACAATAAGTGTCGCCTGTTAATATTAGTATGTATATATTTAATGAATGTGATGACAATGTCATCATGACATCGTGATCAATAGGCATGAAATTTGAGCCATTTCGTATTTCTCAATTGTTGGGCTCGTATATTACATGACAAAGAACTTATGCTTTTTGTTGTAAAAGCGATTAAGGTGATCTAATCATCTCACAAAAAATTCGTCATTGTTACTGACTAAGAATTTTTTTGTTGCAAAGAAATCAGGCATTGTGTGACTGTTTAGTTCGTCACTGTCAGTTGAAGAACAATATATATATGTATGATAATCTTGTAAAACTTTTTTAATGACATCACAACATGACTGCATAGATCATGTATATAAGTCATGGACGACTATAAATGATCTCATTGGATTTTATATTTAGGTTTCAAAAACCCGCATTACTCATTTTTTGTTGTGCCCTATAGCGATGAGTTGATACCTAATCCTAAGTACGTTAATAAAATTTACCAACAGTACCTACACCACCAGAACATTTAAACATGCAGAAATATTTTTATTGACTTAGAAATTGCATTATTATATGTCATACATACATATCGCATAATACTGACAATGCTGCCGAGGATCAAATGTGTAATTGATTACAAAAACTTGATTGATTATACAGTAAATTCCCGAAGACGGTTCAAGGATGAGTTCACAAAATGCACGAAAGGTCTGATATTTACTAGAGGGTGAGTCCGGACAAGCATCACATACTCAAGATTGGGACAGTGTTTACAAATGACACCCAAGCTGTTCAGCGACAACTGAAATGAAAAATAGCAATATATAAATATACATGTATTTAAATGTACAGCATTAGTAGTATTCAAAGAATACTAAAAGAGCAATTTTGTATCAGACAAACTAATTAACTATATTACTTTTGAGCAATGGGATAGGTTTAAACGGTACAAATATGGAAGTCTAAGGGCGAAATGCCACGTTGCTGAAGATAAGTTGCCACACGAGCTCAAGTCTAATTCCTCGAGGTCTATCCAAGGAGAGGAAATAAATAAATATGTAAGTCACAGTAAAGTAAATGACAAATTAAATGACAAATACTCATACACTTCAAGTCAGATAGGCACCCGGTTGAATTTCTCCGACTATTATATAGACCTGGACCCAATTCTTTTGGATAGCGACCTTCATCAATTAAACTATCAAACTCTGATTCCAACTCGACAGTTCTCTTTGGGCCTGAACCACCACCACCAGGACTCAGAAGCCACAATGGAAGTCTAATGTTAGGATCCCCTTCCTCCAAGTTTCGTTCTTCGGGCTGTGACACTATTCCAGTCAAGCCAAAATCACTCAAGCTATAATAATTGTTAATAGTTAACACAAATGTTCAACACCTTGTGAAATAATATCATATTCTTAGATGAATACCTTTCACATCCAGGCAGATGCAATTTTTTAATTTGTTTCATGTTGAGAATTATAACTTGCAGTAACCCATTGTTGACGAATTCGTTAGAGTGAGCGAGGCTTAAGTGCGTAATATTTTTTAGCTTGGAAAATACTTGTTGTTGAATCTGCATCAAGCTACCAACCTGTGGTTCGGCGATTTTCATAATACATAGACTCATTATAAACTTCAATATGCTTTCCATTAATACAAACGCCAAAATCTTATAAATCAATTATCAATATAACAACTTGTAATATATTACCACGACAGGGGAACGAAAAGGGTTGGCACAACTTAGTTTTCTCAGCTTTGGCATAGTTTCAAAGACAGAAACAGCACCCCGATCAAACTTGCCGTTTCTGATAGACAAAGACTCCAAGTTTGGAAGAGAAATTTCTTTCAAAACGTCCAATACCATTAAGCCACGGCCATCAGATTCTGAAGTATACATAGAAAGGAAGAAAAAACTACTATTATAACCAAAGTATGACATTTTTCCAATAAATAAACGACTAATTAATTAATTCCTCGTACTCAGACTTAGCTTCTTGAGAGACTGAGAATGAGCCGATAGCACTGAATGTATAGCATCCTTCTTTAGTTCTCTGCAGTAGGACAAGTCCAATGACTCCCAGGTAAAAATGGCTACATACGTTACAATACATGACATACATTCATAAGATAAAATAGATTAAGAAAATTCTGAAGAAATATGGTTGTCCGACACGAGTTTAATCACATACCAGGGTCTCGAATTAATTCTAAGGTGTATGACGTAAGAGGAGTAGCTTTTAAAATGAGCTCGTTCATGTGTGCCCCTTTTGGTCGGGTCAGAAAGTGTTTCACAATGGTCTCGAACGAAAAAATGTGATCACTAAATTCCACAGGCCCAGATTCTTCAGAGTTCAAGGCTGAAGGACACATGATATGAATACATAAACATAATTTGCCAACCCATCAAAATACTCTTTGTCATATACAGCAATATTCAGTACATAAATACCTTGAGGGTAGAATCTATTGTGTACAGCTCTTGCGAGAACCAAAGGGCATCCCATTAAATTGAGGCTCTCGAGTTTTTCAGTCTTCAAAAGTAGGTTTAATAATATTTTGTCCGTGATGTTCCTGAATTAATCAAAGCATACAAAAATAATAACCATGAATTACATACACAACGTATTAACGCCATATTTGTTTCGCTCGTGAAATCTTGGTATTTCGAATTTACTTGTTACAAGAGACATCCAAACTGACAAGATTCGAAAGATGCAGAATCTGATGAAATTGGATAAATTGAGCGCCCATCATAAAACTCTTGTCCATATTCCGTAACGCCAACTTTTTCAGATTAGGGCAGCCCAAGCTAAAATTCTAGTTGAGAATGATTACACAAAGATATGACGATTATTAGTATATCATCAATAAAACACGAAATAACTGGGCCATTTGGTGTGTTTCATACAGTGTCAACATTAACAACATTTCCATCGTTGTCCTTTACATCGACACAAATTCTTGGAAGAACAGCACAGTCAGTAAACTCGAGTCGCGTTATCGTATCTGAGAACAAGGACCAGAACTTAAGGGAAAGGGGGTTTCGTGTTAGCTCTAAATTTTCTAGAAAGAAGGCAGCAGTCCGTAATGGGAGAGGATAATTGTGCGTCTCGTCCTCCGCATTTATGCCTTGTGCTTCTTGTTCTGAAACGGCAGATGGGACAAATTTAAATGCAATCAATTCATTCGTGTTTATTATTTATGAACTGGTACCATTTCGCTGATAATGAAGAGCTAACTGGTGCAACCTGTCTTCTGAACCTTGACAGTTTATGCCAAATGCGTCCCCTAGAAATCGTTCAGAATCCGTCAAACCAAACAAAAACCACGAACGACACACGCGTTGCGCCCAAAAAACATCACGAGGACTCAAATTGGATGCGATATTGTACAAAATCTAGAAAATATGATGAAATTAAATCCCAAAAAACCAGGAATAAAAACTTAAACTATAACTAACCTCATTTGGTAAGAGTAGCTGGTCATCTCTCGGATTGAAATTAGGTGTGGACAAATTTACCCCCATCGCATGCTGGCACGAAATGGGAGCTTCTAAAGGCTACTAAGTATTAAATCTAAATTTGAAGCACTTTTGTGTACATTGACAGTGTTTTTGTGGATTCGCCGATTCCAAACATTCAAAAAACCAAGAAGAGAAGGGAACTTCGAGCTGTTTTTTCTGCCCGGCAATATCCATGCACGTGCAACATGTGGGATTTCGTAAAATAATAAAAGTGACGTTTTGGTTCATAGTAAAAATCGTTCGTCCTTGAGAAGACTAAATTCAAAATTCAAATAAAGCAAGTGTCCAACCCAAGCGATTGTTATACTAAACTGTTTCTCATGGTTCAGTCATTAATAATACTCCAGCATTAATTATTACAAATTTTATAAACAATCAATTCAGTTTTCATTAGCGGATCGTTAAAATAAATAATAATAATGTCATCCAGCCATGCGAGCAAGCTACAAGTGATTGAAATTTCAGACGAGGAGGTGGAAACGATAGTTATTGGCAAGAAGAGCAAGAAACCCAAAAGGCGTCGAGACCAGGGGGAGAACTCTGTTGAAGAAACGGTATCCACGCCACCACTCCCACTGCGGCGAAAGAAGAGGCGACGCAATAAAAGTTAGTTCACAGCTATAAAGTTGAAAGTAACAAGAGCTATAAGATCATTAACATCACGATTATATTATTTTTCATTTTGTAGGTAACAATCTCCTCGCTGCTACTTCCATGTCATTTTCTCAATCAACTCAGGAGGATGAGACTGAAGAGTCTGTGATGCTGGATGGTATTGAATGTGCTGAGACTGGAGGAGGAGAGGCTGAAAATGTTGATGAAGGTGGAATTTTGGACTACGTTCCTTTTGTGGACGGAATTTGGTACCGTCGTCATGATGAGGGCTCTGTTCTACTCTTGTTGGAAGTGGGAAAGAGAGTATATTTCTCTGGAAGATTAAAACTACATGTCGTTAAAGGCAAGGTTGAAGTAATGGGATACACTTTGGAGTCAACCGCAAATAATTCTTTGATTGGATCAATGAACGATGATAACGACAAGTCTAGAACGGTGAGAAAAGCATATAGCCCTAAGGGTCATTCCAGTCTGTTGTACATTGAAGGAAAATGCTGTGGACAAGACGAAGATAATTTGGATGACTTGGCAGGTGAGGCATTTTTTAAAAATCGTCGGTCGACGTTGAGACAAATTGATATCAGTCAATCATGACTCTAATTGTATTGCTTTACATCATCTAGATCTTGGTTTACCTCATGGGGTTGCTGCCGTCATTCTGTCTGGTTTTGAAAATGAATGGACATCGGGGTTTAGAAACACGGCAGAAAATGGTGATCAACTTATTGGGCCTGAAATTAACACAAATATCAGACGCCATTCTCGTTTAACTGATGTTGAACACGTTGATACTGGAAGCACAATGAAGTTACCAAAAATGAAACAATTTCTGGACAAGTTTGGATTTCAGCTTATCCCTGACAAATTGCTGGAGAAAAATCGTCTTTTTGTAACCGATCTAGCGTGGGAATCTTTCTTTGAGAAGATAATAAATGATATTGAAAATGCAGGTTAGCCTAATAGATAATTGAATTTGTTTAACGCAGGGTTCCTATACTTTATTTTCCACTATAGTTTTTGTAGACAGGGTTAAGTCGATTTCCAAAAAATCAGATTAATTGAAATTTTAATGTATGGGAATTTTGATGATTCTGCTGGTTAAAAGTTTTTGTTAATCAAGATAAATATAAATTTTACCTTCAAAACCCTGTCTACAAAGTATAAGATCCATGGTGTGTCCCTGAATCCTGATGCTCTCTAATCACGGATGGGCTTGGGACTACATATTTTATATATATTTATGTATATGTAATATCCATCTTACCACTAAATCTGTACAATTTTGAAACATCAGTGTGAGTCTTTCACGAGTGGATAATTTATGAAATTTGGCTTGAAAGAACCACACTGGTCAACCACTGGACTGATCATGTCCATCTTTGAAGTCAAGGCCAGCTTAAAACGCCTAAAAAAGTTATTTTTATAATTTTATGGTTGAATTTAATTAGGTGACTTTAGGATTCATGAGAAGATAAGTGTCTTTGGCGGAAAAGGCGTTGGAAAATCTACATTTTGCAGATGGTTGATCAATAAATACCTATCTCAAAAGAGTGGAGGACAAATTTTGTACATTGATCTGGATCCAGGACAAACAGAGTTTACGCCGCCTGGAGTTATTTCTGTACATTTGGTGTCGACACCATTGCTGGGGCCAAATTTTTCCCACTTGAGACAACCCGAAAAGTACGTTATCAAGAGTATCCATTATGATTTTAGCTACAATTGAGTGAGAATTGTGATTGTCTACATGAATCTATTTATTTTATATATTGTGTTTTATTTTTTAAGGGCAGTATTTCTCGGTGGAGTGAATGTGGCTGATTATCCTGCTTTGTATATTCATGCTGTGAACGAGCTGGCTCGTTTCGTAGGAGAAAATTATTCCAACGTTCCTTGCATTATTAACACGATGGGATTTTCCTCCGGTAAATTTTATATTTATAATAATCGGATTATATACTAATCAGATACAATATGACCAATTAGTTCACCTTTAATATGATATGGTTCACAGGTCTAGGAGTTCCACTTGCTATTACCATCATTAAAATATTTGGCCCTTCTACCCTTGTTCAACTTAAGATTTCTAATAACCCAAAATGTTCATTTCCGTTTGCCTTAAACCCAGACAATGTTTCTACCTACACCATTCCACATTTTTTATTGAACAACCAATCGTTGAGTCAATCATTTCATGAGAAATTACAGTACAACTTTATACAATTTAATTCTGTAAGTGGGAATACCAGTCAACATCAAGATAAAGGCAAAAGTTCTCAAAAAACTCCAGGGTATGCAAAATAATAATTTATCAGTCGCGATCACTATTCTCTGAATCTTTGCAACATTTATAGAATCTATAATAATTTTTTTGCAGTGGAACGAGTCCAAAATCTTTACGCGAGAATATGTTGATTTCCTACTTTTCTGAACAAATTGGATATAAACAAAATGTTCTTGCTGTCATTCCATACCGGTAAGCTCAACGTTTGTACACACATACATGTATGCACATAGAGCATCATTTTGTTTCTAAAAAACGTGTTTCAGAGTAAGACTTGAAACCATGACAATTGGATGCATGAACTCTAGCTTGGACTGGAACGGTATTCTTCATACTCTAATTGGAAATCTGGTTGCTTTGTGCAAGTTACCATCGGAACTAGAAACTTCAAGTCATTCATTAATTGAAGTCGAGCAGGAGCAGCCAACTACATCAAAATCCTTCATCTCCAGTTGTTCAAGGAATAATATTAACGATTTCCTCGGATACGGTCTCTGTCGCGCTGTTGATAAGGCAGCCAATGAACTAATGATTATAACTCCAGTATCGAAGGAGTTACTGGATCAAGTTGGCCTTATCATTTGTGCCGGAGAAGTTGGACTCCCAGTATCTCTTGTACTAGGCTCAAAGACTAACAACAATATTCACCATGCCTACATCTCCGGACAGTTTTCTCGGTTAAGCGTCTGTGGCAAGAAGTCGTATGTACCAGGGAAAAAGTCTATCCACACAGTCTACGCAGACTAAAAAATAGTTTTCGTCACTTATTCAGTTATTCATGAGTTGATGGGACTTGGAAGTAAGGGTCAATAGCTATTTTGTTTAGAAATAGAGTACATTTGTTTAAAAAAAAAACAGTTAAATTGCACCTTACATTTCACTAACTGACTTTAACCCTAATTAATGCAGTTGTAAAATCTTTGTAAATGTACAATAAAAACATAATTAAATAGAACTTATGCAAAAAGGGTGAAATGCAAGCCGTCTTTCTGCATCATAATATCAGTAATGAGACGATTCTTGGCAGGATTCTCGATCATGAGAGAGTTTGTATTTGCACAGGCGGTTGTGAATTGGCTGCGCACATGTAAACAGCACGACTTGAGTACTTTTATACTTTTTTTATAGTATATTTAGTTCATTTATGCACTATTCAAAATATTCAAATTCTTATTTTAGAAATTCTTAAAAGGAACTCGCATTAGAAGAGGTACGTCGCTTCTTACTCGATTCTTCTCAGAATCTGAAGTTCAGATTGTTTATTTACTTTCCTATAATGAGTAGAAATCAAAGATCATTTCATTGCAATGCAAATAAACCTTAACAAAATTCTAAAACTTGCTGTAATTCACTCACAGGCAAGGAAAACGGCTATAAAATTCAGATAAAATAAACAATGAACATTTAGAATCTGTGATCTGGTTGATGTACCACATTTTCTAGCCAAACATTATTTTAATGTCATTTTCCCAGCAGTAGCCTCTAGGTCTTGCAGGAAATTTAATCAAAGCACCATCAATATCAATTTTTAACAATGTTTGAAATAATTGTAATAGCATCAAGTTTTTCTTGGTTCTTTTTTGTGATAGGAGTCCGATTGTTTGCGGACTACTTGCTATTTTGAAGATAGTGGTAGACTACCATACCACCGGTAGTCACAAAGATATCTGAAAGTCTGAATACTTAATGGCAATGATGTTGGCAATGCATTCGAAGTGAATTGATAAGTAAACACCCCTTTTGTTACCTACTTTTACAGAGAGATGCCGGGAGGAGGGGGACGGAAGAAGCCCTTCAGTGGGAAGCAGAAGAAGGCACAGCTTCAATCCAAGAAACAGGCCGGTCTCCACCACCCGCAACATCATCGGGCCGAGCTGGGTGAGGACGACGACAGGGGTGAAACATCATCGACCATCGTAAAACGTACCTAATTAAAAATAATACATTGCCTAAATTGTACTACGAAATGCCCAATGTGGATGTACACAAATGGAACTTCATAACAGGCCCTGCACACGGTATCACTAGTGAAGATGGTCTTGAATCATCCAAATTCTTTGAGAACAGACCTGCCCCCTCCAGGATGAACCCTGGAAGGTATCTAACTAATTACCAAACTGATTATACAAAATGTGTACTGTTCACATACAGCAGTTAACTCGAAATGGCATATGAAACAAATATTTCAATTTAAGGTATGCACTCATGTTCCGGGCAGAAACTAAAGAAGAAGTGCAACGTTTAAAAAATGATGCGAGAAAACCCATGCATCCGATCGACGAAGAATATCTCGAGTGTGCATCTGATGATTTTTATACGTCGGAACTAGACTTTCCAGTCAGACCTGAATGGAATTATGCACTCAGTCCAGATCAGTTGGAGAAAAATGAAGCTAGATATTTCCAGGTGGGTGTATATTATGCATATACATAAGTATTATGTGTACGAATATACATATAAAAATTTGACAGGAGTATTTAAGGAAAATTGATCAAAAGTATGAAAGAAGTGACCTAAGCTATTTTGAGATGAATTTGGAGACCTGGAGACAATTTTGGCGTGTCTTGGGTATTAAAAATATTACATTTACATCATCACCTCTAAACCACTACCATTTTGGATTAATTTGTCTCAATTTTTTTGAAACAGAAATGTCTGACATTCTCCTCTGCGTGGTAGATATTAGATTTCCAGTAAGAAATATCTCATTATAACGAAGAATTGTCATGAGCATGTAAATTTTTCACAAGTAAATTGTAAATTTGTTCTTGTATGTTTTGGTTTGTAGCCACTCCTATTCCCACCTCGATTGTATGACTACGTTTGCAAGACTTTAGGAAAGAATATTATAATCGTGCTAAATAAAATTGATCTCTGTCCAGCCCCATTGGTATTGGCTTGGAAAGATTACTTTACTACAACATACAAAGGGCTGCAAGTCGTCTGCTTCACTTCTTTTCCAGCCTATAATCTACACGGGAACTTGGCTGAAGGGGCTAGTGGAACAATGAAAAAGGTCTTATCCTTCATAGCAATTATCATAATTGTATTCTTCATGTTAGTATATAATTTAATTTATATTTTTTTCAGGCCCGAAGAGTTAGAGGAAGACTACGAATGGCTGCAGAAGGTGCAATGGAAGTGTATAAAGTTTGTGAAGAGCTTGTGAAAGGGCAAGGTAGTATTTTCGAATCCGCTGCTGCTGACGTTTATGTTTTGATATTTCAACTGAGTAATCAATGTTATTTCAGTTGATCTTACGAAATGGAAACAAAAGATCTCTGATGAGATGAACATTTCAGATGAAAATAGCGACGAATGCAAAGCCGCTGATATAGACAATGTGGAATCACTGCAAAAGCAAGACACCGGATACTACGAATTCAAGCAGTTTCACTCGGGTATACTTACAATTGGATGTGTGGGCCAACCCAACGTTGGGAAATCTTCGTTGATCAATGCTTTGATGGGGAAAAAAGTACATGATTTAATTTATCCTTCTCTCAAGTTTAATAAATTTCATTCTTTATTAATCGTTTGAAAATATGAAGGTCGTGAGCGTGTCCAAGACTCCTGGGCACACAAAGCATTTCCAAACTATTTTCCTTACACAAAATGTCCGGCTATGTGACTGCCCTGGTTTAATTTTCCCGTCTAAAGTCCCTAAGCCCTTGCAGGTAATAGCGCGTTGCATTATAATGAACCTAACTGCATGTATCTGTCCAATTTGCCGTTGAATTAGACTGATTTTAATGTACTCATGCGATAAGGTGTTATGTGGGAGCTATCCTATTGCTCAGTTGCGAGAACCGTACTCCACAGTTCACTACCTCGGTAAGTTACCTGAATTTGAGTATGTTTGTTTGTTTTACATATATCAATAAATAAATAATCTACTGCTTTGATCATGATGCTCATGTACATAGCAATATCCAATAGTTTTATCTAGTCATTGAACTTTGATTCACGAAATCATGATTTGCTTTTGCTATATAAATTATAAACCTTTTAATTAAATATTCGGATTCTATTCTTTTCAAATAAAATGCATTCTAAAAATAGATTATATTAAATATTACCTAGGACAACGGATTGATCTGGCAAAGATGCTTGGAATTCAACACCCTGAAGGAAAAGATGAAACCGATTGGAGCGCTTTCGACATAGCTGATGGTATATTTGTAATTATTTGTCGAATATACTATAAACATTTTGCTATTCATAACCCGATATATGCTATTCTTCCTTAAGCTAAGCATTTATTTGCTTTTATCGATGAATTAATTTTTCAGGATGGGCCTTAAAACGTAGCTACTATACTGCAAAAGCGGCCAGATTGGATTCATATCGCGGAGCCAATCACATTCTACGTTTAGCATTGGATGGTCGTATTATAATTTGTTTGAGGCCAAAGGGGTACACATCACGAAAAGGTTGGTGTCTCACAAGCTTGGTTGACGATGGTTATGGAAGTAACAATATTAATTATATATAATCCACATGGCTACTTGCATATATTGCAGAGGAATTTAGTAATGATCCCAGAATTGAGGAAATTTTGACAATTCAAGCAAAATCTGGACCTGCATTGGAGAAGGTGGATTTCAATCTGTCAGATACCGGTTGGCTTAATTGAAAGTTGAAATTATTTAGTGAGGTTATTAATTAATCATGTAACTATTCGTATATTTTAGATGACGTGGATGAAGACAATGACGTTCAGCTACCACCTGGTTTTGTTCCAGCTGAGGACAACGACTCGGAGCACGATGGAAAAGGAAAGCAACTGTGTTTAAAAGAAAGGGCAAAGCCGACAATTCAAAATAAGTTTGCAATGCTTGGCCAGTTGGAGGATGACGATGATGATAGTGATTAGATCCTGATTTTCAGTATATTCCCAACCTAGATACTTATCTGCAATATTTGTTGAAAACCTGATTACCAGCTCATGACGAACTAATGTAATTGATTATTAAGTTACTAATAATAGAAAGATTGTACGTGTCATGTATATAGAAATACCATGCACAAGTAAATTATGCAACTTTCCGGGGTATTCTAAATAAGTTTGGGTATTCTTTCTCTCATGCTGACAGTTTATGTGTAACATTTTTTTAAAAACTTTCTACACTTCGGTAAGCAAAGTCTCTGCAACTTACCGGTGATTTTATAAACATGGGTCATTCTGGTTAATTTTGTTAATTGTAGCGTGATAATAATTTCAACTAATCCTGGAGACATATGTATACTCCACATATATGCATGTATAAAACAAAAATAATTAAATAACCTTGCATTGTACTTAACTACAAATAATCGGTATATTTTTTTATTAAACAGTTGTATGTAATGATACAATAATACATGGAAAAAATAAATGCATAAACTGGTAACGTATTTAATGATGCAGATAAAAAAATAAACAATCGACAAGTCAAAGATTTATGATTTACTATTTTTTTATTTCCATAATATATGTAATGAATGGGTAGTAGCTCCTAAAAACATCAAATCTTGTAATTAAACGATTTTGGAGATTATTATGTTACTGGGGCGAACAAGTTGAGATGACGCAATATAGATACATATATGGCACGCATTCCGATAAAAATATTTTAGTCATTTACTTGCACACATCACCAAAGTTTATACGTATTTATACAGCACACATATTTAAAGTGGTAAAATATATTCGTGAAATGCTAGTACCGTTTGATCTTTACTAATTTTTAGAATGACATGCATATTATTGTTTGTTAGTCGTTGACTGATCATAAAATTACACAATATGTTTAGCGGGCAGGTTGTAGAAATACTTTCATCTACAATTAAAATTGCTGTTTAGCAAGGACTCGACATACAGAAGAATAGCAACGTTTCCGGCGTACGAATCAGCAATCTAGCGGTTCACTTGGCCTTAAGAATTGGTGCTGGCGGATTCTTAATGATTTGATCTTCCAATGCAGCTCCTCCCTTCTTAATTTGTTGAGCCATGTCGCCAAACATATTCAACCTGTCGTGTACAAAAATAGTATAATCCTAACCACACTGCACTCGAAATGGATAGATGTGCGTATATAAGATGACGATGATGATAATACAATACCTGATTTCTTCTCCCTCTAGTAATTTCCTGTAAGTGGCAATTTCATTGTCCAAAGCCACCTGGAGAGTGAATTCAAGAACGAAATTAGTCATTGATGCGTTCATCAAAATATTAACGATATGTACACATGACTCATGGACTGAACTCTAACCTTGACTTCCATCAGATCCTGGTATTCGTTTATGAGTTGATCCTTATCCGTCTGGAGTTGTTTGATCCTCTTTTCCAATTCCATGATGCTACGACTCATGTCCTCCTAAAGAGTTCGTGACAATAAAATTTGTAATGCCGGGAAGAAGGACTATTTATTTTACTTTTAATTATTAATTCTAGTTTACCCGATCTCGCTTCATGGCGTCACGAGTATTTTGCAAGTCTGCTTGCAGGGCGTGACGATCTCCTTCGAGAGCTGACATCTGTATTATGATTTTGAGAAAATTGTTACTTTGTAAATATTATTTTAAAGGCTACTGGTCGAATATTAAATATTTTGTCGTGTACCTTTTTGGACAGCTCTTCCACGTGCAAGAGAAGTTTTGCCATTTCGTCCATCTTGGACTTCAAGGAAGCTCCATTATTTTCTAATTGTGCCTTCCAGTCTTTCTCCTTCAGTTGGTAGAGATGCTCACGTTCGTCCTTGTGTGCCTTCAGTTCCCTCTGGCAGTCTTCACGAAGCTGTCGAATAGCATCCTCCAATCGGTTATCGTACTCCTTTTGCAACTTTCCTCCAATTTCTAAGTAGTAAATAAATAAATAAATGTCGTGACATAAGCCATGGAATATTTATATTTTCGATATTTTACCAGCGATTTTGCTCTGATTAGCAGATTTGATGGTAGCAACTTCCTGCTGATGCACGTGGGCCTTGAGTTGCATCTCTTCGGATTTGCCCTTCAATTGATTCTCCAACTCTACGATTCGCAGAGTTTTGTCCTCAATGGACTTTTTGAGAGCATTGTTCTCTCCCTCAAACTTCTTCAAGTCGCGAGTCAAGTCGTCAATCATCTTTCGCAACTTGGCGTTATCGGCGTTGGCCTTTTTCAGATCAGCTTCAGCCTTTGTTGTGTCCGCCTCCGCGTTCTCAAGTTGTTTCTTTAGCTCCGCATTTTCATTCAAAAGACTCTGTACCCTGTCAAAATTTAAGCATTCATTACATGAATATCTTCGCTATTGTATGTGTACCCAGCATACGTATGTACATGGCGTAAGGGTAACTTTTAAAATCGAGTTTATAACAGTAAATAAGTGTGTGGTTTAAACTTGCTTCGTGTTGGCATCGTTCAACGAATTTTTCAGAGTGCCCAGCGACAACTCGGCCTTCGCCTTTTCCTTCTCCGCCTTCTCCAGTCGAGCTCGGACGTCGTTGCTCTCATTAAGATAAGTCTGTTTCAGTGACTCTGTAGTTTTTGTCAATGTGGCCTCGACCGATTGTACCTTATTAGTAATAAGTAATGATCATTTATAAATGAATATGCACTAGTCTTAACTATATAAATATATACATAAATATAATTTAAATCTATAGTGCCAACCTGGGCGGCTAATTTGGCGTTGTCTCCTTCCAACTGGTGGTTGCGGTCAATAATGGCAGCAAACCGATTGTTCAAATGAATCAAAGTGTTTTTCTCCTCGATTCGAGTCATTTTGTTTGGCGTCATCGGGCGCTCGTCTGGAAATCAAATTAAAAAGTTGAAGCAAAATTGTGAACACGGATGCAATCATCAATTCATAAAACAATTCGGCAAGATGCGTAATATCGTAAAAAGATGTGTGCATTTGTTTGTGCAGAACTAATGATCACGCCTGCAGCGTATGTCGCCCACCTTTTCCACCACTTCTAAATTGTGGGGGCAATGGTAACTGAGCGTTCAGACTTTCCGGGTTTTCAGTCGTTTTATTACTGGAGCTGTGTGGGACCTGCGTGGTGGTTGAGGTCTGAGCTGAGGTTGTGGGAGTGGTTGATGATGCCGATTTTGGCGTAGATCGCAACTCCATTTCGAGACGAGGCCTGGATTTTTCGACAGAGTCGGCCGCGTCGTCTTTTTCCCGTCGTTTCATTCCTCGACCGGAATTTCCTGATGAACATAGGCAAGGTCTTTAATTTGCATAAGCGAGTTTCAATCCTTTGAACGTGTTAAAAGATTTCTAGTAAAATTCGTATTAAGCACTATAGCTTAAACAAGAACAAAGGTTGAGAAAAGTTGGTTAATATTTTTGAACTGAAACTCGCTTAAAATTAAAAACCTTGTGGTGGTTTTGTGTAAAATTAAATCTAATCGCTACCATCCATTCTAATTTATGTATTGGTTACTAATTAATTGTGCATTGGCCCCATTGCAAGTTGCATCTAATGACGTCTGATCGAATCAAATTTTGAATTAACACGTACATAGCGATCGCGTCAGTCATCCCTTGCTGAATTGCATGTACATACATACATATGTACAAACTAGTACGTATTTGCATATATATTTCCTCGTTCACGCCTTTTACACCCTTTAAAACTCAAGTGAGCAAAGTAATGGTGGAAGTAATTGTAAAATATTGCCATTAAAGTAGTGGAAAATGCATTATGATTATTATGTCTGTTGGTTTGCTGGGTCCTGTGCTCCATTTTTACAACAACAACAATCTATGAAAGTGTTTCTGCAGTTTGCAGAGGACGGACGAGTTATATAATCCTTATCGCATGGTTTTTGTTATTTAACTGTGTGCCAAATTGCGTCTTATAGTTCTATTATGTATGCAGCATTGCAGGTCTGTGTGTTGGTTGGTGTGCAAATTGGCTTGATTTGGGCTGTCCAGCGACAGCCCGAGGTTATTTTTTAAGCTGGTGTATTTATTGCTTTATTGTCCTCTCCGACATTCCTTTGCATAATATACGAAAATTTCGTCCAGGCAACGACTACGTGCGAAACTTTAGTGCAACCTTATTATGCAAGGTAATGTATCCCACCAAAGAATTGGATACAGTGCAGTATTCATGCTGTTTGTTTTTCATGTACGTTTCATGAGACATTTTATGTAATAGTCAGTCTAGTAATTAAATGGCAACTTATGCAATAACAAAATCTAGTTTTCAAGTAGTTTGGTTTGATGTGTACAACCAGTAATTACGTGAAATGCCCCAGAGTGCAAACAGCCAATTTCATAGACAGTTCCTGTCAAAAAGTCATTCAGATTTCTGCACTTATGTACTTACATAAAATGAGCGGATACATATATGACGTATGTATCGTACATATATAGTTCACATTAATATTCCAATAAACAAACATGAATGTAAAATACTCTAAAATGCATTAAGCTTGATAACTATCAATTTACAAATGACATTGAGTTCATTTAAAATTACAAACGGTTAAAATTGATGATGTCAGACTACACAAGCGATAAAAATACCATTTACATTGCCCCAAATAATAACAATCCACTCAACCAATTACTCTGCTGACATAACCCCTTAAATTATCAAATCAACAATACTAACCAAACACGTAATAATTGGATAAATGTACTTCATGAAATGTTCTGTTACGAACAACAGCAAAAAAATAAACAAAATTTTGTTTTGGAGCAATAGATGATACAGGAAAAATTGGAGTTTGCATTACGTGTTGACGAGGCATGAGATCATCATCATTTTGGAAAAATTGTAAAGAAGGAAGGAAGGTGGCCATGGAGACGGCTAGTGTGTACTCGTATTCGCTAATTCATTAGATTTACAAGGCAACGTTATTATTTATGAGATAATTCATGGTAATTAGTAAGCGCCACAAGTGCTAACTCATCTCATCCCCGGCGAAATATACAGATCTGCCATTGATGCAACTACCAGTAAAGTGGTGTCATGCAGTGGTCGGAGTGGTCCCCGTGGTGGGTGCTATTTAACTTGTTTGTTGTGATTATGCAACGCAAGCCGGGCCCACGTCCATACATACGACGACAATGGTGCGGTCCAGCATTAAAATAGATGACGCCAAGCAAACCATGTCAGGACTTGCATGGAACTATAGCCCACGTACTTGCTAATTTATGCCAACTTTGTTTTCATAATTTTGGAATGTGTGCATGAGACGTGGTTGATGATGCCTTAATTCTATCTTGGAGACAGATTCTCAGATCAGATCAAACTTGTTTTAACAATGTTTTAACAATGGGAGGTTGGATATTAATAGACTTTCAAAAGATATCTATGATCAACAGAATCACCATGCCTTATTTCAAATACCTGTTTTCACTGAGGTTTAGGAATTGTAAAAGTTAGTGCTATTTATTATGAATTTAAACTATATCCATGAGATATTTTGCATGATAATGCATATGAATAAATGACAATTTTTGAAAATTTGCAACATTTTTAAGACAACAGTGAAGCAACGCAGAATACTGCAGTACCATTACCCCCACATTCACAAATTAAGTAGACCAACAAAAATCGCAATTACCGGAATTCGGTCCAGGAGAAGGCGTAAGTCTGCCGTCCTTTCCAACACCATTCGTCAACTTCAAACTTCTCTCGGGTGGTTGGGGTTTCGATGCCATTGTTAATGCTCAGATAACAACTTTTCTTCAATTAATTAAACTTTTCGTGAACGGACGACAGGTTTTATTCCTACTATTCTTACGCACAAGTGGTGACTACTACTTCTCCTTCGGCTGGAGGCTGCTGACTGTGTCCTGAGCAAGAGATGCAAGTGATTGAATTACGAAAATTAAATTGACCAGATGAACACGGTTTGAGGTACAATAGCAGCGGTGACATCAGCCCCAGAGTCGAGATGAGATGCAGAAAACCTTGAATCGTCGTCGTCGTTGTCGTCATATTTGCACAGGGCAAGAACAAGTAGACTACGTACTTACACACATACATCCGATCACAACTTTACAGTACAACATTACACATGATTTCGTGAATTACTTCATCATCATTGACTTTGATTTCTTTTTTCTTGCTCAAGATGCACTTTGCTTCAGCTTGAGCAGGTAAGCCAACAACCAGGTACTGCACATGTACACATATTTATGTAAGGAAAGTATAATAGCAATGCTGATTGGAAGAGGCTTTTGGCGTGAGCGTATACCATTTAATAAATTCATGCCTTGCTGCAAGTCGTATCGAGTTTCATTGCACGTTAACATAATGCAATAAGGATTTAAAGTTTAAAATAAGTTATTTATACGTCTATATAAAGGACCTATTATGTACGGTATAAGGATAAAATAAATTAATTTATTGGTAAAGGTGAAGATATCGATGTGTACAACGAAAGAGAATGTTCATACAGAATTGCATCTTCAAGTTTACATATTTCACGAAAGTGAGCCTTGAATTGAAAATCAAGGCTGGAATATTAAGGTGAAAAGGACTTGTATAAGAAAATGTGAGGAGTGTTTACTTGTATTGTTCTCTGCCAACAAAACTTCTGAATGTTTCTCATCAGAATTGTGAAAATAAGGTTTACAAATATTCATGGATAGGTAAACTAGATTGTGAGCGCATTTTGTCGGATAAGATTTTATGTATCAAGTGAAATTCGCATGACAAATTAAAACATGATGATGGTGTAAGTAAGTGGTCCATCATCACTTTTTTTGGCATGTATAAGAATAAACCACGCTATTTTTCATGATGAAAGGTTTGTGTATTTAATAATAATTAAATAAGTGTACACAAGTAATCATGTTCGAGTATTGCTTTGGCACAAGCGCATCGCACAAAGTCAATTTGATTAAGATCACATCATCGACATTGACGACGACTGATGTTTTCTTATTTGCTTACTTTGTTGCCTGCCCTGGTTTTTTTCTTAGGTTTGCTGAATCATCATCCTAGTTTGTTGTGAATTCTGCTCAATGCCACGAGTCATGATGATTTATTGGATTGCTTTATGGCTGGTTATGGTAATGGCTGGACATTCCTTTTATTTTTTTGGACAGTCTCTGCATGTTGTTCTATGGAATATGTGCTTGTAATTCATTTTACTTGTGCTGTGTATAATAATCACATAAACAGATCTATTGTTCTTGTTGGCAAATCATGAACTTTTACCATGCATGCATCCTAAACTGCTTATTATCTCCTCATTTACTTAAGTTAGTGAATTTTAAGTTGTGTGAAATTTAATTTTTCCAGTTTCTCAGCCATGTTTAAAGCCTTAAGTAATGCTTCAGTTGTCGTGTCGGCTGTGGGCCGGTTGCATGTCAGTTATGGTCATTTTAAAATTTGCATTGAGTAAACAATCATCAAGTTTGCAGCGTGGGATGAGGTGTTTATTTATATAGTTAATCCTCCTGATGAGTATCTTGATGCATATCTGGCGAGATTCATGATTCATTTAGTATTGACCGTCTTCAACAAGCATGGTGCGCGATGGTCATTCTAATGGCTATGCTTGAGCATAATTAAGAGTCCTTCTTTTACTTGTAGATAATTTCTAGTTATTTTCAGCCGCGACTTATCCTTGACTCAGTGTTGGAATTGGATATGCTAATTTCGATTAGAATGGTACATGGAATTGGTCAACCAAGGATTACGTCATTATGTTTCAGCATGGCTCAGAAATAAATGACGTAGGATTTAGTGTGATCACGTCTATTTTTTGTTTGTGAAGCATTTAAACAGTCTAAATTTCAACCGGTTTCTAATAAAAATAATTAATTTGTGAGGTGTGTAATAATAAGTAAGTATGCATAGTTAAGAGAGGTAAAGGCGATAAAGAGTACGTTCGCCCTTCGAAGAGATGGTGATGTTGACCAACCTTTACACTAATTATTATGTCACCCGTCAAATCATTTATGCAAAACATGGCAAACGTTTTTCATCAATACACTTAACTTCTGTTTTTTTCTAGATGTAACGCGATACAATACAAACATTATTTATTGCGTATAAGTAATTTACCTACGTGCCCATGTTGACCTATGCATGGAGGTATTTAAATAATCAGCAAATAATAGACCTTCCTACCTTATTATGGAAATCACCACTAATAATAATAAAGCTTTCATGAAATTATGCTGGTATCATCAGGAAGTGTGGTAAGTTAGATAATTTTAATGCAATGCAATTTAATGAATTAATTACTTTGAGGGTTGGCCCTAGTCGTTTACTCATTCATCATCACGCATTATTACACTTCACTTAACTGAGAATTAAGGATAGTACATACAGTTAAAGCGATGGCTCCAGTTGTTGGGGTTGTGGGATGACTGCTGGAGGTGTCATTTCTGAGACGTGTTCTTTGAAAATTTCCTGCACCGTCTTTTCCGCTAACATTAACGTGGCAGCAAATATTCCAGAGTTTGGTGTTCGTGGTAGGGCGGAGGCGTCGACCACTCTCAGTTTCTTGACACCCTTAACCCTGTAAATTTTCTGGGCAGTTAGCAAAGTAGTTCTTTGTTTGTTGGTATAAGATGTGAAAAAGGGAACCTCAGTTTCGAATCCAAAACAGCCATGGGGTCCAGCTCTTTTCCCATTTTGCATGTCCCCGCCATGCGCCCTATACATAACACATACATAAATAATAGAGCTTGCTATCCTATTATGGAAATTAAAGACACTTAATTGCTTACACCACGGCACGGCTCGTTGTTTCACGTAGCATTTCCAATACTCGTCAGAACGAGGTGGTAGTGATTTACAGAGTTCAGGTGGATTTTCGTTGTAGCTCAGTTTCATGGCCTGAAATGGCGTCGTCTCCTCCATGATTTTGATGGCCAGCTTTATTCCTAAGTTATAATTGACAATAAGGCAATTCACGTAAACTTAAGGTTAGAGCAATAATGTCGATTCACTTCTTGCCTTCAATCAAGACGTCCACATCTGTCGAGTCTGTGAAGAGTTTGTCATCGATGATTGCCAATTTAGTGTCGTCCTCTTCTCCTTCAAAATGTGAGGTGGAATTAAAGCCGACCGATCCCACAGACTTCATTCGTGTAATAATCACATGAAGCTGGATTTCAAGTTGTCCATCTCCCAGAAGAGGTTTCAGTCTATAAATTATTTGAAGATCGGGATGGTTTGCTTCTCCTTCGCCTTTTGCTCTTTAGTAAGGACCAATAATGATAAGTATTTTGTGGGGTTCATGTCAATCTGGGAGTACAAATTGCATAATTTGAATATTGCTGCAATAAATATGTGCGTACCTTCCCGAAACGATGAAGGCTTGTGGACCAAAGTCGACCCTTGCAAAGAACCCGTGCCTCCAAATAGAATCGTGATATCTCCCCAAATCTTCCTCAAAAGCACGTTTCTCAACTTTGGGAAGAAGTTCGAGTTTAGGATTATTCACACTGAAGAGCAGCGTAACTCCGCCGTGATTATGAAGATTCTGTCCCACGCCGATAGAGTCGACTTTTGTAGGAATCTAAATGTGTTCATCGTTGCCATTAAAAATTATTAATGTCATCCGAATGTTGTTGGTGTACTTACGCCGCCCTTGGTGAGCTGCGTTCTGGGCCCGATTCCTGACTTCATCAGAAGGAGCGGGGAAGAGATGACTCCAGAGCTGACTATAATTTCTTTAGTGACATGGGCAATTTGTGGAATTCCATGTCTTTTGTACCTCACTCCGTATGCAACATTTCCCATGTTTATGAGGATCTATTTAAATACAGGAATCATGCATTTTTACAAAGCTGCATTTCATTATTATCAACATTGGATATTTATATTCTGCGAGGTAGTACCATGTCCACTTCACAATATCTTAGAATTAACAGTGAGCTACGAGAGGACTCAATCCCCTTCAGATATGCCGTGTAGCTGCTTTCCCGTTCTCCGTTCCTCATGGTCTTTCCCATCGGCGTGAACCCTGTCGCCGTCAAGATTGCTCAAATTACTTGTTTGTACGAAATTTAGTCTTCACCTGAATACCTTCCGTCTGGCGACCATTGGGGTCCGACACATTGAACCCCAGTTCCCTTCCTGCTTGAAACCAGGACTGCAAAATTGGGTCTTGCACTGTTTCCACCGTAAGTGGTCCACCCACTCCGTAATATTCTGCATGGAAAACATTGCAACAACATTTTACGAGGTCCAAATGATGTCAACCCAGAGTCAATGTCGGTGACAAATTAAAGCAAGCTCTGACCTGCTCTTTCTTTCTCAGTTATCAACATCCCCACATAATTCTCAATCCGTTTGAAATGTTTGATGGCGTGCGAATATGCCCATGTCTCATCCCCTGAAAAAATTTACTGGTTTAGCCTTGCTATTTTTATAAGGTCGGGAAATTATATGCCAGCCTACCAGTCACATTAGCAATATAATCATAATCGGCAGGATTCCCACGGTTGTAAGTGCACTCCCCATTAGAACTCGAACCACCCAACATTTTGGGAATATATGCTGCAGAAGCCTACACAATTTGTGTAACACAAATGTAATCCTAAAATTGTCATGTCATTTGCATATGTAAATTTGAGAAAAGTTTGTGTTTATATCGGATAAAAAAGAGGTGCATATTTAACTGAGATAATTAACCAACTTACGCCACCATTCTCCATGTTGAATTGCTCCTGGGGAAGAGACGGGTAGTAACTGGTGATGGCAGGATGGTCGGAGACATTCTTGGTAAAGTAGAGATTCTGCGTGAGAGGGACTGGAGTGCCCCCCTTTTCAAGAAGTAGAACCCTGTACCTGAAAATAAGATTAACTAACAATTGCAATTACAATTTCTTAATTGAAATTTTTTAGCAGATGGAATACTTGAATACGATTTACCTTTCAGAGAGCCTTGCTGCCATCAAACAGCCCGCAGTACCCCCTCCGACGATGATGAAATCAAAATTTCGTATCCGAGGTAAGCCCAAGTCGAGGCCAAGCTAAACAAAATGAGCTTATTCATACGCCTACGGATTGAGATAATGCTTAATAATATGGGACAAACCTCGGTGAGTGACTTGGACAAATCTTCCTGTTGATAATGATCTGCATACTGCTGGATCAAGAGGGCGATATTTCCTAGCACAAAAGGGATGAGTTTTATCATTCTTTTTTATCACAAGACTGCCTTAACAATTCAAGAAATATTTATTCAAAATGTGTAACATGACCATATCCTCTCATTTCTTGAGGTTATTACTTTTTTATTGGGCTGTAAAATGACGTAGTCATGTAATGTATGTAACAATGTCGCAGTATCATTTTTATGCAGTTTTTCGAATTCAAAATTATTTATTAAAGAATAATTGAAGGACGCTTGATGATATTGCACAATATGTAATTCAACATCTAAGGATAAGCGTTATTACTTTTGAATGCTTCAATTACTACGTAAAGGCATCGCAATTATGGATAAATTTATATGCTAAAAATAGTATTATTGCTGGAAATTAAATAAATACATACATAAATATGTCGTCTTATGTCTGGAAACAAACACAGCAACCACACATGCACACATGCATGTACATTACAGACATACATATTATGTACATACATACGTATATACATACAAATAAAATATTTCCTGTATGTGTTTCTACTGGGTTGGTACAAGCACAAAATATTTTAAATAATTGTGTACACTTGCACTATTTATGAAGCATGATTCCTGTCACCCATGGACATATGAATAATTTGTACACAATCAATGCAATGGAATCATGAATTTCCAGTGATCTTCGTTGCTGAAGATGCAACCATGCCACTTGAATTTAGCTGTTTAACCACTTGAATTACTAGTCCCATGCCCTTCAACATACATTCATAAAATACGTCATATATGTCTAAATATGTATCTTATTAACCTCGCTGGATTGTGGTTAAGCAGAGAATTAATACATCTGACATTTTGATTGACTCGTTTGTTGGTTGGTATTTAAACACTGGTTGTGAGCAGTTTAAACTAGTTTTTATTAACGAAAAGTTGTACAATGCATTCTTGCCGGTTTTTAAAATATATGTTTGTTCTTTATTTCTCATTATCGTTATTATTGTATAATGCCGAAGGAACTTGTTCTGTTTTAAAAGCTGCAACAGTCGTAAGTGAAAAGTATGAAAACCCCAATAGCATAATTCCATTTATTCGTCCTCTATTGTTAAAACTTTTGTATTTATTTTATAAATTGGTGTGGTTTCAAGATATTCCGGCATGGTGAAAGAAATCCGATTCGGTCTTATCCTGGGGATCCGTATAGTAGTGAAGAGCTCTACTGGCCAGAGGGATATGGCATCATGACAGAAGTAATAAATAATTATAACTAATTAGCAGTCAACATGTATTTAGCATAGCAAACAACTTCAAATGGAGATGAAATATGTAATAAATAAAACATTAAATATGCATATGAAAATTTAAAAAATACAGAATGGCAAGCGACAAGTTTACAAACTTGGTCAGTATTTACGACAGCGGTACTTGGACCTGCCAACAAAGGACAATATATTGATTCTCAGCTCACAACGAAATAGAACTCTAACTTCAGCTAGCTTAATGCTAAACGGATATTTTGAAGACTCTGACAACACGGAGATGAACTTTGAGGGGACTGAACATGTGGATAAAATCACAGTGATACCAATTGACAAAGATGATGTGTGTACGATTTTATTGAAATTCATGTATTAACAACATTGTTGTACAGTTCAAAAATATACACATTTGTCCAAAAATCCTTACAGTTCATCTTTGTGTCTCAACATTGTCCAAAATATTTCTTATTGCGAGATAAGTATCGAAAGATGGAAAGGAAGGACCCCTTCGGAGGCTGGAAGAATGAGGTGGAAATAATCACTCAAAACACAGGATTGAAATTTGACTCGGTGGATCTCAAAATTTTTTTCTTGACGGACACCATTCTTGTTCAGGTGCTCTAGGAATTTAGTAATCCAGTCACTTTTAAAATGAAGTCTTGGAGGATAATTCTGCACAATCCTTTAGGAATTGATATTTGTAGCCTTAAGTTAATCGACTCTGATGGTGGTTCACTTTTTCTTAGAAATCTAGAAATCTTGTTCTACCAGCATGGGCAGAACAGCTCTATGAAAATGGAGCAATTCAAGGGATGAAGACATTTTTTTACACTTCTGCAATCCCCACGGACGACCTAACCAGGTACAAAACCAAAGTTTAAAAACATTATGAGCAATCAGAGAGACTCAAATTAGTTAAAAAATATATATACCACAAAAAATACTATGTATATTTTACTCCTCTCCACATTGTAGTTGAACTTTGTACGTTTCACAATAGGTTGTACACAGGTTCAATGGTCACCAGATTTTTTGATAGCATGGACAAAGTTATGGATGATGAATTGGGACTGGGTGTGATTAACCCAAGGGTGACTGTTCTCTCTGGTCATGACACCACGATTGCCCTTTGGTTGACCAATTTGGGCCTTGGCTCCAACCTTGACATCCCTTATGGTTCTGCGCTTTTCCTAGAAGTGTGTCAAATTATGGGATCAACGGGAGAGCAGAAATTCGAGATTGAGGTGAGATCACCATTAAATAGTATGTACTTGTTCCTATGCAAAATAAATAATAACCAACCCTTCGACTCATTAGGTCTCCTACAAAAATGATACAAATGCAGAACCCACCCTTCTGCATATTCCTGGATGTCCGACCCCGTGTTCTTATTCTGATTTTAAAAAACTTTTGGCACCCAGATCAATTCGAAATCGAGAAGAACACTGCACCATAATTGCTGATGAGGAGGACACAGTGAGTAGTTCCAATCATACATCAAGTGGTAGCGTCAATGACAAGGTTGTAGCTAATAATTATTTTTGCTCGTTATTTATTACGTTATTGTCTTTATTCTTTTAATCATAAATACTTCCTCCGTGTGAAATGTGTGAAATGTAAATATCCAGAAAGTGCCCATTTAATATTATTATGAACAGTGCTTTCTCATTAACTTTCTCATTAACTGCTTTCTCATATTAACTAATTATTATGTGCAACGTAATATAAACATAAATATGTTAAAATTTGAAATCTATGCTTGTAAAAATAACTTAAGCGTTGTAATAAAGTTTTGTAAAATAACTGCATATTCTTCGTAATGTACAAGTAATTTACACGTATACAGGAGTATGGTTTTACACATACTTATCATCATCATCCGTGCGAATGAGAATGTCTGCCAGGCCAAAATCGGCCATGATATTTTAAACCATTGGTGGATGGTGTGTGTCGTCCAGAGGACAAACTCTGGACCTGAGTTCTCAGGGGTTTAGTTTGTCTTTTGTGTTGTTTTAGGGGAGTTCGTCTGACGAGGGTTGGCTTAATTGTGGTCGTCTGACCTGGACGATATCTGGTATGCTGTTGGACAGGTGGCTGAGTTCCAGGATGGCGGTTCTTGTCCCTTATTCTTGGACGACCTGAATACTTGTTGGAATATCGTTCAAAATTAACTACTGTTCTGGTCGTAGAGTTTTTCTTATCCCTCTTGACCCTCTCGGTAATTCCGTGATTCATATTCGACACGCGGTTAACGGTTTTCGCGTGTGGAGGCAAGGACTGGTTCATTAGGCTGTACAGCAAGCCGCTCATTCTCCTTTCATCCGATGACACAGGATCTGAGAAACCTCGACCAGATTCATTTTCAACTAATTTAACTGGCTCAGATGTTTTTTTCTGACCAGATTGTAAACGTCCTGTACCGATATTTGGCTTTCGTCTGCGGCTTTTTGTAGCATTCTTGTGGAAAGGGACAGACCCATTATAAGATAAGATCGGAGGTATTGTGACGACTGTGGTTTTTATGCTTTTGAGAGTTACTTTCGAGAGGATTTTTTGCTGAGGTTGTTTCTTTCTTGGTTTAGTAACCTTCCTGCTGCTATTCTGCTTTTGTTGAAGTACAATTGCATTTTGTGTGGTCGAAGCATGCTCGGTCTTCTGGGCAGTATTGTTAGATGCGGAAATGACAAGAGGAGTCTTTTCCGAGGGTGGCCTACTATTCTCTGGCCTTTTTCGTCGTATGGATGGTTGTGTTCGAATTGGTAGGGGACGGGATGAACTGGATAATTGGGGCAAAGGTGGTAATTCAGAGTCAAGTTTGCTGGTAGCATTAGTTGTTAAAAGTTCGGTCGTGGGGTTCTTGCTGTTTAACTTCTGTTGCGTTTGTAGCGAAACTATAGGAATAACTGGCGCAAAAGTAGCTGCAAATGGCTTAGGATTATTGTAGGGCTGCTGAGGATGACCTGTGAGATAACTGCTTGGAAAATTGTTTTTATACCGACCCCCACCAGCAGAAAATTGGTAATTATTATACCATTGACCTCCATTACTTGTTGGTAGAGGTGGTGGCACTTTTTGAGCAAATTCGTTGATAAATTTGTTGATATGCATTTCTGATGGGGTGGTAGTTGACATTACATTTGCAATTGAATGTAGCTGGGTTGGAGGGCCTGGGACGATTCTCTTTTTGGGGTTTCCCCTGGATTGGTTTACAGTCTTTTTCGGCATGTCTCTAAACTCTCTTGATCCTATAAAAATATCTTTTTCCCCACTTTCCGTCAATGTTGAGGACGGATGAAGAGCAAGAGTCGTAGTTGCGTTGTTTGAAAGGACAGACTTGTCGTACTTTTCTGGATATCGACGTCTCTGAATGCTTTGTGGTGGGTGGTGGCTGTCGTAGTCTACTTTGTTCATCGTGGTCGTGTGTGGGGAGGCGTTGAGATTGTTGCGTGGAGTCACTTCCCTTTTGTTCTGCATTTCTGGGGAACCTGTGCTCTTAAAAGTTGTCGCAGTGAAGGACGAAGAGCTCGGTGTCACTGAAAATCGCGTGTCTACAAGTTCTCGACTTGCATAGTGTGGGCCATTGTAATTCCATTGAGCCCATGGATCATTTCCCATAGAAGGGTAGCCACCGAACCCATACGCAGAAATTGGAGGAAGGTTATTATTAACCAAACCCCAATTTTGGGGAGGGAATTGATGGGGATTAAATCCGAATGGAGGAAAGTTATTGGTAGGACGCAAAGCTGTGAAGTCTGTTTTAATGTTGTGGCTGCCATCAATTTTTGGAACTGTCTGGTTTCCAACACTTGGTTTCAAAGTTGTATTTGACTTTGAGATTGATGGACGTCGTAGTTTTGGTTTTTCTGGTATTCTTTTTGTTGGCTTCATTGTGGTGACGGATGTCGGACTAAAAGTAGGCTTGGGAAGAGTCGTAGTAATTCGCGTTCTATTTTTCCTTGGCTTAATTGATGGTGGAGATAATGATGATGGTGCTAATGGTTGGTCTAGTTTGTTAGGACGTTTGGTTGTCGTAAAATTTACAACTGGTTCATCGTTAGAAAGAGGAGAAGGAATTTTGCTCTCTTGAGCTAATCCGTCATTTTGATTTCCACTGTTCGATAGGCTTGCAAAATAATTTTTCAGTCGCAATTGTGGCTGCAAACGTTCGTCCGACATTTGCATTTCAGGTTCAATTGATATGCTTTCGAAGCTTGGGCTAACTGGAGAATTTTGGTAGGAAGAAGGACTCAAGTAATGTTTATGGAAGCCCATGAAATACTGGTTTTCAATTTGTTGACTTGATTTAATACTTGGAATTGTATGATCTCGATCTATGAAACTAGTCAATGGCGATTTTGAGATGGTTTTAGGAAATACTGGTTTTACATGTGGTGCAATAATTTTGTTAGACCCACTTTGTTGCTGTTTGATAATTTCATCGTAGAAAGATGGCAACTTGAATGTGGAGGATGGGAATTTTAGAGTGGTTGTAATAGATGCGTCCGACGTAGAAGGAGGAGGAACCGTGGAATGAAACATTTTTGGAGTCAATGTCATAAAATATGTAACAGTTTTAGGTGTCGTTGGTCGAGGTTGCTTCTTCTTTTTGACCACTGGGAGCAAAGTTGAGATTGATGCTTTTTCCAGGTCATCTGCCTCATCTTGTTTACGACGGTGCCCAGAATTGTGTTGCATGGCAGATGCATAGTTCAAGCCCTGATCTGCTGCCTTATGGTACTCAGGTTTGTACAGTATGCTGGAGTTGCTCTTTGCACTTGTTGGGGTGGGAGGAGGTGGGTGTGGTGTTTTTACCTTTGGCTGCAAAGTATTCGTAGGCGATTTATTATGCTGGACATTTTCAGAAAACTCTGGATTTTCTAGCATCTCATCGTCATTGTATTGATTCCACGTATGATTGCTATTAGTACTAGAAGGAGTGGTCAAAGTAGAAGGTTGCTGACTTTGCTTAGTTCTGGATTGAACACCACCCTTTTTATACTGAGCATATTTCACATAATATTCGGAGCTGTGCTCAATGGCGGCTGTTGTACTTGACGCATATTCAGGCGTTGAAGAAATGTCTAGGAACGCTGGTTTAACTGGAAGTTCTTGATTTTTCAGATTATATTTTGAAACATCCTTTTGTTCAGAACCGAGGTCATAATTGTGTAACGGAGGCAGAATTAAATCATCATTATAATAATCTTCGTCCAGACTAATATATTGATTCTGGTAAGATTTCTGGGGTGTCGGGTAAGGGGGTTGTGTCCTAGCAGTTGCCTGCGAAGGTGTGGGCAAAGATGCAGGAATTGAAAGCATAATATCACCATCGGCAATATTGGAGGTACTCTCCGAACCAGGTTTAGACGCTTGTTCCGAACTGTGCTGTATGCTAGAGTCGTAATAGTTTGGACTTTCCCTGTTTGCAGTGACGTAATTTTCAGTGGTGGTAGTGACACGAGGCGTAGTGGTTGTAGTAGTGTAAATTGTCGTTGAGGGTCCAATGGTTGATTTTATTTTAGGGGGCGATACATCATAATCATGGTGATTCATAGCTGGGAACAGCAGCTCAATGAAATTTGTGTCAGTTTTGTGTGTCTGATATTCTTGGATTTGTTCCGGTTCCTTCCATTCCAACGAATGTTTATTGATCTTGATTGACTCAATGGTTGACTGCCTTTCTTCATTATGTGTGAGGTGGTGGAAAGATGACGAAGACGTGGATTCCTGAGTCGAGGAGATTGTAGCGACGGGCTGTGGTTTTAAATAAGTAGCCGTAGTTAAAGTTGTAGTGGTCGTACTGGTTTCGGTGGGTCCTGTCGATTGTGCATCAAGCCGGTTTAGTTGGAAAAGTTGCTGCACTTGTTGACTAAATTTATGTAGAACAGATAAAGTAATGGGGTTAACCATGGTGGTGGAGGTGCTTATAGTTGTCGCAGTGGGTGTGGTTGAACTTGGTGTAATTGTAGTTGGCGTTATAGTTGATATAGTGGCGGGTATAGTTGGCGTGGTTGTAGTTGATCTAGTAGTGATAGGTGTGGTTATAGTTGTAGGTGTGGTTGTAGTGGGTGTGGTTGTCGTTGGTGTAGTGGGTGTGGTTGTAGTTGGTGTAGTGGGTGTGGTTGTAGTTGGTGTAGTGGGTGTGGTTGTAGTTGGTGTAGTGGGGGTGGTTGTAGTTGGTGCAGTGGGTGTGGTTGTAGTTGGTGTAGTAGGTGTAGTTGTAGTGGTGGGTGTGGTTGTAGTTTCTGAGCTTGAAGTGCGAGTAGTAGTTGGAAATGAGACAAAAGTTTCAGCGTCCGCTGTTGGCGTTGTAGTAGAACTTAACGTAGCTTGATGTTTAGATGCTGACGGGAAAACAATTGTTTCTGAGGACTTAATTGTTGCTTCAGTTGTAGCGGATAAGGAGACTTCCGCCCCCATCGTAGAAATTTCAGTTGGCACAAAATCACTTCTCAGCATTAACATTATTTGTGGCAAAGTTACCGACGCGGCCGGCGTTGTCGTCACAGTTGAATTCGTACGATTTTTCCTTCTCCTCCTCGGCATCTTTTTCATTCCGTTTCGCGTCATAATGGAAATTGTCTCCATTGAATTTGGGGTTCCACCCATATCAAAATACTTTTTTTTGTGAAGGGGGTCATCTTCCAGTACGCCGTCCTCGTCGTAGTATTCATACTCTGAGGAACCTGTTGCTAGATCGTCCTTAATTTTCTTAAACTCTTTATCAAATTTTTCTTTCGAGTTTAGCTTTTCTTCCGAACTCCGTTTTGAGAAATATTTTAGCTGCGGATATTGCTCTTGTGCTTTC